TCGTAACATGTCATTAATGCCCGCCTCCAGCCAAAGTCCATATAAATCCCAGCTCCCTTTGTGAGAGAACTGCAAGCTGTGCAGAGCTGTGTTCTCAATAAAGGACTCTTTTTCTTTATGTCTCTGTATTGCACCAGGAATCCTAACAGATGTCCTGTTTCTTGATAGGAAGAGCTAAGATAGTCAAAATGACCACACTTCTAAAACTACATTAAATTGATTTAATGCAGTCTCAATCAAGTAATATTCTCAGAGAACTAGAAAAACAATCCTAAAACTCATACGGAACCAGAAGGCATCTAGATACCAAAAGCATTACTGAAAAACAAGAACAAGGCAGGAGGCACCACAACCCTACACTTCAAGTTACACTACAAAGCTACAGTGATAAAAAAAAAATATATATATATATATATATCATAGGGGCTGGGGATTTAGCTCAGCGACATAAGTGCCTGCCTTGCAAGCACGTGGTCATGATTTCGATTCCTGGTACCAATAAAAAAAAATACCAAGTCATTGGCAACAACAACAACCAGACATGTGGATCAGTGGAACAGAACAGAGGGTGCAGAAACAACTTCAGGCATATTCAGACACCTGATCTTTGACAAGGGGGTCAAAAACTTTTGCTGAAAGAAAGATAGCCTCTCTGACAGCGTGCTGGGAAAGCTGGCAGTCCACGTGGAGAAGCTGACTCTAGACCCCGATCTCTCACCATGCAATAAGCTAAAATAAAAACGAGTCAAAGATCTAAATATTAAAACAAATATTATGCTGGAAGACAAAATAGGTAAAACTCTAGAAGACACAGGTATAGGTAAGGGCTTTCTGGACAAAACCTCAAGTGCACAATAAAGAAAACCAAGAACTAACAAAAGGGATCATATCAAATTTAAAGGCTTCTGCATAGCAAAGGAAAGTGCAAGCCAGAGAAGAGATAACCTACAGAATGGGAAAAAATTTTGCCAGCTACTCTGCAGACAGAGAACTAATATCCGGAATATACAAAGAACTCAGAGAAAAATAGAGCTCCCAAATTAAAAGACTCAATCAAAAAATGGACAAGTGAAATGAACAGAAATTTCTCAGAAGAGGAAATGGCCAATAAATACATGAAAAAGTTCAGCACTGCTGGCTATTTGAGAAACGCAAATTAAAACAATACTGAGATTTCATCTCACTCCAGAAAGAATGATTGTCATCAAGAAACCAAGTAATGGCACATGCTGGTGAGGCTGTAGGAGAAAACAAAGTAACCTTTCTTCTTTAATGGTGAAAGTGTAAACTACTACAACCACCGCAGAAGTCAGTATGGAAATTCCTCAAAAACCTAAAGCTAGAAATTCTATTTGACCCAGCTATTCCCCAGCTAGGTATTTTTCCAAAAGAGTTAAAGTGATTATAGTGATACATGAATACCCATACTTACAGCAGCACAATTCACAAAGCTAAATCCTGGAAGCCATCTATGCCGCTAACAACAGATGAATGGATAAAGAAAATGTATTTATACACAGTCGGGTACTGCTCTTCCCATAAGGAGGGTAAACCTGAGTCATTTGGAGGAAAACAGATGCACCTTAAAACCAATATGTTAAGTCAAGTAAATCAGACACACAGCTTCAATATCACAGGGTTTCTTTTATATGAGAAACTAAACATATAGAAAAAAACTAAAGGATAGACAACAGGAAATAGTGAAATCGATCGTTACATATGGAAAGGGAATCAGGAGATGGAGAGAGGAGGAAGGGCAAGGGAGGAGGATATGAAAAAGGAATGGGATTTTTTTTTTGGTACTGGGGATTGAATTCATGACCTTCCACTCACCAGGCAGGCACTTATATCGCTGAGCTAAATCTCCAGCCCCAGGAACTGTGGTGTTTTGTGTACACATAGCAGGTCCCTACAAGGAATGTGATCATTATGTACCACAAATAGGCACCAAAAAAATAGGAGAAGGGGCCCCAGGAGATGGAGGGAAGAGGAGGAAGGGAAAAGGAAGAGGATTTATACACGTACCAGCTCCCCACAATGGATTACATGTGCCACAAACATGTATCAATCTAAAATAAAATCTCAAAAATTAGGAATCTAGCAAAGTGCTTGTTTATCCCTATAAAAGTCATAACAAGGATCCTTCAATTTAGGGACATTATAATGGAGCTTATACCCTCCAAAAATAGGAAAACATTGTACATTACCACAGTGAGATATAAGGCATATGTTTCTAAAAATAAATTTATTGGTACACTTTTTTTTTTTTTTTTTGTCTTTTTCGTATTTATCGGTACCGGGGATCGAACTGACGACCGCCTGCTTGCAAGGCAGGCACTTATGCCGCTGAGCTAAATCCCCAGCCCCCAGTACACTTTTGATATACATAATGATCGTAATCACCCCGGAACTTTTTCCTTTACGTAACACATCTTGAGTCTTCTTTTTTCTCTACTCCCCTCCCCTTTGTTCAATCCTTCTTCCCCTTCTTATTTCCCAAGGCTTTGTTTCCATTTTTCTTCTATTCTTTTTTTCTTTTCCGTCCTTACCTTCCTCCTCCCCACTTCCTTGTTCTTCTTCTCCTTTGAAGATTTTCTTCCCACCTCTCAATGCACGCACCTTGAGATCATGCTTTTAAGTGAAATAAATCAAACACACGTGTTTAAATCCTTCTGCTGTGTGAGAAACTGAAAGCCTCAGTAAGGACTAAAATGGATGACAGACATTTCTGCTCTGCACTGACACAGACACAGAGAACTTACGCTTTCAGTCTGAAACATCAATTTAGGGTTGAAAATAAACACAAAACAAAAAACTCACTACTTTGGATCTCAAGCAGCTGATTTTTTTCCTTCCTTGTAGATACAAAACTAATTCGAGCTCACATAAGACAAAACGAGTAACAAACCGGATTCTCTGTCATCTCTTCTAAAAGAAACTGGTGTCTGCCACCCTGCAGGTGTCAGCAATGGTCAGAAAATCAGGCCAAACTCTCCACCATCGCTGCTACCAGCGTGGAGTTCCCCATCAGAAATGGACAAATCAGAAACAAAAATTTTAAAAGGAAAAAATTAGAAGTAAACTTAGCTCCATAACCACTTGGGGTTTACTCTCAGAGACAGTAAATGATGTGCCTGGACTTTTTAAAGTGCATCCCTTATGGTGTATCTACTTCCTCACATAAAGTCCCATTCAGCGTCTCACAGAAACTTGAGATTTCTGGTATTAGAATGTGTTTCTCATGCAAATACAAAGTGAGCGTCTTCCAAAGTTTTATTCAATTCAGTAACTAATACATAAGCTAGTAGGCTTTAAGACAAATTCCAAGGGTGTTTGAGAGGTTGGAGCTCGCTGGGGGTATCTGAGGGTGTGACTCCTTATCTACCTAAAATGTCAGGGTTTGTCCCCATCACTGGGGGCGAAAGAGGTCTAATAAAAAGAAAGCAGGAGAGAGGGAAGGAGGGAAAGGAAGAAAAAAGGAAGGAAGGAGAAAACAGGAAGAAAGGGTAAAGGGAGGAAGGTAGGCAAGTTCTGCAGTATACTGATAAATGTAAGATCACATGGTAACAGACCCGATTGATTGATGGCTTACAGAACAGAAAGTGACCACCTAAAATGTATGCAGCCACCTGAGCACCCATGCACACACACATATACTTACCTATGTGTGCGGATGCATGAAGGAAACTGTACAGTAATCATTTTGGAAATTTGTTCTACTGAAGATTTCAGCAAAGTATGTTAAAAAGAAAAAGCAGAAAGGAAAGAAGTTATAAGGCAGAGAGAGTGGTTGTTTCCAAGTTCAAGTAAATTTGAGAAATTCTCCATTAAATAAAATACCAACACATAGTGATTGCTACCACCTTTCTTAAAATTAGCTATCAAATCCTTTCATTGTGTATTACCTAGTAGCATCCTGAAAGGTTCTAGATCTTTCCAAAAATACAGTGTGAGAAGCACGCTGCTTATGGCTTCTCCTTCATGGTCAGAATGGCGGCGATTCATGTAAGTGAACCAACACATATTCAAAATAATACACAGAGCCACATAAATTTGCCATTGGCCGAAACACTAAAATAATAAAATGAGCACATTGTCTTTAAGATTCTATCTTTGTTATGTTGGAAAATCTGTACTACTTTATTGTTTTTTTGTTGGGGTTACATGGCCCACCAAATAGAAATTATTTGCATTCCTTCCGAACAGAAACCCACCAGTTGATCTCTGCCTCTGCCCTTTTCCTCTACATCATTAACTCCTTCTTGGCTTGGGTTGTAAATAGAAAATCAACCCCAGGACAGCCAGAATGAACATTCAGCATTTTCATTTACCTATGTCCACTCTTTCGATTTTCTTTTCACCGAAGGAGATCTTGAAAGTAGTGTATGGAGACCGGCACCGTGGCTGGCGCACACCTGTAATCCCGGCACTCTGTGAGGCAGAAGCAGGAGGATCTCAAGTTTGAACTCTGTTTAGGTGACTTAGTGAGACTTTGTCAAAAAAAAAAAAAAAATACCATCTGGGGATGTAGCTCCGTGCAAAATTCATTCTCCAATAATGGAATAAGGTGTGTGTGGCGGTGGGGAGGATTCATCAGAAATTCATATTTAAATTAATATAAAACTGTATTTTAACTAGCAACTGTAACCAAAAGAGTCGCAAAAACTTTTCCAAGTCGGTACAGTTCTGTTGCAACACTGTATGTGTGAGATGTGAGCCTCGGCTTTGTATTTTTACCTAAATAGAAGCATGCAGTGGTTATTTCTAGCGTGCAGCCCTTCTTCGTACTTGCCACTGGGGGGCGAATCGAACCTCGAACTCTAGTACGCTTAGAAGGGGGTAGAGTTCACAAAAGCGTTTCTACCTCCGATCCGCCAGGAGGCGATGCGGGAACCTCTCAGACTGGGCACACCTCGTTTTTGCGCTTTGCGCAGCAGTGCGCACGCGCAGAACTACTCCCCGCCCACATGCGCAGCGCGCAGACTCACTGAGCGCCTATTGTCGCTGCTAGGACTCCTGGGAAGGGGTGGAGCCTAAGGGAGCGCTCGGGCTGGGCGGTGTGTGGGACTGGTGGCCTCTGCTTTCCCAGTGTTCTCCGGCGCGGTTTGGAGATGCCCATCCGTGGGGCGCGCTCGGAGGACGGCGCCGCGCCGGGCTCCGCGGACAGCTCAGCCGCACACAAAGAGGAGCTCAGCGGCAAGGTGTGTGTGGACGCAACCAGGAAGCTGTGGGACTCGACCAGGCAGGCGTCTGTGGACCCCAGACGTGGCGTGGCCCGGCCTCGCTGCCGCCCGCTGCGCTGCTCTTTTTGTTTTTTAGCCACAGCGCTTGACAGCGCCTCGGTCTCTTCTCCCCGGCCGAGCAGTGCGCAGTGGGTCCGGGCGCACGGGTTCCCGCTCCTTTTAGGCGCACGTGTCCTTGCCGGGTGCTGCCTGGCCATCGTTGAGACCACTGTGCCAAGTGAAACCAATCAGACACACGGGCTTAAATATCGCATGGCTTCTCTTACCTGAGAAGCCCGAATTATAAAGAGCAAAATAAAAAGTAGATAATAGGAGCTTTTGCAAAAGGAAGGAGACGAAAAAGAGGGAGAGCCAGAAAAGGGATGGAGAAAGAAATAAAGATCGATGCTTGGTGTATATGCACAGCTCCACTCGAGGCGTGTGATTATTACTGCAAACACGCACTAATAAAACTGGACCTTTAGGGACAGAGGTTACAGCTCAGACAGAGGCACAGTGCCTGCCTGGCTTCCAGTCCCGGTACCAGAAAAGAAATATAACTGGACCTTAGAATTGTACCTTATCTGGCCAATTGGTGTACTTCTGTCAACTGTGGAGACAAAATCGTGCAGTCTCAGAAGTGGGGGTGAGTTTTCAAAAGCCTGTGCCCACTCTGACTACTTCGTTAGCAAGCCACTTAACACTAATCGGTGGCAGATCCCTGAGGGGCGGGATAGCACAAAATTGTAAAAACGTTTTAGAGCTGCTGGTGATGCTGTGTAATCAGTCGTGTTCACAAAATACGATAGTTATTGAGCAGTTAAAAAGACAGTTTTCACTATTTTGCGGTTGGTCCGACTAGTAAAAAAGAATCCCCATTCCACAGCACTGTGCTCAGGCTTTAATATACAAAGAGGAGTGACCCAAAGGCAGCGGTAGATTATACTGCCCCAGGCAAGGCGTTTAATACTATTTGCTTGATCCAAGTATCTAGCTGTATTATTTAGTGCACCAACCCTGGAAAAAAAAAGTTCATAACTTTTAAAAATTCAAAGATTGGTATTGCATTTTGGTGACTATTACTTTTGATAAAAGGTATAAACCGTGCTTAGAAACTATGGCCCTAGGCCTGAATGATGGTTAGGAACACAGAACCCTCCGTCTGGACTCAGTGGTTGCCTAACTAGTCTTTCCTCCAGCTTTCCCCTGCCTGTACCCTGCACACAGGCTGCTATTGAAAAGAATCTATTCACAGGCTGTTGGTTGATAATCAGCATATGATAGTCCTTTATCCCCTCTCTAATTTTAAAACAAAGGGCCCTTGATGAGTATGCTTTGAAAACCTCTGATTTAAGGCCTTTTTTTCAGTAGATTAAAGAACAGAAAATTGTTGTGGATGAACTTTCTAACCTGAAGAAGAATAGGGTAAGTTATTAATGGAATTCTAAATAGTACGTGTGAGATTTGTTATTTATATTACCTACATATTAAAGCTAGAAGAATTATGTTTACACTGAAATTTATAAGATTTTGGCATCTTTTAAAATTGCGAACATGAAGTGCCCAAATTTGCCTGCTTGCCTGCCTGTCTTCCTTCCTTTTTGTCTTTTTCTTTCTTTGTCTCTTTCTTTTCTTTATTGGTAATGCATATATAAGTAGACCATATTTGGAAATGTCTTTTCCTTACCATATATTATTTATTTTATCTTTGAAAGAACAAGTGATATTAATTGGACTTTGATATCTTGTAACCATAATCATTAGTGATATAACTTTGTACTTGAATTTGATTTTTTTAAATAATTGAAAAGAGAAGAAGCTTCTTTAAATTAAGTGTGGATAATTATCAATAAAGAAAAAATCTGTTACCCCCACAAAGTGTTAGATAAATATTCTAAATGCTTAACATGATTTTATAATTACATCTCCATCACTTTATTCACAAAAACACAGACTGCTGCCTCATGTGTAGTTATACTGTGAAAAGCCACATATTAAAGTTCTAGAAGAAAGTCGGGCATGATGTCACACACCTATAATCCCAGCACTTAGGAGGCTGAGGCAGGAGGACCCTTGTGAGTTTAAGACCAGTTTGGGCTACAGAGTGAGCTCGAGGTCAGCCTGAACTGCATACTGAGACTCAAAAAGACAAGAAAAAGTTACTTTGAGCACTTTAAAGCATTTTAAAGATTATTTGATAACTGACAAGTTAGACATTTAGATATTGTCACTTATGGAATACTACAAGTCGTTAAGGCAAATTAATGCAGACTTTCTCCAAGGACCAATTGGCAAAATGTATGAGAGCCTTAAAACTGTGTAGCACTTTGAGCCAGAAGTTCTATTTATAGTAACTGAAATGTGAGACACAATGGTGAGTGTGCAAAAAAATTCAGTGGCAGAGATTTCATCACAACAATGGTTTACAATAGTGAAGAGTCCGTCACACTTTAATGTCTTGATGTATGAGAACTGACCAAGGAAATAGTACTGTGTTAAGTCCATTTACCCATTCAGCAATGTGGTAAAAGAATGTACTGATAAGCTGGGCGTGGTGGCGCATGCCAGTACTCCCAGCACTGGCGGGGAGCAGAGGCAGGAGGATCATTACAAGTTCTAGACCAACCTGGGCTACAAAGTGAGCTCAAGGCCAGCCTGAACTGCATAAGGAAGCCCTGTCCCAAAAATACAAAAACAAAAAAATAAAAAGGACGTACTGATTAAAAAAAAAGTATTCTCAATATGTTGTTCAGATATAAAGTAAATTAAAAACTTGTCAATTTGGTAGGATCATTTTTTGTTAAAAAGAAAATAGTTATGTAGAGGGGGGAAAAGTTATAACTCAGTGTAACTAGTAGCAATTTCTGAGTGATAGGATAATAGGTGACCTTTATTTGTCTTCTTATATATCTGTATTTGTTGTTTGTTTGTCTTTTTTGAGATAAGGTCTTGCTATATGGTTCAGGCTAGCCATGGGCTCACTTTTTAGCCCAGGGTGGTCTCGAATTTTAGATGATCCTCCTACTTCAGCCTCCTGCGTGCTGGGATCACAGGAGTGCACCACTACCCCTAGCTTATGTATCTGTATTTGTATTGTCCTGAACACATATTTCTGAAGTTCAAGAATTTTGGCATCTGCTACTTTTAGATCATATCTTGATATTAGCATAAATTATATTTTGCAGAAAGTATACAGGCAGCAACAGAACAGCAACATATTCTTTCTTGCAGACCGAACAGAAATGCTTTCTGAAAGCAAAAGTAAGTTTCTGGGGTTTCTGTTTTAGTATTTGGTATGAAAAGGCACAGAAAATCATTGTGGTTTTTTTTGGTTTTTAGGTTTTTTTGCTTTTGTGGAAATTCGTAGTATCTCCATTAAGCTGCCTATCTCTCAATGTTTAAATGTATATGCAAAGATTAATAGTGGTTGACATTGGCCTTCCAAAGATGAGTCTATTGGAAAAAAACCTGTAAGATGTGTTAAAAGCAGCAGTTACTAGTGTGCACTTGACAGCTATTAGTATAAAAGGCATTGCGCTAAATTGTACCTTTGTGGGCTGGGGATGTAGCTCAGCAGCATAAGCGCCTGCCTTGCAAGCAGGCAGTCGTTGAGGTCAATCCCTGGTACTGATAAAAAGACAAAAAAAAAAAAAATTGTACCTTTGTGGCACTGAGTAAATACTCCAAACCCAAGCCCTTGAGGGTATAAATTGCCAAGCCAAGCACCCAGGCCAGAATAAGCACCTAGTGGGCAGGAACAAGATAAAAGTCCAAGCCTTGATATTTTGCTTAATATTTTTTCTTTCTCTCTCCCACAGATGTCTTAGATGAACTGAAAAAAGAATACCAAGAAATAGAAAACTTAGAGAAGACCAAAGTCAAGAAATAGTCACCCTGATTTCATAGAACGATGTGTGGCATTTGCTGTTCTGTAAGCTTTTCTGTTGAGTGTTCCAGGGAAGGTTTAAAAGAAGACTTACTGCACAATCTGAAACGGCGAGGACCTGACAGTGGTAAACAGTTGTTCAAATCTGCTGTCAGCTACCAGTGTTTATTTTCTGGTCATGTCCTTCACTTGAGAGGTGCTTTGACCACCCAGCCTGTGGAGGATGAAAGAGGTGATGTGTTTCTATGGAATGGAGAAATCTTTGGTGGAGTAAAGATCGAAACTGAACAGAATGATACTCAAATTATGTTTAAGTATCTTTCCTCTTGTAAAAGTGAAGCTGATATTTTGACACTGTTCTCAGAAGTACAGGGCCCTTGGTCTTTTATATATTACCAAGCATCCAGTCATCACTTATGGTTTGGTAGGGACTTTTTCGGTCGCCGTAGCCTGCTTTGGCAGTTTGGTAATTTGGGCAAGAGTTTGTGCATCTCTTCAGTTGGCACCCAGACACTGGGAGAGACAAAGCAGTGGCAGGAAGTGCCAGCAGCTGGAATTTTCAGAATCGATCTAGAATCTGCAGCCAGTTCCAGATGTGTGATTTTAAATTTTTATCCTTGGACACATATTTCTGAGGAGAATGTTGCTGAAGAACGTGTTGATGTTCTGACTCAGGTTTCAGCAGGCTTACCAACATTTGTATCAATTGTAATGAATGAGTTCAAACTGTATCTTGCAAAACCTGTTGTTCCTTTAAATATGACGTTGCCCCAAGCTCCTTTGGAAACTCACTGCAGGAAAATATCCAACGTTCCACCTACAAGAGAGACACTTGAAGTCTTTCTTACAGATGGACACATGAAAAGAATAGTTCACCAGTTCATCAATGTCCTGAGTATTGCAGTTGAGAGACGTGTCTTGTATTTACTGAGGGACAAAAACCTGCCACCAGATGAAGTTTTGAAAGCTTGCAATAAGAAAGCAAATGTTGCCATCCTGTTCTCCGGAGGCATTGACTCCATGGTGATTACAGCCCTCGCCGATCGCCACATCCCTTTAGATGAACCAATTGATCTTCTTAATGTAGCTTTCCTGATGAAAGACAAGACCCTGCCAGCTCGCCTTAACAGCAGGCGAGAACAGAAAGATGGCTGCGAAATGCCCTCTGAAGAATTCCCTGAGAATGCCTGTGCTGTCCATGGGGATAGTCGTGCAGATGCTGTCCCAGATCGAATCACAGGAAGAGCTGGACTAAAGGAACTGCAAGCTATTAACCCGTCTCGAGTTTGGAATTTTGTTGAAATCAATGTTTCTTTGGAAGAATTGCAAAAATTAAGGAGCACTCACATCCGTCACTTAGTTCAGCCCTTGGACACGGTGTTAGACGACAGCATTGGCTGTGCAGTCTGGTTTGCCTCTCGCGGGATTGGTTGCTTAGCAACTCCGGATGGAGCAAAATCATATCAGAGCAGTGCAAAGGTATGGTAAGGTATTTCTGCTCAGAAAAACTTCGGGTGTATAATTTTGACCCAAGGGCTGCTAGCGATTAAGTTCCAAGAATATAGTGTATTTTATTTGCATTTAAATTACAAATGTATTCTATATGCTTTATTTAAAAGGTCATCATTTACTATTTTCTGATCTTACGGTTTTTCTCCATTATGATTAGGGGTTAAGTTTTAAGCTTTTCCCTTTTTTCTAGCAGGTCGTGCTTTTACATGGAATTCTTTAAACTTCCTTAGGTCATTCTCACAGGCATTGGCGCAGATGAGCAGCTTGCTGGGTATTCTCGTCACCGTGTCCGCTTTCAGATGCTCGGACTGGAGGCACTGAGTGAGGAAATAGCAATGGAACTGGGTCGGATTTCTTCTCGAAACCTTGGTCGTGATGACAGAGTTATTGGTGATCATGGAAAGGAAGCAAGGTAATTCTCATCAGTTGAATGTTTTCTGAGTTGTGTTAGTAAGAACAGTAGGCTGTTAAAGGACTTCTTTAAGCTCCTTTTTCTTTGGAGTGTGTTCGCATGAATACCTCGTAGCACAGCAATGTGGCTTTATGATTTTAAACATGGGCGCATAGGTAGGAGGAGCCAGGGGAGCAGCCATTTTCCAGAACTCTCTCTCAGAAATGTCTTTTTGGTAAGATCTCCATATGATAGGTTGGTGTAATTGTTTATAAGACCACTAGGAAAAAGACTGTGAAAGTAAAAATGTGATGATACACTGAGAAAAGGTGTGTGAAGGATACGGTTTTGTTTTAAAGATTCAGTGTTCTCCCAGTTAAAGTACTATAGAAACCCCAGGCTTTCTCAGCCAGTGTTTAGACTGCAGCTCAGAAGTTTGTGCTTTGCCGACAGCATATTTCTGATGGTAGCAAACACATACTTGAATAAAGCTGTTTTAGACATTAAGGATGAAGGATGCTGTGTGTATAAAGAAGAGAGCCCTGATTAAGAATTTGTGAAGTGGTGGTTTATTACAAGGGTACAGTTACCAAAACAAGGAGTCCAAGTAAGCCTCGGGAGTCTCAATACTAGAAGCATTTTCCTCTCTTTCACTGAGACCTCGCTGTTTCCTGTCTTGGCTTCTTTTTCTCTCTTCACTGAATCATGGTTGTCTCTCTTATATTGCCAATCTTGATACAATATTGACACTATAGTATCAGTATATTATCATAGTTTTCAAGATTTCTTTGTAGATAGATAACTAATGCCACACTACCAAATCTATAAGGGAAGACTGAGAGACAGAAATCCCAACAAGGGAAGAAAAAAATGAAAGAAATGTAGTCCTTTATTGAGCTGGGTCAGAGAGGAGGGGATTTATGTCCTGTAAGGAAAACAATTCATTCTAAAGGCCCCATATGAAGATATTGTTACATTCAGATAAAAATTGTTTAAAACAGCTGATATGAGTGGTAAACTAATTTATTATGTATCTTGGTGTACATGTAACAGTAAGCTACTTGATAAATATTTATTATACACTTACTGTACTTCATCTTTCAGAAATATTCTGTAGAATAAATTCCTTTTCCTTATCTTTCTACTTGAGCTAAATTGAACTGCATTGCATTCTGAGGAACTGGAAAGGTAAAGAAAGGGGTTAAAATCTTACAAGCCACAGAGGTTTGAGAGAAAGTAGGTGAGCAAAACGGGCAGGAAGTCATTCTGTAAAAATCTCATGTTTTGCAGTGTCACACTAATTTGTCACCATGTGAGCATTTTAAAGTGTAAACAGTTTTGTTGCCACAGGAGCCCTTCTGTATTTGTTTCCTATCCTTAGAGAAAGTTGAGTTTCTTTAGGTAAACACCAGGTACAGATCAGATTCTGTAGCTAACCAGGGTCATCCCTGTGTTCAGGACATCCTCAGAGAAACGTTGGGAAACAATTTGAATTTATGTCTTGACATCGTGGACCTAATTTATTATTAACATATTTTCTAACATACATATTGTCATATCAACATATGCAACACTTTTAATGTATTTATCTAATCTTATGTGAAATTATGTAAGTAGCCATTAACAGGTTGGTTTTTTAATCTGTTTATTTTAGATTTCCATTCCTGGATGAAAACGTTGTCTCCTTTCTTAATTCCCTGCCCATCTGGGAAAAGGCAAACTTGACTTTACCCCGTGGAATTGGTGAAAAGCTAATTTTACGTCTTGCAGCTGTGGAACTTGGGCTCACAGCTTCCGCCCTTCTGCCCAAACGGGCCATGCAGTTTGGATCCAGAATTGCAAAACTGGAAAACAATAAGGAAAAGGCATCTGACAAATGTGGAAGGCTCCAAGTCATTTCCTTAGAAAACCTTTCTTTTGAAAAGGAAACCAAATTATGATGTGACTTCACAGTGTTACAGTTACTGAGTGACAGTTACATAAAAATAAAATACTCTGCTGCTTTGTTACTATATATTGTAGTGATTTCAAAGCTTCTTGGAGCCACGCATGGGGGCGCACACCTATAGTCCCAGCACTTGGGAGGCTGAAGCAGGAGGATCTCTGTGAATTTGAAGCCAGCCTGGGCTATATAAGTGAGTTCAAGGCCAGCTTTAACTACATAGTGAGACCCTGCCACCAAAAAAATTTTAAAAAATTAAGTTCCTGCTTTTCCTATAGCAAAGCTTCTAAAAGTCTTAGAATTTCCTAAGTGATAGCAGTGTCTTATTATTCACAGTGAATGCCTTTTGATTACCATCGAGTTGAGGCACTTTATGATGGGATTCTCTGGATAGTCTCAGGAGGTGGCCAGTGACCAGAAGGACCAAGTGCTAGGAGGGCTGGAACTTAGCCCCATTGTGGACTTCTGGCTAGGGGAAAGGAATGGAGTAGAGATTACTCTTAATGAAGATCTATAAAAAACTCTTTTACAAGAAGATGTGATGAGCCCCTGGTTTGCTGATGTACTAAGAAGGAGACCCGCCCAGAGTGCGTGGAAACTTTTTGCCTTCCTACCCCTAAATACTTTGCCATACATATCTTCCACCCAGGTGTTTCTGAGCTGCATCCTTCATGAAAAACCAGTAAATTATTTATAGAATTCAGATTTCTGTGTGCCAGTCCAGCAGAGTTGTAGGAACGCCAACTCAGAAGGACCCGCGCTCCCGTTAAGATAGGGGCTGTCTTGTCGGGCTGAGTCCTTAACTCCTGGGATCTAACTAACTACAAGGACGCAGAACCCGATGGGATCAGATTGTAGGGCACCCAGGTGATGTTCTGAGGCAGAGTCGATTGGTGTCAGCAGTGTGTGAGAGTAGAGAAACAGCTTCCCCAGACTTCATGGCCATGTCTAGAAAGGACGCATTTTGCTACGTTAAGCCATCACCAGGGACGTGGTGTACAGAGGTCTCTGATGGATGAAAACGTGAAAGCTTTAGAAGCTGAGCAGTTTGGGGCTCGCATCTGTTTAGACGACTCATACTTTTAAACATTTCCACAGATCTCTAATCTGTGTCTTGGTTCATGACTTGGGCTTTTTACCGAGAGCAAAGCCCTCAGGTCAAGAACTTTCCCAGTGCAGCAGCTCCCCACCCCCACCCTGCACCCCGAGCTCAGGATTGGTCCCAGAACCTTTGGACTGACCTTTGTTTTACCCCAGCCCTTTATATTTTTCATTTTGAGATAGTGTTTCGCTGAGTTGCCCCTGCCTGGCCCTGACTCTCCTGCCTCACCCTCGTAGTGCTGGGATTACCGCCAGGGCCCCGTGCCGGCTCCCCACAGCTTCTTTCATTGCACAGTACAAACATTTCTGTCGGTTCTGTCGGTTCTGGAGCCGAAGTCCGAGACCCAGGCAGGGCTGGTTTCCGGCCCGCTCTCCTTGGGCTGCAGGTGACCGCCTTCCTGTCCCCGCGTGGTCCTCATGCCCTTCCCACACCGTCACCTCTGACACTGCCTGGCTCAATTGGGATTCCATAAATACTAACCAAGTGAAAGGATGATGAAAGCGGGGTTCCAGCCCCCGACGCCCTCAAAGCCTGCGGATCTGGCTGCCCGGTTGTTTCCTGTTTGAATAGCAGCCCTGCGGCACCGACCGAGCCTGAGGCCGCACAAGGGCTAACCGGTCCGCGAGCCGAGCGGCTGCCAGCTGCGTGGGGATATGCGGTCCTCCACCCGCACGCACCTCGACCCCCGCGTGGGCCCTCACCCCAGCGCCCCCGGACCAACGACTGGGACCCGCGCCCACCGAGGGCAGCGAGAGGCTGCTGCAGGCCGGGCCGGTGACCGTCCCCGGACCCCGGGACGCGGCTCCCCGCTGCGAGACAAGAAAAGGATCATTTCACAGTAGGCTTCGCCCTTTCCGGCCGTCCCGGGTCAGTGGGGACACGAGCTGGAGGGATCGTGGGTCTTGGGCTTGCGTGTGACACACCAGGCTGACGCACTGGGTTCAGGTCCGCACAGCAGCTGACGCACTGGGGCCCTGCGGGTGGGATCCGGCAAGCTGTGTGTTCACATGCGCCAGGCGATTTGAATATAGGCTGAATTCTGGGGACCACCGTATCATGGAGCTCAGTTATGTGAAAATAAGCACAACGGTTAGTCAGGTGCCTGGCAAATAGCAGACGCTCAACAAATGACAATACAGTTTGCACTATATTCCGGGAGCGTAGAAGTATTTACCCAAAAACTGCAGAGAAGGCTCAGTGGAAAAGCATTCACTTAGCACTTCTGCACCCCTACAGCTGGAACCTCAGCACCAGCAAAAACGGAGAAGAACGAAAACAGTTAAACAGGTAGTTCCTGTCTGCCCTTTAATCAGCTCCTTGCTTTCTGTGAAATTTTGAAGAGATATGCACCCAAAATAGCCTCTCCAGTGATAACACCGTAGATATACAGCAATGCTTCTCATGTGTAAACATTGTTTTGAGGGGCTGGAGATTTAGCTCAGCGGCATAAGCACCTGCCTTGGAAGCAGGCAGTCGTCAGTTCGATCCCTGGTACCGATAAAAATGAGAAAGAAAAAAAAAGACAAAAAAAAAAAAAAAACCACATTGTTTTGACATACAGTAATAGGTTACTTAACAATAGGGCGCATTCTGAGGAGCATGCCAACCTATTTCATTGTGCAAACATAGAATGTGTCACTAGTCGATAAACTCCAGGAACAGGATCCTCTGTGCAGTTTGCAACTGACATAATGCAGCTTACAGCTGTGCTTTCCTGTACCTTGGCTCTTTAAAAAGCAGAGCATGGTTCATGTTACAGGTCTTACAATTTTAATTCATTCAGATTTCAGCTTATGCTTCAACTAGTTTAAAATGGAAAAACAATGTAATGGTCAATGTTACGGATTAACAGCTGGTGGTCAACTTAACGCCAGCTGGATCACATCAGCGTGGCACTGAGCGAAGATGCTCCACCTGAGGAAAGTTGCCAGCATAAATAGATAGAGAAGGAGAAGGAGGTTGTTAAGGTGTTAATGTGTTGTTGCGTTGAGGCATTGTGGGTTCTCCTACATGTTGCTGTTTGAGCCATTGGTTCTCCTGGAGAAGCTCTGGTCCTCACATCAAGCATTGCTTCCTGACTCTGGAGGGGAAGACATGTGCCAATTGGTCACCAGGATGTGCTCCTCATGCTGGCTTCCTGGCCTGTACCCGACTGAGTTGTCAGTGGAGGAGCTTGGGGCCTCCGTGTCACTGAGGATGGCTGTGGTGCCTTTCAGGATCGCCCTGGTCTCTGTTTTGAGCGTGACTTCTCGGCTCCAGCATAGAACCCTCATTCCACCAGCACAGCTCCTTCACCCCGCTGGCATAGACTTCCTGGCTTCCATTGCTGACCTTTGGGCCTTCCGGGCACGGATCCATAAAAGAGACTGGTGTGAGTCCTCATTGTGGGCTCTGGACCTCCAATTACACTTGTGAGAGGCATTTCATGAGTTCTGGGTTTTCATCTGGACTCATGTGAGACATTGCTGTGGGATTTAGGCCCTTGACTAAATAGTCTATGTTTTTGGTGTTGTGGATAGATTTCCTGCATTTACTTGTGTTAACTCCTGGTGACCATTATAAAAATAATATTATAAACTCTATGTCCTGATTCTAATTGTTCTGTGTTCAATCCCTAACTACAACAATCAACTGACCTTAGAAAAAGACTAGCCTTAGATAAAGAAAAGTATAGATTTGTTTCTAGGGAAATGCAGATTTGTGATCCTCTCAATTTTTATTACTTGTCTTTTTATTTTACATGTTGCAGAAACTTCATAAAGGACACACTCAATTTAATTGAAAATGTTAAGACTGCCCAAAAAAGGATTGCCTAGAATTGATCAAGCTCAAGATGAACAAACCTACCTTGAAAATTTAGCAGTACAGAGAAATGCTTCTGCTTTTTTTGAAAATTATGATCGGAGTGAAATACAAGAGTTACTGACTACAGCGTTAGCCAGCTGGTTGTCTACCAAAGAAGATGGTCGCTCTCAGCTGGAGTTCCCAAGTGGAATTATGAGCCAAATGAATAATGTAGGTTTCTCCACTGCCATCCTGCTGATGCCCGTGGACCCCACTGCCCTCTTAGACTACAGAGAGGTCCATCAGATCATAAGGGAGTTGGCTGTTGGAATTTACTGCTTCAATCAAATTCCTTCAATCAGTTTAGAAGCTAATTATGACCAGAGTTCTTCCTGTCAATTACCTCCAGCTTATTTTGATACCAGAATTGGGCAAATTCTGATCCATATTGACTACATGCTGAAAGCACTGTGGCATGGGATATACATGCCCAAAGAGAAACGAACCAGGTTCTCCGAAATGTGGCGTACCATCATGGACGTTGATCCAAATGGGAAGCCTCAAACAAATAAAGATATTTTTGCAGAGTTTAGTTCAGCAGGTAAGAGACTGCACTTCTTAGTTATTTTTATTAGAAGGCACTTTTAATTTTAAAAATAATTTATGCCAGGGATTTAGCTCAGTGGCACAAGCACCTGCCTGGAAAGTGTGAGGTCATGAGTTTAATCCCCCATATCCCCCATACCAAAAGAAAGTTTTTAAATAAAAAATAAAAGTAGTTTGTCTGTGCCTAAATTTCTATAGCCATCTTTCTTGATTAAAAATTTTTCTAAATTTAGCCATCACTTCTAAAAAGAAGTTTTCTCTAAATTTCAAGAAATACTTCTAATAAAACTAGTCTTTTTTTTTTTTTTTTTTTTTTTTTTTTTTTTTTTTTTTTTTTTTTTTGTCTTTTTCATTTTTATCGGTACCAGGGATCGAACTCACGACCGCCTGCTTGCAAGGCAGGTGCTTATGCCGCTGAGCTAAATCCCCAGCCCAATAAAACTAGTCTTTAAAAACTGCCACCAAATAGCCAGACATGATGATGGACACCTGAAATCCCAGCACTTGGGAGGCTGAGCCTGGATGATCACTGTGAGTTCGAGGCCTGCTTGGGCTACATAAGCGAGTTCAAGGCCAGGCTCCCGGCACTGTCTCCAAAAAAGTCATCAGAAATTTTTAATTTAATCTCCAGTTTCTACAGAACAGATCAGATCCCAAATTACCTAATAGTTTTCAGTTTATCCTTTTTGTCTTATAGAACCTACACAGGAAAATGCATATACATCCAAGAAAAAGAGTAGAATTGAAGGGCAACAACAAAAAAAAAAACCCTCCAAACTTGGAAACAAAATGATTATCCTACTGATTAAATTTGCGCATTGCAGATTTTGTAAACCTCAAAACAAACCAAAAATGAATGTTACAAGAATGGACATGCGGGGGTTGGGGATTTAGCTCAGCGGCATAAGCACCTGCCTTGCAAGCAGGCAGTCGTGAGTTCGATCCCTGGTACCGATAAAAACGAAAAAGACCAAAACATGCGTTAGCAACTTAGGTCTTGATATTTTGGTAGCGTTCAGTTTCAAGATCATGTGTTCTTAGTTCACCTAATTTTGAATTTCCTCCCTCATCAAGGTTATACTTCTCTCTCTTTTTTTTTTTTTTTTTTTTTTTTGTCTTTTTCGTTTTTATCGGTACCAGGGATTGAACTCACAACTACCTGCTTGCAAGGCAGGCGCTTATGCCACTGAGCTAAATCCCCAGCCCCAAGGTTATACTTCTCGATAGCCTGAATATGTAAACAGTAGCTGCCCCTAAATCTGCATCCATTCCAGCTTATGTAATTTTTTATTGAAGCTTTAAACATTTTTCTGATGTTCTTTGCAGCAGGCCAGGTAGAGCAAGGAGTGAAAACAGGATACATATACTCCAGATATGTACTGCTCTCAGCTCCTTTCATTATCAAGTATACCTCAGACACCTTCCTAACTTAATTTCCAGAATTTCTAGGCACAGACTTGAAAAAAAATTGATCTTATTTTTTGTAAATCTGTGTAAGAATTTCATTGGACTGATGGAGAGAGCAAATTGATAGAATTTATTATATCTGAAACTGGGAAAGAAAAAGACAGCTCATCCTTCAACAATAAAATGGTGCAGAGGAATCTATTGATTGGCTTAGTGCACATTAATTGGCCACCTATTTTTAGTTTTGATATTCAAAAATAAAAGAATTTAAATATTCATTTTTATATATTGTCTTAATATATAAGATTTTCTAAGATGGAAAGGTTTTTTTGCATAAACTCAGGCAGGAAAAGATTAATACTCTCCTTGTGGATGTATACTCATTTTCCTGTGTAAGCTCTATAAAACAAAAGAGTTTCCCTTGGCATAGCTAGTAACTGAATGGTAAATAAATGGTAAATGGTAAATCATGTGGAAATGAACTACTTTCACTTGAATTGGGCATGTTATTGGGAGGAAAATTATCTGAAAAAGAATATTTTGTCAGTGTAGGTCTGTAGTAGAGAAAATACTTTGAAAAACAAATCTGTTGTGTCTTAGCTTCTCAACAAAACAGAAGAATTATAACCGTTAGAATATTTAATGCAGTTAATATGGTGAGCTCATTTCATGGGGCTGTTATCTGACCTCTTTTCCTTCACTGTCATTAATAGCTAAATCAACAATTATGCATACATATATTTATAAAAGACTCCCACTTGATTTATTCATTTTATAAATATTAGTTGAACTTTTATTTCTTGCTAAAAGAAAAAAAATAAGTCCAACTGGCAAGAACAGGTAAACAAATACTTGACTATAAAGTCCATGAAAATAGGACCCTCATCTGCGTTGTTTATTCCTGAAAGTTTAGTGCTTAATACAGTATCTGACACATAATATTTGAGCATGAGCAAAAAGTTGTTAAGTTGCATTAAAGGAGTTGAATGAACAGATCATTACATGAGGAAGGAGTATTTTGCATGTTACTTGGTTTCTACCATTGCCAGTGGGTGAAGCTGGAGAATAAACTTAGCTTGTGCATCCCAGATGGACTCAATGTTTATTAACTGACGAAGAGCCCCTCACCAGGGGTGTCACAGGTGCTTGCGTTCACACTAGAGGATGTCACGATGAGGAGGGCAAGTAAGTTTCCTGTAGGTCATGCTCAAGGCTTGAGTACTTCCTGGCACAGTGTCTCCGGATATCTAGGAACAAGAGCTGCAGCTGGGTGGTCACCCCCGAAAGCCTCCGAATTCAGGACCTGAAATACAGATGTGTTGTGTTTGCTGCCTGTGTTATTTACTGTAACTGTGTCTGGCTTGCTATGAAATTCAAATGCTTGCGAATAATCTGTGATGTCAGGAAGGCAGTCTGATTCACCTGCTACAGGCCGGATTTCCAGATGTGTTGTTTCAGGCAAAACAATGTGATTCTCTTGAAGACGATGTCTCCATATCTCAGGACAGCTTAGATAGCTGTCAGCTCTCATTTTCACGCCAGCTCAACTTTTGAGAGAAGGTTCTAAGGAAAGAGGAAATTCTCGTTCCCCTGGAAGAGAACTGCTCAGTGGTATTGGTGGAGTAAACACTAATACCATGTGGGTAAGGGTTTCATCATGGTTATTTTACTAGAAAGTTTTCAGTTTACTTTATGTGTTTAGCTTCCTTAGTAACAAAAAGAAGTTTACACTATTAGGCCTGAAAAAGCAAAATACACTTTATATCAAAGGAAAGACTGATTCCCTAATCCAGGGGATATTACACTGTCTTGTTGCTCTTCCATATTTTTCTCGATTAAAAAGGAGACTTAGATTATTGTGTCACAATGGTTTTATTTTTCTTTCTGCAAAAAATAGCTGGGCTGGGGATTTAGCTCAGTGGCATAAGCACCTGCCTTGCGAGTATGTGGTCATGAGTTTGATCCCCGGTACTGATAAAAAAGAAAAAGACAAAAAAAAAACAAAAAAAACAAACAAACAAAAAAAAAAAAACACAGCTCTTCAAGGAATTAGTAGAGGAAATTCATGTTTTTTTTTTTTAATTCAGCTGGTTTTATTTTCTCTCTGCTTAGTGGCTATCATCTATCTGCTTTTCTTCTTACACTATTTTATTATATCTCATTGTTTTTATTTAACTGTAAGCCTAGCAAGATTTCAAGGTGAAAGTCTGTGTTCAGTCTGGTGTATTTATCTGGGAGGAAGTCAAGCATGAAGCTTCCGTGGTCTAAATTTTTCTTTTTTCCTGTGAAGGTTTGATGGATATTACACAGGACCCAGACTTTGATGGAATCTATGATGAAGACCTGAATGAAGATCCAACATATGATCCCAACAGTGCTGAAGAGAAAGCTGTGTTTATGAAATATGCTGAACATATCCTGCTAAAATTGACATTCAGTACCACACAAGTTCAGCAGTGTGAAAATATCTTTATATTTGAAACAGCCTATTGGCTTACCAATGCTATAAAATGTACTCAGGATTACCTTGATGTTTGTACCTATCAGAGACTACAGCAAAGATTGTATCTTCAAATAAAGCTTATTCAAAAACACTTTGAGAAGAAAAAAGAAATCAGAAGAGGGATAGGCTACCTGAAGCTGATATGTTTTCTGGTTCCATTTTTACTAAGTTTGAAAAAGAAGATGAAAGTTCCATATTTAAATAGCCTGCTTCAGCCTTTTTCAGGTAGGATATCACCAAAAAACAAATATAAAACGGTATATGAATATAATAAATGCATATCTAAGTCAATTTTTTTCTAGTATGTTTTCCAGGATCATAATCTTTTAGAACAGCAACAAGTTTAATGCTTCCAATGTAATTAAAAATATTTGGCCTACATACATAGCATTTTGTATATATTTATGTTAATTATAAAAGCTACCAAAAGACAAAATAAATTTTAAATAAACAATGCCCAGTGTTCATCTAAATTACTCGGTAAACTCAATGCACTTCCATTCAATCCAACTATATTTTTCATTAATGTTTACAAACTGAATGATCTTACATTTCTTAAAAAAGATTGAAACATTAAAACTGTAATAATTAAGCAAAGGAATATTGGCACTTTCATAAACAAGTGGAACAGAGGTGTGAATCAAAAGCTGTTTATATGCAACAGGGGTTTGCTCTTACAGAATTCACAGACTTCACTGCAAACTCTTCGTGCTGCCCAGATCAGCGCATGGTTTACACACTTCATTGGTGTCCAAACAGGCAGGCTTCTTCTAATGAGGTTCCTATTCAGATAGCAGAATCTTGGCAGAAATTTTGCAAATCATTTAGTAAAATTTTGTAACATGAGAATTCAGAGGCAATGATTAGCTCTGTTACCTGTGAATTATTTTAAAATGGAATCAGGATAGTGGCCCATGGGTGTGTGTGTGTGTGTATGTGTGCATGTGTAATTTGAGGGACTGTGTAAATGCAGTGTCAGCTATATCGTAGTGTTCCCTTTGATAGGCTGTTGAAAGCAAGCAGGATAAAGTTAATTCTATATGGTCAGATTAGGGTATGATATTATTCTTTGTACTTTCATGTACCTTTTATATTTCTCAAAATATATTATGGGCATTGGTGAAAGCATCTACTAATGTGTAAAAATATTGAACAAACAATCCTCACTATGGTTTTTTAAAAGTATTCTTAAATATACATTTTATGTGTGGTTTTATTACCTTCCAGAAATGTAGTCCATTTATTTTTTTATATTTAAAATATCTACCTATTTCTTTATAGCATGCTTTTTATATAAGCTAATTCAGGTTTTTGTTTTTTTAACCAAAGATCTTCTAAGACACAAAATTTAAAGTCTTTTCTGATAACTGAAGATAAGATACTAAAATCTTGACCACATTTATAGACATCAATAGGTAGAATGGTGTTTTAACTACACTTTTACAATGTCTACACAATGAAACACTACAGAAAGTGCAAAAGGTGTTTGATATAAACAATTTGTATGTTCAAAATATCATATATATTTAGATCATAAGCAATTTTATATATTATAAATATCTTAATTTCATGTGTTTTTTACTTTGTTTACATAAATTTTTAAATCTCCAAAATATAGTTATTTATATTTGCTCATTTTTTAAATAAAAGTTTGTTCTCATTTTGGAAGATGACAAGGTCAAGACAGAGCGAGAACTGCCTCCGTTTATTCATGGACGAGATTTTAAATGCCAGAACTTTCACTACAAAGAGAATCAATATTTTCATGTTCATGGAGGAATTGAATTTGATATCACCACCCCTTCAATTGAGAATGCTTTGGACGATTTTAAGGTTGTAATTATTGTTGTTCCTGAGATGGTTCATTGTTTTGCAATTTTTTTCTCCTATTTTCCAACCGTAAACCACCTCTATTGATATAGGGACTATACACGTGTCCAAACAAGTGTCCTCACAACTTTCTCTCCACATTGCTTTCACATAAGTTAATTAGGAGAAACTCTATCTCAGGAACTCTGTTGATGTCAGGGATAAAGCCATAGGTAAGCTGGGAACATACATCATCCTCCAAAATTTACCGACTTCTAATTGGCTGTATTTCCCCGAGAACAGTCAATCAAAAGGTGTGGTAGGAAGTATCAAACACTCACTACAAATAATCCTTCCACTCTCCTCAAAGACTAGCACTAGAAAAGAGGCCCTTTAGGGTTTGAGAATAATTGTTTATCGGGAATTTCCTACAAACTTTACACATTTCAACTGCTTTTCTGCCTTGACTACATTATGTTTCCTTTGTGGTTTTCCTTTATTTTCAAAGTAGGGCTAGATACACAGTTACTTTCAAATTTTTCTGGGGATATTATGTTTAAATTTTTCACTTAAATGTATAAATTTTCATATAAAAGAAGTCTTATAATTGTTTGCATTTTTACAAAGATAATTTAGTAACATAATTCATATTTTAGAGCAATTTAGAAAAAATCCGGCAATGTGCTGCTAATACATTTGCAGAAGATTTCGGATACAGAGAATATTACTCAATACCAGTCATGGAATTTTGCGGAAAAAGGTAAGGAACTTTTGGTAACTATTTACACCAGCCACATATTATTGAATGCTAGCAGAGAACATGGAACAAGAATGTGTCAAAATGCAACAGCTCAAACCTTTGCAGGGAGGTAAAACCTTGGGGTGGGACAGCGGAACAATAATGGCCTGATGAATGATGTTCTCACTGCAGAGCATGGATTAAGTGCTATAATTATTACTTTATGTGCCTTGACACTGACAGCAGTCCTTAGCGCTCATAATTACTTCTTATAAATAACACGACGGTTAAATCATGATGGAGATGAGGATTAAATCTTGTGAGCCAACTGAAAACTGCAAACTCCTCACACACCGCGGTATTTCCATAAGGAATGCGGTTCTAAAATCCTCTTAAGTCCTGCTGCGTCCCATCTATTTTTTTTTTTCTTTTTAGCAGTATGTTTCCTCCAGTAAGCACAGCTAGCATATTTTATATGTTCTTGGGTGTTCACATTTTAAACACTGACTTTTGGAGTCAGTGGAGAGGAAGTATTTGCACTGGATATTTAAAAACGTATAAATAGGTTCATTTATTTGTTTGCTGTTTTGAAGGGCTGGAAGAAGTTAAGAGGCTAGGACCAAGTGTGGAACTCTGGAGAGCAGACTTTTAGAGAGGGTAGGAGAGGCAGAGCGAGGAGAAAGAGCCACGGAGGAGTCTGAGAGGGAATGACACAGGACAGGAGGGTGGGGCACATAGGTGAGTGTGGAAAGTTTTAAGAATATGGAAATAAATCAAAGAGCTCTCTTTAAATATGGCTGTAAGTTACTAAGACATTTTTGATGGGTTTTGGTTAAAGGAGGCTATTGTCCAGGAGTTGAAGGGTCCAGTGGAGCAAAGTTAGTAAGTGGGAAGGCAAAGATTATTAATTTCTTTCCAGATGCATGGTAATGAGGGGAACCAAAAAACACGGCATAGAGCTGTCAGGATAGTGGCTGAAAGGTGGGTTTGTCTCTTGAATACCACTTGGGTGAACAATTACTACAGCGCTGAAGTCACAGACCATGTAGCACCTCGCCCAGCCAGGACTCGGGTCAAGTGTCCAGCCCTGACACCTAGGCTGCCACTGTTCCCGCAGGGTGTGGGTGAAGGCAAACTTCACTTGTGTTGTTGTGGTCTGATGTTATTTTGTGGGAAGGGATCATTCTTAGGGAGAATGATACCTCAAGAAAATAAACAAACACCTCCATCAAAGCACCGAGGTCTATTATAGCATAAACACTGGGAGTCGAAGTGAAGCCCCAGGAGAGTTTTGGCCTCTGATTAATTATTAGCTGAACCTTTCCTTAATTTTGTAACAGATCCATGGGAGCCAGTTGTTCTCCCTCAGTCCCCGGGAGAGGAGTTTCCTGAGCATACAGTCAGGAAATTATTTCTCGAAATTAGTACCGTATAATGGAGCAAATTTCTCAGCACTCCTAGGAGAACTGCCAGTCCCCGAGGAGCAAAGAGCCTTAGAAGGAAGCCCCTGTTAAGAACGTTGCTTTGACAGCAATATCGAAATGCTTGCTCACCACTGAAATCCGGGCCTGGGGAAAGGTTCCTGGGGCAGCGGAGGAAGATCACCCTGTTTCTTCACCGAGCTGAGAAGCACCCCCAGGAAACACACTAACCAAAACTGAACCTGGCCTGCACTGCAGAGCGCCAGCTGCAGGAGTGCAGGGGCTCCCCTCCCAGGGACCTGGTGGGCTTGAGTTTCTTTAGTCCGTGGCTGCAGAAGCTGAAGGCCAGGTTGCTGTGCTCAGAGCCCCATCCGAGTCAGACTCCAGGCAGACAGCCCTGGAGAAAGAAGACACAGGACCCAAAGAGAGGCGAGAGGCGTGCAAGGAGGAGATGAACCCAGAGCTCCCCCTGGCCAGAATGTGGGCTTCCAGACACTTGGAAGCAGCGCCCCTGTCTGGTGTGGGAAGCACAGAGTCAATCAATCCACGGGGTCAGTATGGGAAAGTTGCTTCCAGAGAAACACTTGGTTAATAACAGTTGGTAACTGAGTGATTAATACATTTACAATCACGTACAACTGAAACTGCAGTTCTGTGTTATGGAAAAATCAAGTAGTGCCGGCCTACACCAAAAAAGTAGCAAATCACTTCATACTTTGAAAAAATGTTTTCCTTTATTTTTCATAGCTATTACGTGATCTATTTTGAACTGGAAATTTTCTATCAGCAACTCTATAAGATACAGTGGTGGGGAGCCATCAATGAAATAATGGACACTTTGAGAGTGAAGCGACTTCCACTGACAGAGGCTCAATTACACGAACAATTTAAGAAAAAATTTGGTCTCAAAAAAGCTATGAAATGCAAGGTATTTCAGTGACTGTCACATAATACGGTGTAAAAAGTTATATATTATCAATAAGTATATGTCTCCAATTTTTATAGTAAGGATAAATAAGAGGTTAAAATCTTCAAGATGATATAAAATACCACATTTTACTAGCTGAAAGTATACTGTCCTGTATTGTAAGCTTTTGGCATAGTATCAAAATCTGTTAATGAATTGGATTATGATTAATGTTAATAATGGCTAATGTTTATTAATTGCTTATGTCCTATGCCAGGCATTATTATAAATCAAAAAAATTCTCTTAAGGTACTAGTCTATTATCATTCCTATTACACAAATGAGAAATTCAAGGTATAGAGTTAAAATCTTTTCCAAATAACACAGGGCACAAATGGGAGAAGCCAGCTTTAGCGCTAGGAGTGAATGGAAGGGACAAACCTAAAACCCTGAATCAGACCTTACATCTGTTTCACAAACCTTGATCGTACACTGCCACTCACTTTGCATGTGTTTGCTCTAAAATCTGAATAGCTAGTTTACCTTTCAAGTATCTCGTAGTCAGAATGCTTAAGGAGCACTGCTTTTACCTGTTTTGAGATGTAAAGAAGACAATCTGTATTTTCATAGATACACACTTCAAGTTTCTAGGTATGTAAGCTGTTTTTAAGGAAAGGAATCCAATTATATTCATTTGTTTTTAAAGTTATCTGTGGGGCGGGGGATTTAGCTCAGTGGCACAAGCGCCTGCCTGGGAAGTGAGAGGCTGTGAGTTCAATCCCAGGTAACAAAATAAATAAATAAATAGATAAATAAAAAGTATCTCTGAAGGTGTTTGTCCACTCTGTTTATCTACTTTGTCTGCAGAGAAGGAAGTTCTACAGCTTACTCTTTAAAAATGAAAAAACAAAAAGGCTTCCCAAGTGGAATCCCAAGGATGTCCTCGTACAGTTGCTCTGACAACTTTTAGCACATAGTTGAAGCACAGTCATGTGATTTGGTTACATATTTGGGGTCCCTTTTCCCTTAAAGCCAATTGTAGGTAGATTTCATAGTAATTATTTAAAAACCAATTCTGGACTTCTTCCTAATTTCAGAGCATACCATTTGGTCTGAAGTCTGCTGTCGAGAGAGGATTGTCTGCAGTCTTCCACACATTTAGCCGAAAAACCTCCAGCTCCACAATCAACGTCTCAGATGAGGCGGGCTATGCCATCTTCCACCACGCCGCCCTCCACAACAGGATTTCCATCATCTGTCACCTGTGCGACGCCAACTTCAACATCAACCAGAGATGCTTCATTACGTTCAGCCAACGAGGCATATATCTTTTAACCTAAAATGTTAGGGTTACACTGACCATTTATTCTGCATTAAGCAAGCTTAAATTTTTATGCTGATATCTTGAGAGAACTTGAGGGTTTTGTTTACCTAAGAAGAACTTTTAGTTTTATTAAGAATCAATTGTCACTGGCTTATATAGTATTATGTTTGTTTGTTTGTCCCTCTCACTTGAATATTAGCTCCATAAGGGCAAGGATTTGGTTTGCTTTGTGTGCCATGGTAAGTTAGCACTCAGAAGAAAGCCTGGCATCAGCAGTTGCTCATGGAATGTTTGTTGAATAAATGAATGCAAGATAGAATCTGGTAAGCACTAGCACAATTAAAATATGGCGATGTACTAGAGAAATTCAGAGAGAAGAAGGATGAATGTCCATCAGATCCTGGTGGGATGATCTTTTATCCCCTCTCAGCATTTTAAACTAGGGACTAGTGTCTTCATAGTACTTACATTTAAGGATGAAAATGCTCTTTTATAATATTCTTTATGATTAATAGTCCCTTTCAGGGTACCTTAGTTTAAATTCTAAAAAGCCTTTTTTTCTGATGGTTAAATATACATACATGTTTTTGGATTCACTGGAATAAATTTTAGTGGCATAAAAAATAAAGTTATAATCTAAAGTAGGGAAAGTGTTGTCAAGATACATATAAATAAAGATAAATTGTCAGGAAGGGTGGTACAACAGTATCAACAATAAGAAATGGTGATTTTATGTTTTAATTAGATTGGCAACCTTAGTACGCTGTGTCAAATTTTTTTCCCACAAGAATGAACTGTTACACTTTAATCCTGACTAAATTCTGAACTCTAGCAGTGTGACTAAAACACCTTCCACAGTGTGAAGATCCATCTGTCAGTTGCAATATTCAGTGCAGAATGAACCTAGTTAAACAATGCAGGATTCAATCAAATCCAAATACAGTGATTAGACTGTTATTTAAATGTGTTACTTTAAACTTTTAATGTGAAAAGAAACTTTGGTAAATTAAACTCTCTCGTTGACCCTCTGACTTCTTGAGTATATAAATTACTGGTGATATTATTGCTTACTCAGGGTGAAATCACACCAGCTGTGAGTTTTAGAAGCCTAGAGAAGTGGACTTTCCAGTCTGCTTTGATCATAGCGTTAGGCACAAGCCGCATGCCCATATGGCCTGACCAAAAGTCGCTCAGTACTATTTGACATAATCAGCACACAATCATTTTGTTCTGTTCTGAGCAATATAAGGAACTGCTCTGTATTAATAATCATGCTTTTATGTGTATTTCCTTTTAAAACAGAGTCATCCAAAATGGACATGAAAAAAGAAAGAACTGGTAAGTCGTGAGTAAAATAGTTGGTGTATTTCCAAAGGCTGTGGCATATATTACAACTTTGTTTATAGCACACAGTCTGCAAAATATTCTGTCATGTGACAGTGTACCATAATGATGTTTCATATCCAGTTTGAACTATGGTTTTTCTAATCCTGGTTATTTGATTTTCTTCTCAAGTTTTTTTCCTTTTATTTTTTTTAATGTGAAATTTGCTGCCACCTCTACTTTTATAAATTCAGATCCTCAAAATAGCTTTTACACTTTAACAATAAGCAATTAATACAAGTTAGGTCCTTGACTATCTAGGAGCAATATCAGTCTGTGAGTCTGAGAGAGTTGTTCCAGTGGGTCCTGCCACTCTTCCTTGGGAAACAGACTTGGAGATGCTACCGCAAGATCGGATTTACATTTGGAAAAATATGAATGAGGGAAAGACCATGAAAAAGAAGAGAGAGCACCTGGGGCTGGTTATGACTTAGGGTGCTGCTGCCTTAGCGATAGGTTCCTGAGATTTTAGACCTTGGAGATGGTTCTATTCCAGAGATACAATGGAGATAGGTGCTAAGGAGTATTCCAGGCTTCTGTTTTGCAGAACTGGCCAGTCCTAATGTCTTCCACTGATTTAGAGAGCAAAGAGAGAACCAGCTTTGGCAGGAGAGACCCAGGTTCTGTCGGGGATGTGTCAAGGGTGAGGTGATGGTGGAGGTATTTGGCTACAGGTGACATAAATCTGGGGCTCAGAGAAGACAGCAGACATCACCTAGGAGTCACCACCTTACAGGGGCTGAGCGAGGCCACGGAGAAGAGAAACAGGCCCAAGACGGCATTAACGTTCACTCAGACATCAGGACAGTAAGAAGGTCCTCAGGGGAGAGCACAGGGAGCCCAAGGCCACGAAGAGCAGTGACAGTTTTAAATAGGAGCAAGCGACTAACAGTATAAAAATATTTTTCAGAAGTAAGCAAGATGAAAATTATCAAATGGCCCCTGGATTTAGTGACTGAGAAGCCTTTTTTTCCAATTTCATGCAGTCTTATCTCCTACCACAAAATATTTGAATCAAGTGGAAAATAATTTAAATAAATAGCTTATTTTAGCACATGGATATTTTATGTATTCACTCAAATTTTAAAATATTTGATATTTTCAATGTTGTATCTTTATTGACTTTGAAAAATTACGATATTTTCGTGATCAGACATCTAAGTTAGAGAAATACAGGACTGCCTAATTCATTATTTTAGTGCTTACCTTAAAGACTCATTGTGTAGAATACTAAGCCTTGTAGTTGGATGCCAAAATGGTATGGTTTTATTAGAAGCATTGAGTCTCTGACCACTGAAATAATCATCTGTCCCTCCCAGGCCCGACGCCTCTCCACCTGGCCGCACAGGCTTGCTCACTGGAAACCAGCATCTGTCTGCTTTCTTTCAAAGCCGATTACACACTGTCTGAAAAGAGAGGCTGGATGCCAATCCACTTCGCGGCTTTCTATGACAATATCAGCATCATCATTGTTCTCTATAGGAAGGATCCTACTGTGCTAGAAGCAGAGGCCACCGCTGAGTAAGTTATTAAGCATTTATAAGCACACGGATTTCCACATGTCTGACTTTCCTACACACTGACACTGAAAGACACTCTGATACGGGTGACTTGGTGTCCTTTCTGGTTACTGTCTTCTTCGGCACAGCTTCACAGTCCCTCAGGACAAGAGCTTCAGTCAGACTGCATGTTTTCTGGAAGAATCAGGAGTGAGCCAGTGGGACTTTTTCCCTAACTTTGTCAAGGTCATATCGTTCCACAGGACAGTGGTTCAGGTTAACTACTCAGTACCCAGCAGGAAGCCTAGGATTAAGGGGCAGAAAGCTGCTCCCCACCAAACGCTGTATCACCAGGAGTTAGCATAGGGCTCCAGATCTAAGTGGATGGGGCTAGTATCACAGAATAAATCGTAGTACCTGAAAAAGAATAGAGTAAAAGAAAAGCAAATTTTTGGAATAAGAAAGTGTCCCCAAAGGTCTTTAGCTGCACCATTTAAGGACTGAACTCTGGGGCAGATGTGTAGCTTGTTCTGAAGGTACATCCTTGCCTAGGAATCTAAAGAACATATGTTGCTCTTCTGAACCTCTGAATCTGATTGAGGTAGTTTCATGCAGGTTTTTCTATGTCTTCAAATATTGTGCAGTGGTCTAGGGCTAGGACTGTGGGCCAGCGTTGTGATTTGCCAGTTATTTTTCAATGGTCTAGGGCTGGTATAATTGACAGTTCCAGGACACTGACTTTCTCTTACTAGTTCTTAACACGGCTTTCACATCATGGCACAAAAGCAATTCCTGCTCCTATTATCATGACTGTGGATAGCGAGAGAAAACACTGCCACTCTCCATGCTCTTTAGGCAGCTGCCCAAGTAACTTCCACTGACACAGTGGCCAGGTTGGGTTGCATAGCTGTACCGGTCCTAGTGAGGGTTGGGAAATGTAGCCCTGGCCTGGGTAACCATGCGTCCAACCGAAAAGTCTTCAGTATCTAAAAGGCAGACTGCAGATATATTTTTAAAAAATTATTAGTTTGTACCACGGTTAGGAAGCTAGGAGCTGAAAATTGGAAGTGAAGTGTGAAGTAATAAGTCTGACCCGGCCTGAGCCTTAGTGTCACCATTTGTGCAATGAGCTCATCCTTCCTTGCTTTTTACTTTTTCGGGGTTGTTATCAGGATTAAACAGGACATAGTATTCTAAGAGTTTTGTGTATCATCAACTACCGAAGACAAGAAAAGGCATGACAAGCAAGTCAGAAAGGAGCCTGGGGACCAGACAGCAAGGGAGGTGAATGTGTTACAGGTGGGATACGGAAGGTGACCACTCACAAGGAAGAGCCCATGGTGGTGTGGATCAGTGTTCCTACAACAGTACTTTGAACAGCTAACAAAAAGTCAATTTGACACTCTCTGTGCTCAAATGTTACAATGTATTCCTTGATTTTCAGGAATCAGTGTACTCCACTGTTACTTGCGGCCACTTCGGGAGCTCTGGACACTATTCAATACCTGTTTTCCCTCGGTGCTAACTGGAGAAAAACAGATACTAAAGGAAACAATATAATTCATTTGTCTGTACTAACTTTTCACACGGAGGTACTTAAGTATATAATACAATTAAATATTCCTGAACTCCCAGTTTGGAAAACTTTAGTAGGTGAGTATAGAAAACACAATTTCTTTGTAAATAAATGTTCTGATCATCATGACATAATTTATGAGTTAAAATCAGAAATAAAAATAGAATGTTAAGTGATTTTTGTGTATGAAAGTAGTTTTTCTAAGTTAAAGGAAGTATGTGACAGTTTTACACAATTACGCTTACTTTTGTTTTTCAACTTTTCTGAGAAGTGAAGTCATCTTCTCTACCATCAAAAACTAACTTAATGCCCCACCAAACTATGGCTCTTCTCTCTCCATTGGTTTTATCATGTTGTATCTTGCTGGATTTTATCATATGTGGTAGTATAAACAAAAATTGTTATAGGCAAAGAGACAATATAGAAACATTGTTCATTTTTCTGTTAGCTGGTTCTAAATACTCTACAATGCTTTCATCAACTTGAATGGTGTTACACTGTCTTGATATGTTTGATGCTATAGCATATGAAGTTATATTCAGATATTTCAAGGAAAAAGACACTATGGTAACTACTATTAAGTCGGGTTATTTGGTGGTGAAGCACTAGGTTGCTGAAACTGTCATGCTTTGACCTGTATTGTTATGTTGTTAAGCCCTCTTTTATCTCAACCTCTCCCTTATTCATTGAAAAATTATTTAATTTTTTTTCTTTTTTAAACTAAGGGGAAAAAATCAAAAAAAAGTAGCAGGATATATTATAGTAACCTTTTTGATTTCCTATTAACTTGATTTGAAGTCCTGTAATACTCTCACTATCTTGTTTTGACTGATTAGACTCTGTTCCGCTCTGTATGATAGTATTAAGTATCAGAGTATAGGTAACTACTTTGAAGGCAATAAGGTTCACTTGATGCCAATTCTGCTTTGACTATTATCCTCTTTTGAAGCTCTGTAAGGTTTACAATGTTTAGGTTTTATTGGACTTGTTCTCTACTGTTTTGTTCAACTTTATAATACCTAATGAGATAGACAATTCTTTTTAAGGAAGCAAGAGGCATCATGGTAACCATTGTTGATGACCTTGTACTCTGTTTTTACATCATGTGCTATGTCTATCCTTGGTTTTGACTGACAGCTTTGTTTTATCATGTTTGATTTTATTCTCTTACAAAAAAAAGTAATAAGATCTATGGGAGCAATAAAACCCAAAATGTGTAAATTTTGTTGTAATAAAGAGAGGGAAAAAAAAGTGCCCAAAAGGATACAACAGCAAGGGTGTTTAGGTGTGTTAAATAGATAACCATATTAATATTTTTGATTGCATCATTGAACACAACTGTTTGCACTCTCACTATTTGAATGTTCACTTTGTATGCTTTGATCCTGTGATCTGAATCACCATTTCAAAGATGATAGTGTGTAATCTATTAACTGGTGATATCTGACTGTTTTTTTTTCTTTTTGTAGTTCTATATTACTTGTACCCTTACACTGTTTTGTTTTGTTCTGCTTTTTTTTTCTCTTTTTCCTTTTAAATTAAAAAAAAAAAAACACTAACTTAAAATCCCAGCACTCAGGAGGCTGAGACAGAAGGATTGTTGCGAGTTTGAGACCAGCCTGGGTTACAAAGTGAGCTCAAGGCCAGCCTGAACTGCATAGCAAGACCCTGTCTCAAAAAGACAACAAAACAAAACAAAAACTAACTTTAAAAAAAAAAAAAGGAAAGGGAGAAAAAAATTTTAGGTAGAAAATATGTCCTTCAATGTATTTTTTACCTTCTAATTTTATAGAAAACTTCCAAATTCTTCATATTTTGCTAAATATTTTATGAGAAATTCATTTTGACTTTTCCCCCCAAGTTTGTGTTCAATCTAGCTAGAAATTTGAAGTTAAGGATTATTAGGGCAACTGAATGTTTCACATTTGATTTCATTCCTTCCTGAGACCCCACTAAAACTGCATAAAGATTAATAATTTCATCAGTAGCAGTGGCCAAGTATACAAAGAAAAAATGAGAAAAGATACAGTAACCACAAAATCTTAGACAATAGATTCAGCGAGGCAAGTGTTAGGACTTAGCTGACCAGATCAAGTCCTCCCAAGCCAACCTCAGGAAATCAAAGAACTCCTCAGATCCATCCTGGAAAGCCCTCCGAAGGCTTGAGAACTGGCAGTGCCCAGCAGAAGTGCCCTACTCAGCCTTGCCAGGAAAGACATAAGTGCCCTGAGCCTGGAATTGTCTCTCACCCATGGAGAGGGGAGGGCCCAGGAAACTAGACGTCTCTCCAGGAGAAGAGCAAAACCTTCGAGAGTGACAGGAAAGACAAGTTCCAGGATGGAGCTGTGCACTAACCGAGCGTGAAAAGTCAGGAAGAACTGTCGGCAAGCACAAAGAAAGCTAAGGAGGTGACGTAAAATGAGGAAATTATTCCCTGCAGGAAAGTTAAAAGTGAGAAGTGAGATACAGTTACGCTGCACTGTAATACCTCACCATGGAGAGTGTTATATAAGCATCATGATTAAGCACCTGATATTGATTTAACTAACAATCAAAATATGGTCAAAGGAAAGGCAGAGTATTGTTTTAAGAGCTTATTTTCTACTTTACATTACCTCTATAAATGATATCTAAAATAAAATGTAGCAGTGTATGTAAATATATAGAAAAATGCAAATCTCAAAAGATGTGGGGAAAAAGCATCCAAACCATAGAAGTGGGGAACGTGAGGTCACAAACCACAGCATGTAGCTAGAGCTCTTTGGGTGATATTGAACTCCAAACCACATGGATAAAATAAAAACTAATTAAAGGAAACAGAAGAAAAAGAGTTGGAGAGTGAGAACTGCTTTTTTCCAACAGCTCATTTTAGAATAAGATATGTTTGAGATTTTCAGTTGTGTTTTACTGATTCAAGAAGTCTAAATATTTGGCTTTAAGACAGGCTCAGTACCAATCTCGGAACTTTGAGTGCTGGGAATATATTGTGAGTACGTCAGTCTCAAGAGATACTGGAAAGTGTTTGCAGTGTTCACTTATATGTACATAATGTATAGATGTATAGGTATATAATGGTATAATATATGTATATATATGTCATATTTTAGCTTTTTTACAAGGAGTTGAGAAGCACCTCATGTTACTTTTAATACATTTACACCATTGTGAACACCTACCTTAAGAGTAGAAAGTCTAGCCCTAGCAATAGCTTAATGATACAAAGACTCGCTGGCCAGTGCTTCCTACAGCCATCATTGGGAAGTCCTGATAATGATTTGAACAGATCTGGCCTGCTTCTTTGCTTTTACCCTCGGATGGCTCTCCCTCCTGACACTGCCCATTTCTATTATGGGAAAAGGATGAATTAGTTTCCTACAGTCTCCAGGAGAAATCTTTGCAGCGGAAGCCGAATTTTAAGGGAGTCTATGGAATGACCTCACCAACATAGGCTCAGGATGAATTTGGTAGTAGGCTAGATGCATAAAGAGATGAAGAAAAGATATGTCTGTGGACTTTCTGCTTATACTCTAGGTATTTTTTATGAGAATGCATATTTGTGTTATCTTTGGTCTGGAGTATAAATTCATGCAAGATTTTAAAAAAATAATATTTTCATACCCAAAAAGTATATAAAGCCTCTTATCTAATTTAATGAATACTAAAATTTTGTTAACAAAACTGTAATTTACCATCCTTTAAAACCCATACTCAAGTTTGATTCAAAATGATTAGACACACAAGAGAGATGTATTATTTTGCAAGTGAATTCCAACTTTGTTTCCAGCCAGTTAAAGTCACTTAGATCAAAGGATTTCAGTGTTTTTCACTAATTATATACATTGTAAAGCTCAAAGATCCCAGGCATGTATTGTGTTAGTTAACATTTCATTACTGTAACAAATTCCGGAAATACATGAAGAAGAAAGGTTTATTTTTGGCCCCTAGATTTGAAGGTCTCATGCCGTGATGGGATAGCCCCATTGCCTACAGGCCTATGGGAGGTAGCTCATCATGGCAGGAATCTGTGGCAGAGGAGCCCTTTACCTGATGCCTGAGTGTGGGAAAGAGAAGAAAAACATAGGGAAAGAGGGATAAGGGGTAAGGCAGGGCCCCACAATCCATGATGCCTCCAGTGACCTACAACCACCAGTGGGTTTCACCTCTTAAGGGCTCTGCGACTTCCTGATGATATCAGTATGGAGACCATTCCTATAAACGTAGCCCCTCATGGGGGACCTTCTAGCTTGCACTGGGAACACATACAGTATATTCTGCATGTGTTGGACACAGGGGCATTCATAACAGAGTTTAAGGAATGCAGCTGGTGGTCATGGTAGTGATCCTAGTCCTTGGGTTCGCTTTATCTGCACCATCCCATTACCTGCTGTCAGTTTCAGCTCGTGTTTTCCTATTGAATGCTTACAGAAATGTTGCAGTGTGAACACTTTAAGCGAAGGATGATGGCGGTCATGTCCTTGGAAGTAATCTGCTTAGCGAAGGATAAATACTGGAAATGTATTTTGGATGCAGGTAGTGCAGAGTCTATGTATTAATGATATTTTCCCCATGCTATTTTAAGCAGAGCTGCAGTTTTCAGGCCAGTGTGTGTGTGTATTTGGTGCTGGGGACTGAACTCAGGGCCTTGTGTATGCGCAGTGTATCTTCTATCACCAGCCCCAAGATACGTTTGTGATTGTAAAAAAAAAAAAATCCTTTTATTTTACTTTAAACTTCTTTTCCTTTTTTCTAAGATCATCTCCTTTTTTCTTTCAATCATTTATTTTCTATTTGGGAGCTGTTTAGGATCAAAAATTTGATGAATTTCAGAAGAATTCTATTTCTCTAAAAGCTTACAAACACACACACTGATATTAAATTACTTGATCACACTGCTCTTTTATTTACTTGCCTTTAGAATTGATCCCTATTCTGTACTTGCACAATTTTATTTTCTGTATTGAAAATAGCAGAGTAAGTGCCAGGCCAGGTGTGTAGCTAGTGCTGCATTTGTAAGTTAAATTAATTACTTAGCCTCTCTTCCCTAGTTTCCTCATTAACACATGGTTCACCTTCAGAGGGTTGTTTAGAGGACGGTACTGTCCAGTATAACTTTCTACAATGCTGAAAATGTCCCGTCCATACTGCCCTAATACAGACACCGAGAGCACCTAGGATACTCCTTAAATAATGCTGAATAAATGAAGTAAAATTATTTATTATAGGTGTCGCTCTAATGTACCCTAAGAGCATGTACAGAAGCCCTATATCCAGAAAAAGTGAATCACAGACTTAAGTCCTGAAGGCTGTATCACTCCAGGCAGCTACACAAATAAGCAAATGAAGCCCTGGTTATACCATTATCTTTCCCATCAGCTCGTTGCTGTATGGCGAGCTCTGTTTATTTCGCATTGAACTGATGTAAGTGTAACAAGCATCTAGCTGAAGCCGAGGTTTCTGTTTTCGGCCCGCCCGGTGGTTTCAGTAACTAATGAGGCTAATGTGCATTTTAATAGATTCAGCACTCTTAGTCTTTTCACTTGCTGGTATAACATAAGGACAAAGTCTACTAAAAATATTTGAATTACTGCAGAAATACTGGCACATGAAGCTGATGTGCTAATCAAAGCTAAAGTCTTTCAGGTGGTTACTCAAAGAATTCCTCACTGATGTGAAAGCAAAATCCAATCTCTTGAAAATGGCTTTGGGTTACCAAGCCACAGCACATGCGTGTGTGCTGTGAAATCACATGGGTGACCAATGAGAGCTGCTTACAGAACAGACTAGACACAGACACATATTTGTGTGATTTCAAGTGGTTATTCTTATACCTTATAGGATTACCCATTAGTCATTTATATTACAATGCCCTTACATGTGATTTAAATCTTGGTATGAAACATTGGCTCTGAATGATTACAATAATTCATGACTTTTTTTTTGTGCTTTCTATACAGGCACCATTCCTGCCTTAATCAATCTGTTAAAAAGTCCCAAAATAAAATTACAGTGCAAAACCGTTGGGTTATTGAGCAATATCTCAACCCATGCAAGCGTTGTGCATGCCATGGTAGAGGCGGGTGCCATTCCAGCGCTGATCAACCTCCTGGTTTCCGAGGAACCTGAGCTGCACTCTCGCAGTGCTGTCATTCTGTACGACATCGCTCAATATGGAAATAAGGATATTATCTCCAAATACGTGAGTGCTTTCACGGAGTCCCAGTCTTAACTGATAGCAGTTTCCTGGAAAGAGATCCACGTTATTATCCAGGGCCAAGACTTTTAGGGATCAAGAGGGACAGAGAAGAGAGGGGCTGGCAGAAAAATGCTTCACCAAGAAATTGGCATTTGGGTAGTTGTAGAGCACTTGCCTCCTCTGTCTGCGGCCCTGTGTTCCGCTGTTTTTCTTTTATTTGCTTATGGTACGTGTTTGCAGCACATCACATTTACACCCCTCGTATGAAGCTGGTACACGGATGTGACACATCTCCATTTCGGTTTGTATCTCCAGTCCTTTCCTTCCTTCTCCTCCCTCCATCTCTTGATCCTCTTCCCCTTGGGAAAGCTCTCTCCCCTCCTACTTTCTAATATCTGTCTTTTATTTCATTCTTTATTTCTCATATAAGAGAAATCATGCAGTATTTAAGATTGTGTGTCCGATTTACGTCACTTAACATTATGGTCTCAAGAGGCATCTATTTTCCTACAGATGACTCAAGTTTACCTTTCTCTATGGTGGAATAACACTCCATAGTGTGTAACAGCACGTTTTCTTTATCCATGCATCTGTTGGTGGACGTCCCAGGTCCTGGGTTCTAGCCTCAGCACCACCAAAAGAAAAACAGTATGTCCCTGAGGTAGGAAAGGCAGAGCTTTTCCTACGTTAGTATACAGCGATTGCTTCTGCTGTTTATGAGATGATGTTGTAAGACATAATACCAGCTGGGTATGGTGGTACACTCCTGCGATCCTAGCACTTTGGGAGTCGGAAGCAGGAGGATTGAAAGCTCAACCTCAGTCTGGGCCATTTGAAACTATGGCCTCAAAATAAAAATTAAAAGGGATTGGATATGTGGGTTACTATGGAAGCCTTGGGTTCAATCACCAGTACAGGAAAAAAGAAAAAGAAAAGAAAGAGCAAGAAGGAAAACTATTCTAGCCATTTCTGTTCTGCCTGATAAATGCAATCTAATTATGTACAAGGAGTTACAAGAAAATTATTTTAGCGATCAAAGAATCTTTGCCATACTGTATTTCCTCATATAAAGTCACCCAAAATTATTATGTTAGTGTTTTAATATTTTCTAAGTTACTGACAAGTGAAGTTTGTTTACATGATTTCTTCAGTTTTACATAGTTACCTCATTGAGGATGGAGTCTTTGCGTTACAAAACTTACATTTTCCTCAAGTTTAATACTTTGGTCTTGAATTCCATCTCATCTAAAACTGTGTTTGTATTCTTTCCTTTGTGCTGGTATATTTAGTTTGCATTTTCTCATCCACCTTAATCATTTTAGTTGTGTTATCATTCATTTGGAAAATCTATTAGAAATATAGACCTCCAGGCCTACCTCAGAGTTAGTCGTATCCACTTAGAACTGATAATGTTCAGTGATTCTGGTAATTGGTCAGAGTTAAGGCAAATGTGTCTTTTGTGTGGTGCATGCTTTTTGTCACTTTTGCTTTTGTCACTTACTTTTTATTATCTTGCTTACATTTGTTGATATGCATGTTTATCTTAGCTCTGATCAATGTTTTCTTTATCTTTGAAGTCCAGGACTTCCATATCCATGCTGATTACCCCATATTCCTGGCACTTGGTGTATCTTTTCAACAGATTCATTTGTATTCTTTTATTTTGGGGATGTTTTCTTGAATTCATATCTTTAAAATACCTTTTCTGGGGCCAGAGATATAGCTCAGGGGCATAAACAGCTGCCTAGAAAGCACAAGATCCTGATTTGGTACCAGTTTGATTCCTGGTGCCAGAATAAATAAATATCTTTTCTGTAGTATTACTTCAGTCCATGCAACAAATATTTATTGAGATTATTATGTGGTAGGTAATATCATAGATCCTAGGCTCATGGCTGTGAATGAAACAGTTATAGTCCCAACTTCTATATGAAGTTTTTATTCTAGTTGAGTAAATGAATAAGTCAAATGAATGATATGATAGATGACAACAAGTGATAAGGAAAATAAAGCAGGACAAGGGGTAAGCGGAAGCTTAACGAACATGTAGACTGTTTTGGTAGGAGATTCATTCCAGAGTCCTCACAGATACCAAAATCTGAAGATCCTCAAGGCCCTCATCTATAAAATTGTGTATCTTCATATAATTTATGCATACCCTATGCATAATTTAAACCATTTCTAGATTGTTTGTAATTCTTGATACAATAAATACTATGTAAATAGTAATTATGATGTGTGATATAGGGAATAACGACAATCTTTTCCATACAAGTTCAATTTGTTTTCCAAGTACTTTTGATTCACAGTTGGTTGAATCCACAGATGTGGAATCCAGAGATATGGAGGGCAAAAACTCTGGCTTTTGACTACTGATGTAGATGAGTACAGTAGCACTTTTGTCAGACATCTTTCTTTTGCTAGAGCATTACAGGCTGAGGATATAAATGAAGAGTAAATAAGATAATGTCTGACATTTTGAAAGAATGGCAAGAAAGCCAAGGTAGCTAAGGGAAGAGAAGAAGGAGACCATCAGACAGCAGTGAGCTGTATCACAGAAGGTCACATACGCACACATACCAAATGCGTTAGGAAACCATTGAATGGCATTGGTTGGAAACGTATCATGAAACCATTGACATTTCTCTACTTTGTTGAAATAGGTAGATAAAAATCATGCAGTAGAAATAATCAAGCAATTGAGTGGTTTAGTTGAAATAAAATATTGAACCATAATGGTAACAGTGGAAATGATGAGAAGTGGTGATATTTTCTATTATCTTTTAAAAACTGAGCCACAAGGACTTGTAGAAGAGTTGCAGGGAACTAACAAAGAAGACCAAGAAGTAATAGCCAGTGAGGTAGGAGAAAACTTGAAAAATCTTTTATAAGTTAATGCAAAAAAAATTATTTCAAGGAAGAGAATATGCATTCAGTGATGACAAATGCCACTGTAATATGAAAATCAAAACTGAATATTGAAACTCTGACCATTAAGTCACTAAATTTGTTGATCAGTTCTTCACCCTTGTCTCAAAAATCCTTTTCTGAGCTCCTGTGTCTCTCCTATATACTCTTGTTTTATAATGGTGATTGCTTCATTTTTCATTGATATTAGTATGATACATTTTGTTACAATTTTCATCTGCTTCTATAAAAAACAAAAGTTATTTATGATCATTCTGGATTTCTTCTATCTTTACTTTTCCAATCATAGAAACTAGTGGTGCATGAAACTTCATAAGCTAGGTTATATCTTCTCCACAATGTAAAGAGTGCCTCTTCCTTTCTAACCTCTCTGGTGGGCTGTGTCTTCCCATCGTATCTTGTCAGCATGATTCCTTGCTCATCTTGTCTCACTGGATTTGAAACCCTACGCTTCACAGGCCCAGAAGGAGCCTGCTGCTACCCTGAGTATTATAGATGGGAAATTGGGCTTCTTTTTCTGCCCTTCAAGGTAAAGTTACTGATATTTGGAAAACTGTGCTCTTCCACTTGTTCTCATGGTCAGTGGCCAGAGCAGACCTCTTTCATGCCTGTTGGCAACTCATACACATTTATTATATTTCAATATTGCCAGTGTTTTCTCGCTTTAAGAAAGGGGTTATATTTCTGTCACTCATTCCTTGATGTCCTTGCATTATTTCTGTTGGTAAGGAGAAATGCCATCTTTACGCAATTAAGATTAGTGAATTATATTCGCATTTAAAAATAATATTTGGTGTGGCACAAACATACTAATTACCACTGCAGCATCCACAATGGCCAATGTTTCCAAATGAAGTAATGTGCAAGTATATCTAATTGCTTTTGCCCAGTTGCTTTACTTCTTAGGTATTTATTAAATATTGCAATGAACTTGCAGGGTCAAAATATTTTTAGTTGCTATTTTCAGATGTATTATTGAGTACTTTATATGAAAATGTAAGATTTGTTTAAAATGGTATTAACTGTCATTTAATGTATTATAACAGACATACTTGTTTAAAATGGTATTAACTGTCATTTAATGTATTATAACAGACATATCACCAAAAATGTATAGCTTACTGTTGTTATCTCTTGATATTTTCAGACACGGTTTTATTATCTAATTCACACTGGCTTTGAACTCACTATGTAGCACAGGCTAGCCTCAGACTCACTAGAATCCTTCTGCCTCAGCCTCTAGAGTGCTGGGATTATCCATATGAGCCACTGTACCAGGCTTGGTATCTCTTAAATAGATATTTACAACAAGAAATATAATAGATTTGTGTTTCTAAATAAACACTGTATGTTTATTAAATAAATTTAAGTAATTTTTTGTTTATTTTTAGAATGGAATCCTAGCTCTGGTAAACCTCTTGACGTTAAACATAGAAAACGTGCTAGTAAATGTAATAAACTGCATACGAGTATTATGTATAGGAAATAAAAATAATCAAAGAGCAGTGAAAGACCATGGTGGAATCCAGCACCTTATTAGATTTCTGAGTACTGATTCCGGTGAGCCTCTACCTCTGGGATATTTAAAAGGGACTAGGTTTATTAAGTGAAACATAAACATGTTTTTGGGCTTGTCCTGGATTTGCTTGAAATGGATCTAGAAATACACAATATAACTCAAATATCTGGAAACTTTAAATGTAAACTACTGAGTTTATAAAAAATTTGACTCTCAAAAGTACAGTTTTTAAAATATTTAATTTAATTTTAAAATATTTAATTAAATATTTTAAATAGAAATACAGAAAACAAAGGATACTACACTCAGAGGAATAAAGGTCCAGGGTGAGTGATACATACATTGATCACTGGAAGCTATTTTACAAGTTACAAAAGGATCAGATTGCTGTTCTATATCTGATATCTAGATTCAAGGTAATCAGGGCATTAGGCTGATTATCAGTTTCTAAAGTGCATGTTAGCACAAAAAAAAATCAGCAGGTATAGACAGTTTCTGCAACCATTGCAAATAGTCTCTTAGGTTCTGTAAGGATAATGTCATTCTGGTGATCACACAGAGCAGCGGATCCCCTATCCAGGAGGAAAAGTTAGTAGCAGTTACAGAACCGAGTATCCTTGTTCTTGGAAAATACACGCTGGAGTATTAAAGAGACAAAGGACATGATGCTTCTCAAATTTCAAAAACTAAACCATGTGTATAGGTAAAAATCCACATAGCAGTATATGAAATTTATAAATACAAGTAAAAGTTTGTAGTTCTATGACTTGTTCTAACAGGTTGTTTTTTAGTTTTTTTTAAAAAAAATGAACCATTTAGTAAGTATAGAGGAAGATGTATAGACTTACTAGTAGCCAAAAATATGAAATAAAATGAATTTCTATTTTTTGCCTATTCAGTTGGTAGGCTATTTGTGTAATTAACTTTAATGATAATATCTATACTCAAAAGAAGACCCAATAACACTGATACTCTTACGCTGCAATTATGATTATTATTTATTTTTGAAAAGCAATGTACCAAAATGTACTTAGTTATCTGAGTAATTCTTAGGACTGTAGGCTACTGGCAAAAACATACAGATTAGGCTAAGATTTCTCCTGGAATATTTTAAAAATAGGGAAAGTCTGAAATAACATGTATTTTTAAATTGTAAATGGGTAAGAAAATGTCAGGCACTCGTGAATGGAACGGTTGGGAAGCACTGCTAGGACTGGAGAGTGAAATGTCTTAATGGCAAATAACTCGCTTTTCTATTCGCTGAAGATGTGTTGCAGGCCTCGGCCGCCGCTGCGATCGCCGAGGTCGCACGCGGCAATAAGGAGGTGCAGGATGCGATGGCGCAGGAAGGAGCGGTTCCTCCCCTGGTGGCGCTTTTTATAGGAAAACAGCTTAGCGTCCAAATCAAAGGTGCCATGGCTGTGGAGTCGCTGGCCAGTTACAACCCTCCCATACAGAAGGCCTTCCTGGAACACCAATTAACCAAGTATCTGTTAAAACTCCTGAAGGTATGCATCTTATCTTGACTGTTTTTTTTTTTTAATTATTTTTCCTCAAATGACTTACTCCATTTCGAATTTTTAATAAAGTATCCAAACAAATTCTGGATTAAACCTTGTGTAAAATGCACATCCCGGAAAGGTTTTATTAAGTGTGCACTGAATGCAATGGACTTTTTTTTTTTTTTATGACAGGCGTTTCAAATAGATATTAAGGAACAAGGCGCCGTGGCGCTCTGGGCTCTGGCAGGACAAAGCCTGAAACAACAGAAGTACATGGCCGAGCAGATCGGATACAACTTCATAATCAACATGCTCCTGTCGTCCTCCGCCAAAATGCAGTACGTGGGTAAGTCTGCGCGTGTCCGCAGGGCGGCGGGAGGCCGGAGGGCGGCGTCCTGCCCGGCTCCTCCTCTGCTCCGCAGGCGGCGAGGCGGTCATGGCTCTGAGCAAGGACAGCAGGACGCACCAGAATCAGATCTGCGAGGGCAACGGCATCGCGCCGCTGGTCCGCCTGCTGAGGGTGCACAAGATCGCGGAAGGCACGCTGCTGAGCGTCATCCGGGCCGTGGGGTCCATGTGCATCGGTGGGTAGCTCGGCGCGGCTCGCTGGTCTCTGTAAGACAAGAGGGCCAAGGTAGAGAAAGGGAAGGAAGCTCCCCTGGGCTCCGCCACCAGAGCCTGCAGCATATTCATCTCTGAAAAATGTATTAAGTTTCTCTAAGGCCTTGGTGAGTAAAAGCCAGTGTAGTTAAGAATTTTATATCAGTCTTGCTCCCGAACTCTGGATGGACTGGAAAATAAAGGCAAGAGCCTTAATTACTGACTTCAAGAACTACTGTTGTTTAGCTTTAAGAGAAAAGTATCTGGTCCTGGGATTTAGCTCAACAGCATAAGGGCCTGCCTTGCAAGCATGCGGTCATGAGTTTGATCACTGGTACAAAAAAAAAAACAACTTTTTTTTTCTTTTGCATTTCAAGAACTGTATGAGTTTGTATGTCTAGCAGTTCAAGGCTAGGGCATATTTTTCAATTCCAATCTCTTTCCATAATAACTATTTGTTTTAAAGTGGTCTTGTGGCCAGGTGTTGTGCAACATGCCTGTAATCTCAGCACTTGGGAGGCTGGGTAGAGCAGGATGAGCCCAGTGAGATGGAGAGTCCAAGACTACCTTGAATTAAAATGAGATTTTGTCTCAAAACCCCCTCCAAAAAATTAAAAAAGTAAGTACAATGGCCATTCTTGTAAAGGAATTAACATTTTATCAGTACCTGAAAAATATGAGTGTCAGCAAATGACCTATGAAAAATAAATATCTGGGTTCTTTTCTAACCTTTATGAATGCAAAGAGCTGGTTACAGACTATTTCTTTACCAACTAGGGCATTTTTATTTCTAGGTGATTTTATATTTCCTCACAAATAATCCGGATGAATGAAGCCTAATACACACATACTCACACCCACACACCAGCACATAGTTTTTTTCATTAGTTGACTGCCGGTCAACTAATGTCGGTATCCGTGGGGCTGGAGGAGGGCAAAAATGTAAAAATGTTCTCTACTCCTTCTGTTCCCCCAGTGCCTTCATACTTCCCCGAGATCACTATGTGGACAGCTTCTCAGAGGCCTAACATATTTTTATTCAAGTGTATACATCTATTATGGAAGTATTATATTATTCATTGGCAGCAAACCCACACCGAACTGAAGTTGTTTGTGTATATCTACAGAGAAGAGATGACCAGTCACCCACTGAAATTTGGCTTGTGATCTAAAGTTGTATACTACAGTGGGAGACTATGATTATCTCCTTGGCACATGTAATTTAAGGAATCTCAGTGACTTCAGTTGTTGTTGCAAAAATAAGCTTCATGAGGGAAATAATTCTTAAGTACCTTAAATGGTGGGATTACTACCATTCCTTTGAAAACACAAGATTTTTCTAACTTATTTGCTGTGTGTCTATTGGAAAGGCACTCACGGTTCTAACAATGACGTCTCCATGTTTACTCTGTGTGGCTCTTAAACATTAATATAGAGCTATAAAGATAGTGCCAAAATAGCATTTACTTTTGTAATTTATTAATGATATTACCTGAAGACAGTCTGTCAGCGAGCATTCAAACTATGTCTGACTTTACCATTTATAACATTTAAAAAATGAACTCATTGACATGTAGATTTTTGCAGGTGTAGCCCACACAAGTAACCCCATTAGTCAACAATTTATTGTGGATGAAAATGCCTTTCCGGTGCTTATGCAACTGCTGAGAGATCATCCTTCACCTAACATTAAGGTATACATCAAGGGTTAAAATTTTTAATATAGTAAAAGTAATATGCATATCATGGTAAGCATAATTTATATCTTAATGCAAGTTCACAAACATAAAAAATTTAACTTTTTAAGATTTGCCTAAAATCTTTTAAGTAAAATGGTTGCTAGCAACCATAAACATAGTATATTTTATTTAAAACATGATTCCTTCAGGCATGGTGATGCACACCTGTAATCCCAGCACTCAGGAGGCTAAGGAAGGAGGGGTGCTACAAGTTTAAGGCCAGCCTGTGCTACATAAGAGCAAGACCCTGTCTCAAGCACCAAAAAAAAAAAAAAAAAAAAAAAAAAAAAACATTCCTTGAAATATGATGAGGAAGTCTAATGTCCTTACTCTTCGAAGAAAGATTTCCTCAGATACTTGATTACATATTCATACACTGTCTCCTCTACTTCCTCAGACAGTGATTATTGAAGTAGGGTGGGGGTATTGGGGATACTGACCTTACATTCCAGTGTTTCTAAGGTGCTGGCAGGTGGCCCTGGGTTTCTTGCAGCTGGACATGGTGAGAATTATCACAGGTTGCTGAGAAGTCTTGTACCATCTGTTTACCTCATGCAAAATGCCCTTGATACAATGACATTCACAACTCAAACCCCTTCACCAAGATTTTAGAAATTCATGAAATATATAATTGGCTAGACAAGAAATTACAATAAAAATACATTTTCTTCTCAAAACTTGGTATGGGATCTGCTTGCGATAGTGAAATAGAAAGCACAGGTGAAAAAGTAATGTTGATTCTAATGAACCATCTTTTTTATAAAAAAAATGCCTAAGTTATGTGCCTTTCTGGACGTGAAACAGATTATTATGAGTTAAATAGGGAAACACAAGGAAGAAATACATGCCAGGAATATTTTGGCTTGAATTATAATTAAAAACTATACTGACCTTCTGTGTACAAGTATGTTTCTTAAGACTATGGAAAAGTCCCATAAAAAACACACTTTTAAAATGTACATTTTCATGGAGAAACAGTTTATTGCACCCATCTAATTTCAATATATCAATATATTTTCAATATTTTTCCTGAAAATAATATTGTATAATGAATCAAGTATTTCACAATAATTAGGTAATCATGCTTTTCAAATTTCTAATGTTTTTCATGGAAATGCATAGTGTAGCAATTTTAAAAACTTCTCTGAGTCCCAATAATTCACCAAATTCATCTTCCAGTGGGTTTAAAAACATATACTAGATGATTCCAAAACTAGAGGGGAAAAAAAAACTATTTCTTAATTCTTCAAACTCTGCTTAAATTAGTAATACACTCCATTACAATGGTACAACTTGATCAGTAGCTGACCAGAAGTTTCAAACATCTTTGTAGCCCATTCCAGAAAAACATTTTTTTAGATATGAAAGGAGTCCAACCACACACTTAGCATAAGATCCCTCTCCACATCCCACTACCTGAGGTGGCCTCTCTTGAACACAGAAAGGGAGGGTAGCTCCCGGATGTTGAAAATCATGCACACTGATCCTCCAGAAGTTGTATTACTGCTTTCCTGCTTGATCAGAGAACTATGATGATTGTATTATGCTTTAGCAGACTTACAGTATCTTTCTATAATATATTCTGTATCGATGTTTATACAATGAAGGAAGAATAATTCCTGAAAACCACCTCTTTAGGTTGAAGTGGCGTTTTCCTTGGCATGCATTGTTCTCGGGAATGATGGCTTACAGAAAGAATTACAAGAAATTGAAGGGTTTAAATATTCCGATGTGCTCTATCTTCTTTACTCACCCAATAAGGTAAAGCCTTTCTGAACTATTTCAGCTCATTTAAAAGAGAATAGTTTTTAGGCCACACTCAAATTGTCATCAAGCCTCTTTTATGGCAATAGTCAAATGTATCATTTGAGAAAAGAAATGTGAAAGATCTCTCTGTGGATCACTAGTTTGTAATGGTGTACTGATATGTATTTTACATATTGTTTACAATAATAAGATATTTTTCATAGTTGCACCACTTCATCTTTGAAATGTACCCATTTTAGTGTGGGATGAGGCCCCAGAGAACAAATTTCTTCTGTTCTGAATTAAATAGTTAATCTAATTTTATGCCCTTTCTGGTCTGTTGTCTACCTTTTGCACAATACTCCAAAGCGCACAGTACTCTCAAACTGTTTGTAATGAAGAAGTAAGTTTTACCAAGCAATCTCTTAAGGAAAGGTGTATTTAGAAAAAAAAAAAAAAACCAACTTAAAACGTGGAACCGATTTTAGAGTTCCCAATACTTGTAGTTCATAGTATTCTAGTGTAACCCCATCTGGTTATACCTGACAATTAACACTGATACAGAACTGTTAACCACTCTGCAGGTTTGCTTACATGCTGCGGTTTCCTCCTCAATACTCTGGCTCCGGGCAGGGCGCAGGGCACTCATACCACGCCCAGTTGTTACATCTCCTTAGTCTCCAGTTTGTGACACTTACTCATTTTCTCTCTTCCACATTTTCATGTCTTTTATCATTTTGCAAATGTCTCATCAATGCAGACCAGTTATTTGATTGTCCCAAAATTTGACTTGACTTTATGTTTTCTCACAATTAAGCTGAGGTCAGGAAGGATGCCACAGGGTAATCTGGAGCTCACACATCTTCCAGGGCGTCCTGTCAGAGGACGCGTGACGCTGCCGTGTCCTAGCAGTGGCAGTGGTAACTTTGATCACTGGAAGCACTTGTCTCCCACACTTACATTTACCTGCAGAGTTATGGTTTTTCCCTTAATAACTGACAAGTGTCTCAGGCGAAGGACTTCAAAGTTATGCAAATAGTGTTCCCCAAAATAGTTTTGCTCATCAAATTCAGTGCCCATTGATGCAACAGAAATTGTGACATTTGCCTAAAGATGATTGAAAAAGAAAAAAAAAATCTTCCCTTCTTCCCTTATGCTTATGAGGGGTATTTGAGTATAAAGAAGAGTTGTTTCTTTTGAACATTTACTCTCAGTTCCTTGATCCTTCTGCCACCCGTTTTGTGGCCTGTCACAGGCACACCTCTGAAGAACCAGGAGTCACTGTTGCCAGTGTATGTTGTAGTCAGGAAGGAAATTCCATTTTCTCTCAGTTCTGTGAAATTTAGATGGAGACAGGAGGTTAGAGGAGATGACATCATGCTGTTTTCTACAAACAACATTTTACTATGCTGTGATACATTAAAACATTAGAGAAATGGTAAACATATAGGAATACGGAGAGAAGACTGAATCTATGTCTGCTTTTCTGAGCCTCCTTCGGCCTCCCCTCCTCCTCCCAGTGCTTTATCCTGTTCCTCACACATGCCTTCTCCCTTTTCTTCTGCTCACAAGCATTATCCCTTCTGTCCCCTCTGTTCTGTCTGCTGCACTCTCTGGAAACCCTATGTTTGGCTCTTAGTCGACGCATCAGTCCTATAGATACAGAGAATCCCAGAAAACTAGGTTTAAGGATAAACCAAAGGATTTACCCGACCTTGGCCAAAAGTTTTAATTCTAAGAATCATCACAATACTGAGTTGAAAGTCATCTAGGGCATATTCTGCACACAGTAGTAAATTTGTGTCAAAGTGTTTCCCATAGGCGTACATTAGTATTCTTTGTGCTACAGAGAAAGCATGAAGCTACTGTGGTCCTTAATTATGGTGAAAGACTTATGCAGACCGCTGTAGGAATTATAAAGGAAGGCAGGGAGGAATGTTCAGTCACTAAATATGAGCAAACAGCTACTATCCAGCTAATGATAAGAATGCAACAAAAATTAAATCAACTCAGATTCTGGAATCTGCTAGCTACACTGACCCTGTCTGCAAGGGAAATGCAATAGATTTTGTTAGCTTTATTTTTTTTTTGCAGTGTGGCACCCAGGGGCTCACCTACTAGGCAAGTGCTCTGCCGGTGAGCTACAGTCTCAGGCCTGCTTTTGTGGGTTTGAATTATAACTTTTTCATACTGTAAAACTAAAATACATGATGTTAGAGAAGTGAGACTAATTCTCACATGACACAATTAGTCCTATTGTTGCTGTTATTTTACTCATATTTACAATACATAGCTTAAGTAATTGTAATATAATTTGGAAAGATGTGAGTCAGCATAAACAATAGGCGCCCTTGCCTCCCTCTCAGAAAGATGGTGGGTAAGATGGGAAAATAAGCAGCTGGTGGGTAGGACCACCCGGTGGAAGGTGAGTAGATGAAAGACTTTATGATGTAGGGTTGGCAGTTGACATTCAGGAAAAAAGTATGGAAAAATATATCCCTCCCAGGGGGTCACTTTTAGCCCTCCTTACGGGAGTAGCTGATTTTGTGCTTGTCTTCTGCCTGATACTAGTTGGCAGGGTAGGGGTAGCCAAGCTGTGGGGATTTACTGTGCAACAGAACTGACCAGATACCTCGTAGACTAATCTACTCAGTTTATCGTAGAAATCAGGAATAAGGCAGGAAAACCTACATGGAAAACAAATGGAAATGGGTCACGTCCTAGGGTACCTCTGTGTCTCCCCTGTCCTGACTGGGCACACAGGGCGTGGCCCTTAGCTCACTTCTCATTTTTTGCTACCTAGCTCAGGGTTCTGTTCTTCAGTTGGCTACCCTGCACTTTATCCATGGCTGAGACTAGCTCCTTTTTTCTTTGATGGTACCTAACATCTTCCCTCTTATCTGACACCCCGTAACTCTGTGTGTGTGTGTGTGCAGTTATTACTATGGAAATTTTCAAACATATCTATTTTATAGAAAAAGAAAACACAACAGACTTAAATATTCCATGAGCCAGTTTTAGCAAATTATCAGCTCATAGCCGAACTTGTTTTATCTGTGTATCTACTTAACTTCTATTTCACTATACACATATTGCATCTTAATATGATAGTAGCAAAATAAAAACTCCCTAAACTTAATGAGCTATCTATGTCCTATGCCGTATTGTTAAAATAAGATGTCACTATAATATGAATTATTTTTAATATTAAAATAAGATGCTAGTACCACTTAGGCAAGCAGAATGCCTGTAAGGGAGAAATTACAGTTTGTTCATCCTAAGAATGTAAAATGTAGCCCTTAAAAGTAAGTAGTTTTTCTTCTTTTCCTGTGTAGAATACGGTACATTAGAATTTTACAAAAGAACTGATTTAAAGGGACAACATAATCCTTCACTGCATGAAATGCAAGGATAGTGTGTTATACAAGGGAAGTTTTGGTTTGTTAACCCTACTTTGAATTTTCAAATGAAAAGAAAAATATTTTGCAACAATAAGCTGAAGGTTGATGAAATTGCTTCCCTTTAACTAAAGATTATTCATTGACATAATCAGCAAGCTAATATTTTCTTTGAAAATTAGCATATTTTCTCCTTTTCTTTCTGGCCACACCCGAGTTCTCTATTCATTTTATCTCCTCAGTAACACTCTGGGGAAACGCTCTGTCATTTGTTTTCTTCAATAATGTTGTATTTTACTCCCAAGAAGAGGAATGAGATACAGGGTAGTTCATTTATTTAGTGAATGAGATACAGGCAAGATTTTAAAACCTGTTATTTTGACTAACATGACAAACCAGGCAAGTTAAACACAGTCGCCATTTCTTGTATTTCCAGGACATTTGCTTAAGAGCAGCCTATGCTTTAACCCTTTTTGCCTTCAATAACCGCTTTCAACAATACTTAATACTGGAAAGTGGGAAAATCACCCTGGCTATTTTTGAACCTTTTCTTGAATCAACAGTTGAAACTGAGCAGGCAATGGCAGCATTTCAGGTACGAAATGAGAAGTTAGTACTTCAAATTCATAAGTACGTTTTTACTGAAAAATTAAAAATATATCAATAAAATATTTTCTGATTTGTAAAATTCAATACTTTGTACATGAGTCCCCTTTACCTTATAAAACTCCATTAACTAGAAGAATTTCTTCATTCATACAGAATTCTACAAGTTACAGGGAACGTTTGCCTTGATACTGATGCTTACAACTGCCCTGTGGGACTGATAGGCAGATGATAGTGTTCTCATGGCCCCATATTACAAGGAAATAGCTACAGAAACACAGTAGAGTCCGAGACAGGTTCTCTAACTGCACATATTTAGCTGATAAGGCTGATTCTTCAACCCTATCATGATTATGTGTATTTGGATTCTTAGTTCTATTCATTCCCTTCATTTTGTATCCTTTTTCTTTTTGAAGTGCTTGTTATGAACATATACCTCAAAGATGCAAAATTTACAAACATTGTAGGAAGACTTGTACGGCCTATTATGGTCATTGCTCTGATGGGTGAGGGGCAAGTACTCTTGCTTCTCTTATAAATACCTAAGAAATATTCCTCACCAAATGACGAAAGTTTAAGGAAGCTAAGGAGAAAATGTTCACTGATTCTGTGCACCTCTGTGTTTTTAGATTATTGTATTAGCCAAAGTCATCATAGATGTGGACCATATTACCTTGTCTGCAAGAGGTGTTACTATTCTGGTAAACAGTCTGTACTCGAATCAGTATCCTACCATTGTCTTAACAGGTAAGAGCTGACTAGCACTAATTGTATACACATTTCAAATATTTTCCAAAAATTTTTTTTAATTTGAGCAATAGGAAAATAACAAGCCTTATCCTGTGTCATACAAGTTGAGAAATGAACTTGTGTTAATTAATCTGTGTGGAACTCCAGTGTCGGTCTACATTTAACAGTGGTCACCCACGCTGCGCCCTGAAAAGGAGCAGAGTTAACTGCTTTTTTTACTTTTCTAATGACTTTATCAAACCCTGATTGTGTTTTCCAGGATATAAAATGAGAATTCCACTATGAACAACCAAAAACAAGATGCACACACTGATTTGTACCAGCAGTAGATTTGCCCTGATATTTTCTGTCTGGTTAACATTTGACAAATTGCACACATTTTGCTAGTATTGAAGTGTTCCCTTTGTGGCTGTGCCGCACAGCAAAGCACAATGGTCCAGCAGAGTCCCACAGAACTAACGAGGTTAATCCTTTATCTGACTTTATCTACGCTAGGCCAGTTCACACAAAGTAGTGACTAATTATGCTGATGTGACTTGACATATTGCTCGCTCCCAAGGCGACATAAAGCAGCATCAGAATGGCAGTTGGTAACTTACAATAAATAAGTGAATATTGTTTTTCTACACTGAAATGGACCACGGAAGGAATAAAAGAAACTCAGTCTCTATCATAAAATTACATTATCATGGAGTATAGGTATATGACAAGGAAAAAAGCAAATGAAAGTTTCTGATGAAAACTAGCTAGGGAAAACGTATAAGATTTTCTCTAAGTAACATTAATTCAGTGTCATAGTAATTCTGTGACTCTGAGAAACAATTGCAGTGAGTTTACTTTTCGTGCATGAAGTGCCATATTATACATACTCGCTTTGTTTGGTTTTGTACTGGGAATCGAACTCACGACCTCGTGTTTGCCAGGCAGGCACTGTCCTGCTGAGCTATATCCCCAGCTCCTATACCTACTTTTGAATGTTCACTTCCTGTCTGGGGAGCACTGAATCTCAAAAATCACCAGACTTTCTCTGCTCTCTGCCACCCATGTCCTATGCACATCCCGGGCATCTCAGGCCAGCCTGGACACTCAGGCCTCAGGAACAGTGTAAGACAACTGATCGCTCAGTGTCAGCTGACACAATTCCCAGAGGAGGCTCAGAAGGCACAGGAGTTTTGCAGAGCCTGGAATTTCTGAGGCCAAGTGTCAGAGTTTTCCTGGTGTATCTCTTAGTTTCTCTCCAAAGTTCCCTCCCTAGCACTCCTTTGAGTGCTGTAAGATTAAGTCAGCCTACCTATTTTCTCTGCCTGTCCATTTCCCAATTTTTATCTCCTGGCTGTAAAAGTATCTTATTAACCTCACAGGGAGTTTGCCTGTAGGCAACTTTTGCTTTCCAAACAACCCTATCTTCTCCAATTGAGGGAGAATTCCTCAGCTTATATTAAAGGCCAGGAGCAAAGAAGAGAACAAAACTCAGTTTGTATCTAAATATAGTATCCATCACAGATGTAGAAATACATTTATATTTTAAAATATCAGTTAAGAATGAAATAGTATCATTAATAGTTACACCATTAATTATTTTAATCACTGAGTCACTTTATCATTCTTGGTCTCAAAATGCTTTTTTTATGGTCAGAACTTCAATGATTATTAAGCTTAAATAACCAATACATTTATTGATTCTATAAGATCATTAAGGTCTTAAAGTCATTTGAACTACAAAAGAACATACTAAATTTTCTTATGACAATCATTACTGTCATCATTAAAAAAACTAAAATAAAATATATCTGAAGTCACATAAGGAAGAAACCTTCCAGTTTAAAAAATTTTCTACTCTTAAAAACCTGTTCAATTTTTATTATTTGTAACAGAAAAAGCAAACCATAATTTTGGGGAAAATTTAGTCTACATTTACGTGCATAAGCATTTCTTTATTTACCAGAGATGTAAAGCTGTCTATAAAGTAGCACAGGCATGGCATATTGATTTATCACTTAATGACACAGTCATGTTTTCTCATTTAATTTATAGGGAATTTAATAGCGAGCCTGGCCCACTCTAGAGCTGGAATTCCAGCCGCATTTACCACATTAGGAACAGTGCAAAGACTCTGCTACCACTTGTACTCAGGAAGAGAAGAGGTAAAAACAAAACCAATTTTAAAATTGAATGTACTGAAAATAATATAAATTACCCCTCTCATCTCAAGGCATAGCATGCGAGAGGCTGGTGCAAGAGTTTACCAACCCTCAAGGAATCTAGAAAAGGGAAGTTCACAGATCCACTGCAAGAGGGCCGAGGGCAAGTCCAGAGAGGGCCCTGCTCTCAGGGGGAAGGCTGAGGCTTTCGAGTTTGATTTTAACACAGTCCAGGGACATCATCGGGTGTGGTAAGACTGAGTAAAGTTTTGTTGAACAGGATCCAGTGCTCCTGGCTTTGTTAGAAACCATCCTTGCAGGTAAAATTCATGAGCAAATAGTGGAATCAGAATAAACTATGTGTGTTTGTACTTAAAACGGACTTCTGATGTTCGATTCAGGCAGGGGAAGAAATGGTGTTCTTTAAAATGTGACCAGTGATCAAACATCTAGTGACGTGTGTGTGGTTCCTGTGCATAGCTTATGAGGTGAAAAGCTAACGTTCTCCTCCAGATTAACCACACAGCTCGTGCAGCCTTTGTTATTTTTTGCTTTTATTTTATGGTACATAGTAGATGCACAGTGAAAGCATGCATCATATAGAATGTACCTATACACGATATATCTGGCTTCTCATTTCCCCATTTATCTCCCCTCCCTCTGGCCCCTTTCCCTCCTTATTTATGAAGCTTCGTTGCCCTTTCTTTCTTTCTCTCTTTCTTTCATTCTTTTTTCTTGTTCCTTCCCTCCTTACCCTCCCCTTGTTTCCCTTTCCAGCTTCTAAAGAAACAGTGGGGAAATAAGGATGACGCCTCACATTTCTCGCTAGGAAACTTCTTCTCAGGTTGACTGTTATACAGTTCATGTTATTGTCTCAAAATTAGATGAATTTTCTAGCACTAAGTAGTTGACTGGCCTTTCACATTCTGAGTCCTACAACAGTACACCTTTGTTTTCACTTAAAGATTTAAATAGGATTTTAATTACAAAAGCAGTACAACAACCATAATTAAAGATTTAAAAAGAAATACCTGTTCAAATTAGTCTCCAAATTAAAAAACAAAAACAAGGATAACCTTGTGAAATGTCATTTTAATGCTAGTTAATTAATTCCGTGAATACATACATTGATGATATAGAAATTTGTAATTGAAGTGCTTAGGAAGTACAAAAACAGGGACTTTTTAATCTCACTAAAATATTTTCCTGTGACCTGGAATGAATGAAAGTGGAATCCACAGGACAGTTTTCTTGACCTGCAGAGCGGGGTTGGAGGCCAGGGTTTGCTAGCATTCCCCACTCTTCCTCAAGGGCGAAAACAATTATTTCTCCACCTTGAGGGTGTGCCAGAATTACCTCAAAGACCGGTCTGTCACTGATTGCTGGTCCCCTTCCCTGAATTCCTGGCTGACTCCATCTGATTGAGGTGGGCTCCAGACACTGCATTTCTAGCGAGTCCAGCAGCTGACAGTGTTGATCCAGGAGCCACACAATGAAAACAGAGCCACAGGATCATGGTGTGGAGGACGTGGGCGCACAGAGCTGCTGGCTGCCGAATAAAGACAAATATAGGTCAGCTCTTTGGTACCAGGCACGAGTCTTGTTTTCTGTTACTTGATTAAATTTTTTACACTACCAGTTACCCAAATCTCTGCCCAGGGTTATATATCACATGAAAAACCTAATTACTTAAGTCCCAGGCAACGTGTACTTTCTTGAAAGAATGAGACCTGCAGCCAAAAACCTGAGCTGCTTTGTTGTCAGCATAAACAGTGCCTTCCTGTTTTGGCCACCTTGGGCCTCTTGTCTCTTTTTCTAGTTTCCTTGGACAATCGCCTAAGCAGCTTTGAAAAACCTTGAAGCCCAGGCTGCACCCTAGAATAATTAAGAGAATTTCCAGATATGGGGCCCAGGCATAACTGTCAGTCAGGTGATTCCAATACATAGACAAAGCTGAAATTTCAAAGATTCTCACTGTGATTGTACATTGAAGATAACCCGTGACACTGATTCTGATTTCATTGGTGGACATCTTCTTAATACTTTAAATGATTCTAAAATGCAGTCAAGATTGCAAACTACTACACATCAACGGCAGTGGACCGTCTTCTCCAAAAGATATGGCTGTTCTCTCATATCTAAAAATAACCATCAGTTTACAAACATGTGTTGTGCCTATCCAAGGACTTGCCTATGAAGTAGAGTACTGGTTAGATACTTTAAGAACAAAACACACCAGGTAAGAACCATTGTTTCTTCTCTATATAGGTTCGGACAGCGTGCTCCTGTGCTCTTGGATACCTAACTTACAATGCACATGGTTTCCGCATTCTGTTAAAAGAATGCAGGAATAAACCCAATCAGTTCCTTCGTATAAAAAACAATATCAGCAGAGATGCAAGTATTAATCCAGCATTTTTAAAGGAATTTGAAATGCAGCAAATGGTTGGACTTCCTTCTTTAAGGTGTGTGCCTATATTTTTAAATTGTAATAGTGGATTATTGATAGAGAATTTAGGAAAGTTCAGGGAAGCCTGTGCATGGGGACATATCTTTGATATAAATGTAGCCTTTCTATACTGAGGGATAAACTTTATTCTCAGTGTCTAATGCCAAAGTCTTTTTTTAAAAAAATTAATTCATGAGTGAGAAGTCTTGCTGTTTCCCAATTGATGTGAAGCTCCTGAGCTGAAGTGATCTTTCTGCCTCAGCCTCCCCAGTGGCTGGGACTAGACATATGACCTATGATGCACATCTCAAAATCTGTTTTAATTCCAACTGTGCATCACAACTATGGATGCAGATAAGAATAGCACAAACACCTTGGGGGCCTTGTGTGGCCAGACCATTTTATAGTTCTTGGGAGGCTGACGAAAGCCAAATCTGATCCAAGATTCCACTTCGCACTGGACTACAAATACATTCGAGAATTCTGAGTTAAACAGGAGCACAGCCATGACCTCAGCTCCAAATGTGCCTTCTGGATGTGAGCCAAAGCTGGGCAAAGCCCGGTGGGGAAAACAGCTCCAGCAGACCCCGGCTGGCAGTTATGGTGCAGTCTGCCCATACTCGTGCAGAGGGTTTGTCTTCATGCTGCAGTTTCTTTGAAAATCAAGTCCCTGAAAAAGCATGAGGGGAGAACCATCTCCTTATTGTACACATATTTTCTCTTCCCCTGCAGATGCAGCAGAATCCTAAGTTTTCTCTGCAAGTAATGCTATTCATATAGAAGAAATGATCAACGTGTGAGGTGTAATCAAAAGTACACTGTGTGGTTAAAATCAGACTTTTTTTTAACTGTAAAAGACACACTGCCATTAATTCCCCTCTGAATACTCCCCTCACACTATTCCATTCGTTCTGGATACTTCCTAAGTACTTGTGGAAGTCTTCTTTAATCATGTTGTTGTGGTTGCCTTGATGTCCTGAATGAATTCAAAAGTATGTCACTCTCAGGTCATTTTTTACTTTGGAGAAGACCCAGAGTCCCACGGTGCCAGATGAGGTGGACAAAGGTGGGTGAGATCACAGGGAATGGTTGCTGGTGCTGCTGTCTCCCTGGATGGCACTCAGCAGGACGTTCACAGTGTATTTGATCTTAACTCACAAAGACTGTCAGGAAAGAATACCTTCACAACTGCCTCATATGTGTTTAAGGGGAGGAGGAGTGCTGTGGGGAGTTAATGGCCATGTGTCTTTTACTGTAATAGATTTTTCTTTTCTTTTTTTTATTTAAAGAAAAAAAAAACAACAAAACAGTAAAAGGGTACAAGTAATATAAAATTGCAAAAAAAATAAACAGTAAAAAATCACTAGTAATAGATTACATATTGTCATCTTAGAAATAGTTGATCAAGTTACAAAATTAAGCATACAAAATGGACAAACAGTGAAATTGCAAACAGCTGTGTTCAGTGATCCAACAAAAACTTAGTAATATGGTCATCTATCTTACACACCTAAACACATTTGCAGTTGTGTCCTTTAGAGCACTTTCTTTTCCTCTCCTTTTTACAATAGCATTTTTTGATCACTTGCATACCATGAGCGCTATGATAACAGGATCTAATAATGTATTATGATTATATACATTACAGAGAAAGCTGAGTATATCTGTTATGATTGAGATCTAAGGTGTCCCACAAGGTGTCTCTCATGTTTCAGAGGTGGTGGTTTAACGGCGACTGAATCAGGGTGTCACACTCACCAGTAGGTTAATCCACAGTCACGGCCATAGCTGAATGACCAGTTAAGAGATGGTGCCTCTCTGGAGGGGCAGGTCATTGTGGTGGAACTGGAAGAGTATATTCTTGTCCCTGGTTTCTCCCTCCTCTTTCTGCCTCCTGGTTGCCATGGGCTGAACAGTTTTCTTCCACCATGCTGCTTCTGCTTTCGAGTCACCCAACCATGGACTGAAGCCTCTAAAATGGAAGCAAAAATAGACCTTTTCTCCTTATGTTGTAGGTGTCAGGTATTTTGTCCCAGTGACGGGAAAGTGACGAATAGAACATCTTTAGAGTCACTTTAATTCGTGGGAAAGCTGAAAATCAAAAATTGACTGCTGTTTTATATAATAAGCCAAAAACTGTAAATTTAAATTCATAATATTAAATTTTGATTCAAAAGATTAATTTAGGATGCTTAGTATTTTGATCATTCCCATAGTTAGCCTAGATAGCAACTTTGTGGGAATTGCAAGGATGTGCCACTTCTCGAATTTTTTTAAAAAAATCTAGCTATAGTAGTGACTTTTTCTTTGCTTAGACAATGTACTCAATGTACACAAATTAAAGCAGCGAGTGGTTTATTTTGGCTCATGGCTTCAATAGGTTCAGTCCATGGTTTGCTGACTCCAGGGTAGAAACAACCTGGTGAAAGGGCCTGGCAGAGTAAGGTGCTCACTTCATGGCAGCCACGAAATACTCTCAGTGTCAAGAGAGAAAGGGCCATGGCCCGGATACATTACCTAAAGTCATGCTTCTCTGACCCACCAAACACACCTGGATTGTGCTTTATTAATTGCCCAGACTGCTCTCGAACCAATCCAGTTGGCTTTTCAGCTTAACTGCTATATCAGCCAAAGTGTCTTCTTCCCATCACTTCAAGTATATTTAATGTTCAGCAGTCAGGAGTGAGAGGCTGAAGATACAATACCCAAATGTGCATCATTTCATACATGCTAACTAAAAATGTATGAAAGAGGCCATTTGGCATAGAACATGGTACCTAGAAACATCTTCACATATTTCTTCACTGTGTCTTCATTTATATTATTTAAAACGTTTTCCTTTCAGTCTGGAGAAGAATGGAGGTCCTTCCATACATCCTGTCTTCAAAAAAGGTAATTATTTTTTCTTTTCTTTTTGTGGCAGCTCTGGCTGTTTTGTGTTTTGAGCCAGGGTCAGGTAGTTCAGGCTGTCCTTGAACTCACTATGTAGCAAGCTTAGCCTGGAACTCACAGCAATCCCCCTGCCTCGACTTCCCAGTGCTGGGATTATAGGCATGAGCCACCATGCCTGGCTAGCTGTGGCATTTTAAAGTTCTATCTCTAAAAATTTGAAATTCAGAGACAACCTAAAACCTCTCATCTATGAATTTCTCTTTTGCCTTACATATTTAAGCCCATATTAATTTTTATAAGGTCTTCCCCACTAAAAATTTACTAATGAGTTACAGTTGTGTAACTTGCCAGAGAACACTCCTTCTGTCCTTTTGCTTAAGTCAATCATAGAAATGTCATTAAGTGACACGGATGTCTTAAATAATGGCCATGCTATTGTTCTGTCTCATGTACGACTATATATAAACTCTTAGAGCAGAGACAACATGTTTTCACTGGTACTGTGTAGTTTTGCAGTTAAAAGCTATAGGACCTAGATCTGAAGAAGAGACTAAATTCTATTACTCATCTCTTATTAGGTATTTACTAGAAAATGTAAGTCACTTATGAATATTGTGTATATGCTTGTTCATGTGTGCTTCATAAGGGATCACACTCAGTTTTACTTGCTGTGTTCTTCTGTCAAGAGTAGAACCATTCACTCAAAATCAGTTTTCCGAATCAGAAACAGAAAGGGAGAGACAGTAAAGGAGGAGGAGAGACTTCATTTATCCAGGGAGTATTTGCAGGAATCTAGGTATATATATGCTGAATTTCTGAATATCATGGGTAAAAGTGTTTTTTCTATAGCTCTTTACTAGAATAATGTACACAAAAGGCTAAGGCCAGTTCTACTCTTTCTTTACATTAATACTGGCTAATACTTTAGCTACAATATGTAAGCAGTAATCGTCTGAAGAAGCTCTTACAGGCTTATAGTAATATAAGAAAAAATAAGGACAAGGTAGGAAATTTCTGATAAAAATCTCACAATGTGAAGTCTATCATTTTAAGATAATGCCTTTTACACTTTCCATTGGAGTTAAAATATTTACTTAATCAGATTCTGTTCACAGTAGTTGGTGCTTTTTAAAAAAGGATTTCTTTATTTCTTTGAGACACAGGTACACACCACTACACCTGGCCATTTTTTTTTAAATTAGGGCCAAATTGAGCCCCAATAGAAGCTGGCAAAACACATACTAATCCCGACAAATTTTTGGTCTCTCACATCTCAAGGTCTGGGAACTACTGAACTGTTTTCTTAGAATGTTTTAGTTATGTGAAAAACAGAAGTATGTAAGTGCAAGTAGTGAGACTCTACCTCGGACCCTTAGGTTTAAGAGATACTTGATTGTGGTTCTCTAATTTTTAGGGAAAAAGCACCGAAGAAAAGCAAAACCTAAAATTCAACCAAAAGATTCTCTGACATTAATTCCTCCTGTAACTAACTTCATGGGACTCTTCAAAACAACAAAAAAGAGCAAAGTTTCCGATAACATTTTTTCTTTTTCATCTGCAATATCGTCAGACATCATCAGTGTATCAAGACCAAGAATAGTTTGTTTGAACCAACTTGGGAAACAGGAAAAGAAAGCCAACCCAGAGCCTGGAGAAAGCTAATTAAAAAAATCTTAGTATGAAAAGATTCTGAACAATCTTCTAAAATGTTTAAAACTTTTTTTTAGTATGGTAAAATACATATAATTAAGCAATCTTCTTGAGTGGAAGTTTTGATATTGATACCAACCAGATTTTCCTTAGCACGTATGTTGGAATTTAACACAAGGCCAGAGTTATGCTTTCACAAAATAAGTAGAATTTCTGTAACAGAATGCCTGTGTAGAAGCCTATTGATATCTACTAACTGATATGGAATTAGAAACATTTTTGAATTGGTATGCTAAGGTAGAGGACGGAGTCAATATATCCCACATATTAATACTCATTTTAAATACATTATTTAATGAGAAATGTTACAAATACATGAAACTTCCAAAACTGAAATGTACACTACTTTAAAAATATTTTCTTAAAAATAAAATCTGACATTATTGTCCATCAGGCACATAAGGGCAGTTACAAAACGCAGCCACCAGTGTGGACCATATTCCATATGGACACAGTGTCTTCAGTTTAGAACCGGAAAGATGACATTCTTTATGGCTTATCACCACTTGACCTCTTTGCTCACAGAAGCACTGCTCCACAGGTGCAGGCTGTGGTGTGCACCTGTTCCTACTCCAGAGCAGCAGACAGATGTGATACACGTGCACGCTGGGCTTCGCCGAGTTCCTCAATGTCCCTCCTTCTCTCCATCCACTTTGCTGAACAGGCTCCGGCCTGAAGGTCCTGCTGCAATCCACTCTTTACCTGGGCTGTAGGAAGCATGGAACGCAGGTGTCAGACAGTACGTATTTTCCAACATGGGCCTGAACAACACTAACGGTGATGACGGTGGTTTTGTGGACTCAGGCGTTCTCAGAATCTCAGCCCTGTGTTCTTAACCACTGCAAGCTATGAGACCTCTGCATTTTCAAATTAACTTTTCAGTTACATTAAATAGTTGTAACTCTCTGATGGAGGACAAATATAAAATTCTAAAATATAAAATTGTATTTTACAAATGGGAAAGGGTGTGTTTAAGGATAAAAAGGAACTATTTACTCAGCAAAATTAAAGATGCGAATTCACATTAATGGATGTATTAAGCTGCAGATGTAAAAACAAACTCTAGAGAGTACCTTGTGAGTTTTGAAACTATCATCAATTAGCCTTAAAATGATTCTAAGAATATTTGCAGGTTGAAGAGCAAGGTTTCTTTATAACCACAGGTAATTCCTGAGCATCTTGGCTCAGTCAGACAAGCCTGCCAACCCTACAACTCAGAATATTTCTCCTAAAAACCAGCCTGCTCCCAGAAAGATTATTGTTATTACGCCATGTTTTCTATTTCTTTTTTGCTTCTTAAAAATTACATATGAGAAAAGCCTCAAGACCTACTGCTGTAACAATTTACTTGCCTCTTAGCTAACCTATGGAGATGACGTTGACATGTTTACTAACAGTCTCCACACTCCTTTCTCCCTCCTCTTCCCTCCTTTCTCCTTCCCTACAGCTAAGTACTGAAAGGCCTAAATGCCACAAAAGGCTTCCAGAGTTTGCTCATTTTCTTTATCTGTAGTTACCTTTACTTATATCATGAACTGAATCTTGACATATATGATTATAGCATTTGGAACAACTTTCAAACTTTGAAACTTTAAAAACATAGATTATAGGTAACCCTATTTGTGATAATAGGAAAAAATTTGGATAAATCTTCTATAGTGTGTATGAATTCTGAATATAATCAACACAGGAAATAATTACATTTGTCTGCAAATTCTGATTCACTGATACAATGCAAATCCAAATGTAAAATGTGAATTCACAAACTAATACATTCTTTCAAATGGCATTTCTTTTTTTTTGTCTTTTTATCAGTACCGGGGACCGAACTCATGACTACCTGCTTGCAAGGCAGGTGCTCATGCTGCTGAGCTAAATCCCCAGCCCCACAAATGGCATTTCTTAAACAATGCCATTATATTTACATAGCAATTTAGTATCAAAAATATGCAAAGCTTTATAAATATTGACTATTTCTATGCGTTTCTTTATATTTTCTTTGTAGGACAAAATGGATAATCATAAAGTCACCCCCTGTAGTCATAATTCTCACAAAGGGAAATTTCCCCAAAATAAAGTCACTGAAAACACGAGTTGAAATAAGAAATACTTGCTTTCTAGATTTTTGTTATTAACTTCTAATTTCCTCACAAACCGAGTCACTGAATAGAAAGTTAAAAACCTGGCCCAGTATGGATGATGTAAACCTTTCCCAGTCAGATTTCTCATGAAGAATTAACAGCCACACTGTCTTCATAAAAAAGATGGTACACTCCGTTTAGGCAGAAAAAATGAAATAAACTTATGATATCTGCAGTACAAAGTTTCAAATTCATGGTAAATCACTCCAAAACAAGTATTTTTCATCTTACTTTCATATGAATTTATACAATTTGTAAAGCAACAGTCAACTAGAGTACAATACATACTTGAAATAGAATCTGTTTAATTTTTAAGATCTCAGATTGTATGGGTTTTTAAAAAAAGTATGATACACTAACTATTCCAGAGAGGATACTTAATAATAAGCATTTTAAAATACATTCTGTTCATCAGCTTTTGGTCTTGATTTGGAATTCTCTGATTAGAAACAGCTTTAAATCCAGGCAGGGACACACGCCTGTGAGCCCGGCTCTTGGGGAGGACTGCAGGTTTGAGTCCTGCCGGGGCAATGTAGCAACACCCTGCCTCTACCTGTGCTGGGGATGTAACAGTGTGGAGGTTCCTGGTTCAATTCCCTAGTACCACAGAAACTAAAACCCAAACCAAAGCAAAACAAAAAGAAAAACTTTGACTAGGCTACTCTTGCCATATATACATACATATTTGGCAATATTTTATATATATATATATATAAGGTTTCTAATTTAAAACGAAAAAATGATACAGAATGTCAACACAAAATAATAGGAGATTAACAATGGTTAATACATTGCCCATTGTTATATTCCAAGTAGCTGCTCAGATTACAAGATATAGCCAAGAAAAATGATTAAACAATGAAAGCACAAACCGTTCTTTTTGATGAGCTAACAGAGACTAGCAGTTATAATTATCTATTGTATGTATAGTCTTGTCTTTTCTTTCCCCATCCCAGTTGTTCTTTCCTTTTGAGCAGTTTCTTCCCTTTTAACTTTCACAGTATCTGTTGTACATTTTGGATCCTATTTATTCTTTCAGTTTTTTACCCTAGGGAGACAATATGATATTTAACATGCAATTTTGATTTATTTAACTTATGCGTGTGGTCCCTAGTTGCATCCATTTATTGGTGAAAGCACCGAGCTTATCCTTCTTTATAACTGAGTAGTACTCTGTTGTAAAAAATACCACACATTTTTTTCGTTGTTCCTTGGTTGATGGGCATTTGGGATCTTTCCAAGATTTGGCAATTACAAACTGTGCTGCTATAAATATGAGTGTACGTGTATTGCTGTGATGTGATGTTTTCAATTCTTCTGAGAAAATCCAGAAAAGGAATAGCTGGATCGAATGGGATTTCTAAACCTAGCCTTTTGAGGAACCTCCACACTAGTTGCCACAGTGGTTGCACCAGTCTACACTCTCACCAACAGTGGAGAAGAGTTTCTTTTCCCCAGTCCTGCCAGCATTTGTTATTACTATTGCTTTTAAAAATTACTTTCTCATTACAGATGTCAGGCTGATGTTTCAGTAAAGGTCAAAAACAGCTTCTATATCTTGATTTGGCAAAGGGGAGAAAAGAACTAGGCAGTATGATATGGAGCCAGGATTCAGCAGAATCACTGATTTTCTTCAGTGTTTTTCTTTCCACTGCCAACATTAGCACATCCGTCCTGCACAGATAGTTTGTTTTGGTTTTTGATAATAAAAAAGCTATGCTCCCTTGCAAGGCTGTAACATTGTCTTTTAATAATGAGGACATAGGAAAAGGAATAACGGAGTCTTGATGATTAATATATTTCTTGAATTTGATATACAAAAATATGAAAAAAATTAAAAGTTGAAATATTACCTTTTAGAGACTTGAAAAGTAAAAGTCAAATCTTCATTTTTAAAGGTGGTACTTTTATGGCAGTTTCTCCAACTTCTTTGGATATATCTATTCCAAGAGAACATCTGCATCGTGAGACATATTATTATTTCAGATACTTCTTTCATGATCCATCGCTAGTTCTGCAAACTGTTGTAGAATTCTGGTGAGCAGTATCTAATGCATCATTCATCATACATGATGATGGGTCCTGCATACACACAAGTACTCTGGAATCGCAAGCTAGGATACTGAAGACCATCTCATTAATAAGAAGTGGAAATAAAAGTTTTACTGTTCTTTGCCAGGGATATAACTCAGTGGTACAGCACCTGCCTGGCAAGCACAAGATCCTGAGTTCAACTCCTGGTTTAAAAAAAAAAAAAAAAAAAAAAAAAAAAAAAATATATATATATATATATATATATATATATATATATTTTCCTGTTCTCAAATACTGTAAAGCAGTAAGTTTAAAAATTCTAGATAAAATATAGAAATATCAAAAGGTACCTTACAATTGTTTACAAAGTTGCAATGGCAAAGACCTTTTATCACATAAAGCCAACCTGGCATCACATTCTAGGAATTCCCTAGGGTTCTAGGATTCTCTGAGGTTTCAAAAGCTGGCTCGGCCCTTTGAACTTTCCTCTGCCACTGGTGGCAGGACAGGTCTTACTTCTTACCCTGTGTTTAAAATTCTTTCTCAGTAATTTTAGCCCCAGATTTCTGCCTCTATATTGCTCAGGATAAAACTGAGCTTTGTGAATAGGAAGGGGAAGAGGATTTGAAGAGACAGGATGAGAATGGGGGAAAAAGGAGTAATCAAGATATGTACAGATACAAGCTCCCTAGATGAATGTGGTCATCATGTACACCTATGTCTACCAATGAAGTTTAAAAAAAAAAAAAAAAGACTTGAACCTGACCGCTGCCTAGAAAAAGCCACCAGCTCTCCCTCCTGGACACTGCCACAAGAGGGCACAGCTGGATCAGTCAAAAGCCAGGCCTGCTCATCCACGTGAGGGACTCTGACACAGTAGCTCAAATCTGCGCACTTAAATCACATCACAACTGTCACATTATAGACACTCGTGCTGATAAGATTTAAGCCATCAGATGAAACAGTCCAAAGGAGAATTATGTTAAGATTACGAAACATAACTGCCCTTAACCATTTCATAATTAACTTAGCTGGACAATAGTAAACTAGGTTACTGGAATTTTGGCTTGGGACAGGAAATAAGGCTTGCAGCAAACAGCCATCTTTTGATCATTTCTCGGCTACCCCTGTACACATGTGGTCACAACTGTCTCACACCTGAATGCTTTCTGCACGTTCTCCTAAAGTTCCCCAGTACATCAGCTCGTCCTAAGAGCTCTTGACATGGCCCAAGTCCAGACTATGGAGATGGTTTCTATCTGGTCCCTAAGAAAAGAGATACATCACCCCTATCCAACTTTGGTTTCTAACTCACACATGATTTGTCAAACACTTTATAACTTGACTCTGTAGCAAAAATATTTATCTTACAGTATGTCAACTTCAAGTAGGTTCATGAAAAAAATTAATACAACTTTCTTTTGAGTACCATCACAATGTCAATGAAAATCTCATATTATAAAAGCAAAATTCAGGCTCTGGATGATATGATGTAACTTGTGTAAAGTTTATAAATGGTACCACGTACTTTGGTTCGTAGCGGATGCCTTCTACGTCATGTAAAATGCCCAAGCCAGCACGTAATCTTTCAATGCCGTTCCTAAATAAAAGTCATCAGAATAAGAACAGCCCAGCGATTTAATAGCAAAAGGTTCAGTCTGAAGAAATGGTTGTTAACAGTTACGTGACGATGAATGAAACACACACCCTGTGGCTTACCACGCGATCATAATGCCATTGTCAGTGCACAGCCTGGGAGGGGGACACAGCAAAGTGCACTGTGTAGCATCTGTGACAGTTTCCAGAGCTCTTCGGATGTAACAGTTACTTGCAACACCTCCAGACACAACCTGCAACAATTGACAGGTCAAAATAAGCAACCATCATCACATGGGTCCAAAGCAAGCTGTGAACTAAGCCCGAGGGACTGATCAGCACCACAGAATTAAAAGTACATTTTGAGGTTGGTAGTGATGAAGAGCTATGTCTGTATTATAAAAGAGAGGAGAAAAATCACTAACAACTTTACTATCAGTGTATAACTACTATTAGCATTTTTATATATTTTTTCAACCTTCTAAGTATTTCTGTAATGTAAGTACACCATAGTATGCCAGAGTATATCAAATTTTTTTAGATTCTGCAAGTTTTACTTGTAAACAATTTTTATTTTACTATAAACTTGAAAAAACAATGATTTAACATTCATTTAATATTCAACTTTTCATTTAAAACACTTTTTGTTATACTTTATAATTTTATAAAAAATAAAGTTTAAATGGGCTGGGGATTTAGCTCAGTGGCATAAATGCCTGCCTGGCAAGCACGAGGTTGTGAGTTCAATTCCTGATACAAGAAAAATAAAGTTTAAGATACATTAACCAAGAAGATTACCAAAACTTTTAAGCGTAAAGGGATTTCATTAAATGATGGAGGAAATCACTCCAGTTTTCTAAAAGTAGTGACAGCAATTATTGCACTTGGTTTTTTACCGTAAACCCTCGTTCAAGTCCAATGAGAGATGTGGTAATGTACTTTTTCCTATATAAGCTACACAAATACCTGTCCCATAAAGCTACCATATGTGTACCAGAAATAACTGTAAGTCTTTTCTAGTCTACATAATTTCATGCTGCCAGGGCTGGCAAATGTCATAAAGACCAGTTTATCCTAAACACAAGGTTAATTAAGGCCTTGAGAAAAGAAGTAACACACTGCAAAGGGTGCTGTGAGTGTTACGCGAGATGACAAAACTTACTAGTACTGCATTACTTTGAGGTAACAGCTCTCTCTGCTTGCAAAACAGAATAGCACGGTGCGTTCTCTTTGCAAGGTGGCACGCTGCCGTGTGCTGCACTGCAGCAGCAATGTCTGCAGCTGAGGACAGGACCTGCCCCTTCTCGATACCTGCCGAAAAGGAGATACTTTCAGGCACAACCCAGGAATATTCATCTGTCCAACTTCACTAATTGGAAATATACCTTCCTTTTTTTCCTTTTGCACTATTATTCTCTCAATAACATGCTGAAGTCCACTAAAAGAAAAATCACAATTTTTCACACGATCCATGGGTGGACTGATGTCAAAATGAAATCTATTTCCTTGTTTGGCCAAGTGTTCAATAGCCTTCCCACCACTCATGCCAGAGCATTCTGGATGTTTGATCAAAGAAAGTCGTCTAGCGATCTATCAAAAACAAAAATACATTTTAAAAATGAGTCATAAGTTATGTACTTTAAAACTAAAAGATGCAAAGGAAATGATTAGAAAAATTAATACCATGCTGTACACTATACTCTGACAAAGATGGGGTCTAGCTGATGTTCAGTAAAGCAGAAAACCTTGTTCCTATGACAACCTGATGAGCAGTGGACAAATGCTGGCCCTGCTTTTGCTCTCTTACTGGGGTTGGAAAATAGACTTGAAGTTGATCATGACTGCTGAATGATGAACTTCAAAGACAAAAACCTGCCCTGCGGTTTCTTATCATTTCAGCTGTTGGCAGTGTGTCTTTTTTATACATGGTAGGAGGCTTTGTAGTATTCGAAAACAAAAGAAAATGGAATCTATTTGGCTGTTTGGCCAGTGATGTTCTGATGACAGAACAACTTGTCTAATAAGATAATGAGGAATACATGGATAGCGGTAGTGCCTCTATCACTATTCATCACTTTTTTTTTTAACTGAAATACACATTATAACATAAAATACAGAAATTAATTTTTAAATAATTACCTTGTCAAGCATGTCACCGGGTGCTATGTCCAAAGACTTTCCAAGAAGCAGGAAATCTGAAACTCCTCGGGCTATTGCTAATAGACAATGACCTCCAGAAATTAAAAGAACTAAAAAAGGAAATTCTACTTGGTTGGTCAGCCTAATAGTCAGTGCGTGTGCCTCCATGTGATGAATGGGGATGAATGGCTTCTTTAGCTGGTTCACCAGCTGTACGCTAAATGATAAGCCCACCCCTAAGCTTAAAGCAAGTCCCGGCTTTATGGTAGTTGCAATCGCTGAAAGTTCACTTGGAGGGATTCGACTGGAAGAAAGAGCTTCCTGTACTATGCGCTGAATATTTTCTCTGTGAAGCTGCTGAGCTACTGGAGGAATAATCCCTCCTGTCCTGAAAGAAACAAAAGACAGCTTTTTAGAAATGTAGGAGTGTAAAAACAAGGGAACAAAAATGATAATATTGGAACTAAAGGCATGATTCCAAATTAATCCTTATATGGCTGGAAATACTGTTTTTCCAAATTATGTGCTTGTCATGTAGTAAACTATAAGAATTCAAGGAAATGATTAAGAGGATAATGCTTTTGCCTTTTGAAATCTGTGCATAAAACCCTGCTTTTTTTTTTTTTTGCTGATGAGTGAAATCATCAAAACCACCTTGTAAAATATTCTTCACACGTCCTGAGCAAGTGAAAGACAGGATAAAATATTTTAGGAAAATTAATTTCCTTGCATATGGAGAGACTTTTAGAGATTACTGCAAAAGCATTTATGTAAAATAATTGTATCTTGAAGTGGGTGATTTAAGAGAATGGACAGACACAGACAGAGAAACCTGAAAATTGTAATAGACAACTAGATACATGTGACTGGTGGACAAAGGCATCAAAGATTCAGACTTTTGGGTGAAATGACTGGGAGAAAAGAATTACAGCGAGAAACAAGAAGATCATTTTGTGAAGATGAGTTTTTGCTTAAATATATTGCCCTTGAGGTCACAGCAGGAGAGTAGATAGCTTGCAACCCTAACATAAAGTTTGGGACTCCAGTGCTCATACTTGGTGAATGAGATTTTTGATCCATGTAAGACAAGGCATAGTCTCTACAAACGTCAAGAGTAAGGAATGAGGAGGCTAATTTGCTTCCAACAAATACGCTAGCATGTGATTGATTTGTAATCTGGGAAGTGCAATAAAATAGTGCAAAATATGTATGCAACCTCAAAACTTATCTTCCATATATTCAGTGTTGTAAGACCTGCTCCTTCTATAAACAGAAATAAAAATCCTTAGAACAGTCAATGAATGCTTAACAGTTAAAATATGAGGTATGATAAAAATACACAATACTAACAATTTTAAAATGCACACAGCCAACTGCATACATGTGGCCTCCCTCTAAACACTTTCCCTTGCTCTGAAACCACTTATCCTACTACTGTTGCCACCTTCTGAAGCAGTTCTGAAAGTCTTCTTTCATGCCTTTAGTTGCGCTGTGGTAGTCGCCTCAAAATCTGTCCTGGATCAGCTCAAAACGCTGCCCTTTCTAGTCATTCTGACTTTCAGGAGGAACCAGAAATCCCATGGTTACCGTCATGGCTTTACGAGCTTGCTGTTCCCTTGGATGCCACTGGGCAGCAGTAGCCCCTGTATTTCTGACCATGCCTCCTAAAGACATTAGCACAGGGCTTCCAGCACTGCTTCAGAACATGGAAAGACGGACAGGGTATGTGTTGGAAACAAATTTTTTTTTTCCTTTTTATCGGTACCGGGGATCGAACTCACAACTGCCTGCTTGCAAGGCAGGCGCTTATGCCACTCAGCTAAATCCCCAGCCCCTCAAGGGACAAATTTTGAAGAGGATTAATAGCAATGTGTCTTTTGGTGTAACAAAAAATTTAAATATGCACTGTATATTTTGACCATGCCATCTGTATTATTTTAAGCAATGAGGGAGATGTTAAGGTCTCTTATTTCAACACATACATATTATAATGTAGTTTACCTTAATTCTTCAAAGATACTTTTCTTTTATATTTCCATCCCTATTTGTGACATCAATAACTCCACAATCATCTGGGTTGTAAGGGGCATCTTTACCTTTCTTTCACTTTTATTCTCTACACTTGATACCATCTTACTGCTACGGCCAAATACAAAAAGTCCTCCCTCCATCAGTCACTCAACAGTCCTGTAATTGTGTTTTCCTTCTCTGTCGTGGGGTCCTTGGAGATGACCCCCTACTGGGACACCAGAGAACAGCACACAGCATTCCTTGTTACTGAGCCTACTTCTTTCCTACTCAAAACCTGCACAGTCTTGGGATTCCAGAGACTTCTTTCCCCTGACTCATTTCTTCAGTCTTGCACCTTTTCCTTTCCTTTTTGTGCCTCTTGGATATTTTAGAGTCTGGAGATTATACTAAGCACTGGGAATAAAAGGCCTGGCTTTTTTATATGGCAATCTGCTCACAAAGATTTTGTGTCTCTTTCATGTTTGTATTCAGCGCCCCAAATTCAGGTCTCCAATGAATGCTGCCGTGTGGGCAGAACCGATGAATCTGCCCAGCGTTCCCCTCACGTGACCCACGCTCTAGCAACACTGAACACCTGTCTGGTACTTTCTCACCTCTTTCTGTTTGTGGGCAGCGCTTACTTGACAGTGCTACAACACTCTATTAGCAAAGGCCTAATCATCTGTCAAGGCTCCTGAGGACACGATGCATCCGACAGTGTGCGGCGTGCCAGCTGACGGTCCTCATCACCACGGAGCTCTCTCCCAGTAGAAAGATTACGGGTAAGAGTACAAGTGTGTAAATTGTAAAAGACAGTTACAAGTAAGATATGCTGGAAATCATAATACAGAATAAACCTCAGTTAGTGGGGATACTTAATTTGGATGGCATGCTGAGGACCTTTACATGTTCAAAGGTTTACTACAGCCAGGTATGGAATCCTGTAATCCTGCCATTCAGGAGGTAGAGGCAGAGGAAAGTTCAGGGCCAGCCGGAACAGTGAGAGCAGGTCTCAAAAAAAAAAAAAAAAAAAAAATCAGCAAAGTCAGAAATCAGAGATTCTCACTTTATGTTGCCCTTGCATTGCTAGATTTCCTGTATTCTACCCAACCTTCCTCTATGTAGGGTATTTTCTGGGAGATAAGGGCTACTACTTGACTGTTCCTTACTATCCAGCAGTTTCTTTCATAAAGGATGTTACCATTTGAAGGTTACTTTGTTTCTTCCCATGTTATTTTTAATCTTCCAAGGCAGGTGTTACCTTTGTTTATTGATGTTAAAACAGGATCAGGACAAAGAACTTGCCCAAAGTCATGGATCCAATAAATACAACGTGCTTGATTTAGGATTCAAAAAGTCTTTGACCCAAAACTACTAGTCTTTTTCACTACCCATGTTGTAATTGATACCTTGGAAGCATGTTTTATTATACTGTGAACCAGTTAATAACTTCTAAAATCTTGAGCTACTACATAAAAAATGTAGATCTGAAAAAGAAGCCAGTTTGCCAGTGCAAGCTATGCAGAGCCTGGGAGGAGAAACAAGAAGCCAATTTGCCCTTCCCATGAGCTGATGCAAACCATGTGGGAGGATAAACAAGACAATTAGCCCTTCCTATGAGTTGTTGGAATCCATGCTAGGCCTTGGAGGAGTAACAAGCTGCCAATTTGCCCCTTCCATGAGTCAAGAGGCATGCAGGCTGGGAGATAAGAACACCCCCCCACCCACCCCATATGCAACCAGCTGACTTAGAAGACAGGCTGAGTTGATAGCAACTGAGTTACCAAACAACTTAATGCTTATATTGTTTGATTGACTTTGCAAGCCTAATGCCAGCAGTCTAAGCATCTATTAAGAGGACAACAATATACAATATAGCAAATATAGAGGATTTCCTTGTGTCTTATTTTTGAAAACCAATATTGTTCTTTTTTGTTCCATTTTATAGTTTTGTTTTATTCAATGTCCTGTTTTAATTGGTTTTATTCTATTCTGTTTGATTTTATTATATCTGATGGTATGAGCCACAATTTTCTCAGACTTTTTTTTTTTTTTTTTTTTGGTACTGGAGATCGAACTCACGACCATGCAGGCAGGTGCTTATGCTGCTGAGCTAAATCCTCAGCCCCTGGGCCACAATTTTGAAGATAACATTTTAGCTGTTTTGTTTTGAGCCTTTATTCTGTTTTGTTGTTTACTTTTATTCTCTTTAAAATAAAAGTTTAAAAACTATGAATTTCCACTTGGTTGAAAAATTTGACGATCTAATGATACAGGTCCTAGATTCCTGCACAGCAGCCACATTCTAGAGCTCAATTTCCTCTAGGTATTTTGCACTTTACATCTAGCCCAGCTATTTACACAACCTTCCTGGTGATTCTCTACAAATATCTGCATTTATAAACCTTGCATCATTCTAAGCTTTAAAAGCATAGTGTATTACTACATATTTCAGTATCAACACAAGTTATATGTATAAATGCAAATAGGAATTTTTTTTTCCCCTAGGGATTAAGATAGTGTAGGAGAAAACAAAAGCTAAAACGTATGGTTCAGGCTCAGGGGAAAAAGCAAGCCAAAATGGTAGCCTCATGGTTCAGTCTGTCAACTGGACAGTAAGTCTGGAGTCAGCAGAATTCCAGTGCAGGCATGCCTCCCAGTCTCCTAGCGTATAGCTCATATGATCAGGGTTGATACTGGCAGGAAGACACTGTTGGGTACTGTCCTATAAATCTAGAATGCACAAGCGCCGGGGAGGTCTAAGCGGCTGAGGACTACAGAGAACATGCAGTAACAGCTCACAGCAAGTGGGAGCTGCAGTGGTGGCATTGCCACACATGAGGGTTAAGATGTCTAATCTGGCCACAGCTCTGCCTCTCTTCATCAGAATCTGAAAAGAACCTCTTCAGCCTGAACTGGTGACAAGAGGCATGAAAGGTTAAGTTCAAGCCATGCTTTTGTAGGCTTGCTTTTTGCATTTAGCTGAGACTATGCAACACATGTGTGGAGACACCAAAAGGCATTCCAGAGAGAGAAGCATTGATAAACATCAGAGCTGGGACTGAGGGCTTTTGTTTGTTTTTGACAACAGGATTAGCTGAGGTTGGGGGTCATACTGTGAAGGGGTGTAAAAGGCAGGATGAGGTTTTGAAGTTTTCTTCAGTAATTAGAAGCTTTATACAGATCATAAAACTTAACCATTATTATGATAAATGCAAAAGAACGATTTCATTTACTTTTTTTAATGGTTACAACTACTAAGACAATGTCTACTTACTTTAAATGAACCTCGGTTTGAGAATGTATTGCTTCTCCCAGCACATTTCCAGTTTCATCCACCACAGCAGCTGCTGTATCATCACAACTGGTTTCAATTCCCAGGACTATTTTATGAAAAAACTGGGTTCTGGGATGAAAATTAAAAGTTCTTAAAAATGCATAAAATTTCCTTTTTGATGGTTTAGAAAAAACTCCTGCTGTTTTATTCAACATTAACATATTTCTTACTCTCACAGGTAATTCCTGGAAAAGAATTACAAAAACAAACATTATTTGAAGCTTATATTTGTGATTAACATACTTACACAAAATAATGAATACTATTTTATTTTTAAAAAACAATTGGGGTACTAGGGCTCTTAAGGCTCTGCACCTGCTAGGTAAGTGCTCTAACACTAAGCCAGCCCCTGGTGTATTACTTTTTCAACATATACAGAATATTTGTAAATATACAGAGAATATCTAGAGAACATAGGAAAGTTTGTAAAAATATTATCAACACATTTTATAAAGACCCTGAATATAAATAACAATATGAATGAGTAGAATGCTTTTCAAAGGGCAAAAGACATAAAATTTGTTAGTACTACAGGTTGAGCATCTCTAAACCATAAATTTGAATAACTCTAAAATCTGAAACTTTCTTAGTAGCACTGTAATGATCCAGATAGAAAATGCCACACCTGTGATGTCAGCTAAACACAAGCATGTTAAAAACAGTACTGTATATAAAATTACCTTCTCATTATGTGTATGAGGTGTATAAGAAACATAAATGAGCCAGGCATGGTGGTACCTGGCTCTAATACCAGCACTTGAGAAGCGGAAGCAAAAGATCACCAAGAGTTTGAGGCCAGGTTGGGTTACGTAAGGGAGTTCAAGGGCAGCCTGCACTACTTGCTGAGACCTTGTCTCAGTCCCCCCCCCAAACAAATAAACAATCCATAGATGATTTCATTTTTAAGACCTCAGTCCCATTCACAAGCGATCTCAGGCATTTGCCAATATTCCCTCGTGTCCACCTCCTCCACCACACATTAAAAATATCTGAAATCTGAAACACTTCTGGTCCCAAACTTTTCCGTTAAAGGAGGCTCAACTTTTACTGTTACTTTTAACGCTGTTCTTACTGATTATTCTTTTATTTATTTATTTGCCAGTACCATGCTGTTTTTTTCTTTTTTTTATCGGTACCAGGGATCAAACTCACAACTGCCTGCTTGCAAGGCAGGCGCTTATGCCGCTGAGCTAAATCCCCAACCCCTGGACTATTACTCTTTATAAAATAGGTATTTTTATAGTACAACAGTTGCATGGATAGTTCTCAGAAAAGTGCTACTATTTTTTGATTATTAAGACAAAATGTGATTTAAAAAACTCAACAAAGGAAAATAGAACAGGTAAAATAAATGTATCCCATTTCCTGGAAACATTTTTCAAAATAAAATTTAATCATTTGTGTTAAAAAGTTGCATATAAAACACACATCATGCAACCAAAAAAAGATTTAGTCTTTGTTTGAAACAAATCTTATACAACTCGTCCTAAACACATTAAAACCATCTGCAACCTAATACTATTCATTAGTTATAATCTTCGTAATTAAATCTTTCTGCCACAAGTTTATCGTGATCAAAAACAGCTTTCCACTCCCACTCCCAAAACAACTATGCTTCACTAAACACCTTAGTATTTCACCCTGCGCAGTAGCTTCTTTCCCCACCACATATGTAGTCAAAATTAGCGAACGGGTTCAAAACAACAGCAAATCATATGGGAATTGAGAGAGGACGGGGTAGCTGCGAGGAGTGCAGTCCACTCAGCTACACCGCAGGAATGAGATTTGCAGTAACTCGACCTGGGCACGAAAGACAGCAGCACTTCCCTTCAGGCCAAGAACGCGCCCGGGTGAACCAAGTGATATGAACAGCGCTGGTCTTTCTGTTTGTTCGAAGAAGGCGCGGGGCGTACTGGTGAAAGGTGAGCAATTCCATCCACCTTCCTAGTGAACCGATAACAGCTGGAAGCAGCTGCCTACCTTCCCTAGCAAAGACATCCACGGCTTACTCTCCAGGGCAGGAAAAGCGCGCACTCGGCGTGCCGGAAGTGACGTCACTAACGGGGGCCTGGTCTCCAGGGCCGCCCTGGTTACCCTGGTAACATACACCTTTTGCCAAGTCTACAAGTTCTACAAGGTCAAGCCGCGCAGCTTGTGACTGAGCCAGAAGGGCTGAATTCCGGCATGTCTGACAGCACAGCATTAAGTTCTACAGTGTGTTGCATTTTAAAGTGTTTTGCCTTTGAAGATAATGAACTTACTAACGTGCTGTGCCTTGATCAGAGAAATAGGAAACAGGAATGTCCTAACCTGTACAAGCTAGAGAATGGAAGTGCTTCTGGGCGGACAGTCTGAACCGGAGCTCTCACTTTACTGAGACTAAAAGGTCTGTGTCTGCCTCCTTTATTAATCTAAAAATACATAATAAAAAGGAAACAGTGGTAAACATTTTAAAAAATATTTTGTATATTGTATTATATAATTCCCGCTTAGTATGTGTGCAACTTTAAGTATAGTGTATATTTATCTTTAAAATTTTTTATTTATGTTTGAGGCAGGGTCTTGCTATGCAGTACAGGCTGGCCTTGAACTCATTATGTAGCCTGAGCTGGCCTCAAATTTCCAGTGATCCTCCCGCCTCAGCCTCCCAAGTGCTGGGATTACAGGCATGTGCCCCGCTATACTTACATTCTTGCACTTTTTTTTAGTAAGTCTTATATTGGTTTGTGAATTTGTGATCATTTGCTTAAGCAGATTTATTCTAAGAGTTTTTCTTCTTACCTGCTAGGCTTAAGTTTGATTGATTTAGAGACAGTCTTGCTTTGTAGTGAAGGCTGGTCTGCCATCTTCTTGAAGCTAGCTTTGAATACCCCACCTCCCAAATCCCTAACCCCTGCCAAAAAAGCGTTCAAGTCGATGAGAATTCGTTAAGAGGAATGAATGTTTCAAAGAATCATTGTATCTGCCTGGGGAACACAGCACTATTTTAGGAGTCAAGCCTTTTACCAGAAATCTTTCCAAGCCTCTCTGACAGCCCTCTCTCAGGAATGCTGCCTTGAGTCTTCTTTAGTGCTAAGATGGCCAGAGCTGTCATCTTCCATCTCTACTCTCAAGCAGCATCTCACACTGGGGCTGGTGAAACTGACAACTGCAGGCAGTAAACAAGTTTTGCAGCACCCTAGCATCCTGAGAACACAGGGTTCTGTTTCTCTTCAAGGTTAAAAAAGTAACACAGGAATGACTTTGTCTTGCTTTGTGAATTTTGCGTTTTTGCACTATACTAAACTATATACAGAAAATTTGAAAAACATGCTTTTCAAAATGAGACTGCCAGTAAAAATTTATAGTTGTGCAACTGGAAATCAGAAAAAATCTTTAAAGTTTTTTAAAAGTAGGCCTATAGTTTTAATGATTTGGTTTCTTTACTGCAGTTCTTGTATTTGAGATAATTTTTATAAGCAAATACTTTAGAGTATAAAAACAGTGATAAACTTGGCTTATCTAATAAATTTAAAGTTATGGAACTTTAGAGCTATAGCTGAGTCACTGTCATCACCATTACTTATCAAAGGCTTGACTAATGAGTTAGGATATAGAGTAAGTTACTGTGTTAACTGAAAAATCCAAATGTTTTACTAAATCTTTTTTCTAACTATAGATTATGTGTTGTAACCTATATAAAACCCCTCATAAGTCTCTACGGAGGCAAGAGAAAGATCAAAGGTAACTCTAAGAGCAGAACAGGATGTTTCCCTAAACTTGCTTGTTAGCCCACCTGAACCTTGTTCTTTCCAAGAAATGTAACCGCTGTGTTCCTGTTCTGTAGTGTGCTGCAAACCCCACCCCCCTGCATTGTGAGACCAGCAGCTGTTTGCGGTTTTACAGGATAAAAACCCTGCCCTAATTTAGCTGTTAGGTATGCAGTCTTTCATATTGGCTACTGGAGGCTGCATTGCCAGGCTTGTGCTTTAATAAGTAATTTTTTTCTTTCCAAATTATTTTCTCTGGCTCCTTCATACCTCGGGAAGCGGACCAGCACATATGAACAGTACTGAAAATAATGTAAACGACTTCTGTGACTCCCACCCACCCACTTGAGATGAAATATCACCCACTAGAGTTGAACCAGTATGTAACAACATATCCAAGATAGTTGGTATTTTCAATTTGATGTTTACAATGCTTATGCATCCATTTGCCCTTAAATGGAAAATGTTAAACACATGTAACACATGATTTGTTGAATCATTTTTAAGTGGAACTGAAGTTATGGAGTAAAATAAAAACCTGTAACATAATTTTTGTGGGGGGAGGGCATATAGGTAGGGGATTGAACTCCAGGCCTTGTGCGGGCTAGGCAAGCACTCCCACTGAGCGACATTCCCAGTCCTTTTGAGATAGGGTTTCACCGTTTCCCAGGTACCCTCCTGCCTCAGTCTCCCGAGTACCCAGGATCAGAATGTACGCTTCATCATGTTCAACTGTTTTTTCCCAAAAGTAGCAAAAAAGAATATGCTTGTTTCCCCTTCCTTGGTTAGCACTAACTACTCCAAATGTTTTGGGTATTTTACCTAGGCCTGTCTTCCCAGGACGTTTAACATGATTTGTTGAATCATTTTTTTTTTTTTTTTCGGTACCGGGGATCAAACTCACGACCTCCTGCTTACAAAGCAGGTGCTTATGCCACTGAGCTAAATCCCCAGCCCCCATTGTTGAATCTTTTGAAGTGAAACTGGAATTGAGGAGTAAAACAAAAACCTGTGACATGTCAAAATTGTTTTTTTGGGGGAGAGGCAAATTGTCCCATCTTGCACATCAGATGTAAGCCATGTTACTGTTTTGCAGGTCACACTTTTCTGTCCTCTTAAGACATTAAACTGCATTGGTCTGTACCAAGATGCTGCATTTTGCTTCATGAACAGAATCTGTGCCACCTTTACTCGTTTCTTATATTAATATGGAAGACATGTTACATGACACTTGAGATTTAACTTTAGCTGGACAAGGTGAATAAATAGGCTAAAACCTATCAAGATGAGAGCTTCTGTAAGAAATAGGAGTCCTAGCCTTCAGTTTAATAAATCCATTTAATAAGCATATAAAAGGAACATCATCAGTTAACAGCTCCATATGTTGAAGATATGAGGTTTTGGTGACCATAAAAGGAATCAGTGATGTGGGACTGTCAAAACAGCTAAAGCAGTATGAAGCTGCATTAAAAAACAAAAACTTCATTAACAAGGGGGTGGTACTGCATGCAGCACATCTTACCACTAATTTTATAGTGTTATGTAGTAAAAAGTAAACTAGAATTTAGAGGACTGTTAGAATGTGGAAAAGATCTGAAACACTACTGAATAGAAAAATAAAGGCCACAGTACTGCTGTTGATACCAGTTTAAACATTATCTTTAAATAGCCAGACTTTATAAGGAGCAGGTTCAATGTAAAACAAATGATAAATTCCATTACCAAATGGAATCTGTCTTATAGTTGTAAATCTTTCTCTATTAGTGTTAAAACAGGAGGAAATTCAGGAATAATGATTAGTGAAGATTTCAGCTAACATAGGGTGATGAATTAGATGGTTTCTGAGGGCTTTTGTAACTAATAGATAAATACCATTATAAAGCTAATTCATACAATTATTAAGGAGATGTCATGACAACCTCAGGTAGTTTAGTATGTCCAAAATAACACCAAAAACCTAAAGGGAGGCAGGTAAAATGGACACAGGAGCCAACTGGAATAACTTCCAGCGGTCCCTACTGGAAGACCGTTTAGCACCAGATTAATGATAAAGAATAACACACTCATGGGTCCATAAGTGCTGGAATAAATTAATAAGTAGTAAGAGGAGCAGAAACAGATCTTTCCTACAGGATAATGCCAATAAATAAACACAGAAATGAGAAACAGAAAATCATAAACACTGGTAAGACATCACTGCAAGAAAGATCCACTGATGGATGCTGAATCAGTGAGATTTCCAGGCTCATGACTATTCACATTTTGTCTCCTGATATGAAATTGGTAGCAATTATAATATGGTACTAGCTTTTATCCCAAGTAATTACAAATTTAAAAATACCTTTAAAAAACTACATAAATTTGTGAAATGGACCACCATATTTAGCACAACCATTCACTTAGACACCAAGGCCAAAACCCAGGAATCACTTTTCCACTCTCCTGCTGTCCACCTCCAGGGCATCAGTGACTTGAGAGCTGAACTGCACTGGAGACTCCAAACCCAACATCTCTGCTTTCTCAGTCCAAGCTCTCCTTGTCTGTAGTAGCTTTCCAAGTATACTTCCCACTTTCTGCTCCCTTTATTCCCAGCATGATTAGCCAGGGATCTTTAAAATCAGATCCCGTTCGCCTTCCTTTCAAAACCCTCTAGTGGCTTTGTCATGCTGAGAGCAAAACCTACTTATTATCTTGATCCATGAAGTCTTTTATGGCCTGGCCCTTACTTTTTTCCTGCCCTTTTCTGCTACCATTCTCCTCCTCCTTGCTTATTTCTCCTTAGTCGCGGGGGCTGTCTTATCCCCTCTCTGACATGTCTCATTCCTGCCCAGGAACCTTGGTAACTGTACCGGCTCTACTGCCATTCTTTCCCTGGACCTTTGTGCTGCTTGCTTCTTCATATCAGCAATGCCTGTGTACAGTTATCACCCAAGAAAGCATCGCACGGAAAACCTTGCTACTGCAGGCTTTTCTAGGCCTGTCTTCTGCCTAATTTTTTCCCATAGCATCATTACACAAAATAACATATATTTGTCTACTCATTTATTATAACCCAAGTACCTCCAGGGAGGGAAATGGCTTGTCTTGTATACAAACTGTCTTTAATACCTCATTTGGACGAGTCCTCAGATATCTAAGTATTTTTAAAACTGTGAAACCAGAAAGTAGAAAATGTTAGGGTCAATTTCCATCCTTAAATATGTATGTACACAAAACATAAGCCTTTTGAGATAAACTTTAAAATGAAGTAAGATGCTCTGGGGAGGCTAGGGAAGCATCACTGTAAGCTCATGGCCACCTGAGCTACATAGTAAGTTGCAGTCCAGCCAGGACTACACAGCAAGATATTATTTAAAAATAAAACAAACACACAAAGTAAAACAGAGGAATATTTTTAGTTATTGTAATTTTACAAATTCAGTTCTTAAAAAAAAGTTGAGACATGTTAATATAGTTTTGATGATTGAACTGGGAAGACTTTTGAAATAATCTTACACCCGAAAAAAATTTTATTAAAGTATAGATTACCAATTATTTAAAAAAACATGGGCAAAGACAAATGTACCAAGGCAACTTTGTATCATACAACTGATTTCTAAGCTCTATGCTTTTGGAATAGGAAACAATGATAACTATTCATAACAGTTTATTGACACAAAATGACTTAATTTGACCCACAACTCTTTTCATTTAATTTTGTTTATAAATGTTAAGGAATTTTTCAGACTCTATGTCAGAACCATGTTTTTGGATGTGTTTATTTTTCCAAGTAGTATATAGTTATTTCTTGCAATTAATATTAACAACCAGAGGAAGCTTCCTTAAGTCACAAAAATTTAATGTGGTCATTGCTCTGGAAATAGTTACCATTTGGTAACAATATTTAAAGGCAAAATATTAATGGAAAACTATGAAACTTGACAGCTGGAAGGATTAAAAAAGACAATGCCATCTTTTACTGCAGACTTGCTAAAAAAAAGGAAAAAAAAAAGACTATCACTTCCTTTGGTACTACTGCTAGATAAACATTTTCTGCGACCATTGGTAACAATATGGTTATTTTATATTTCCTTTCCTAAAGAATGATGGCTTTACCAAATAAGTTGCTCAACCTAATAAGCAGACCTTTTTAAACTACCATATACTTCAACTGCTTGAAATAAATTATTTTCTTAATTGGCTTAGCAGCTTTGTATCTAGAAAACCAGTAAAACCCACTTTGTTCCAAAATTAGATGCTGACTCAGAGGCTGCCTGCAAGATACCTGGTATCTTCCACCCCCAGTCATGAAAGGACCTTCACAAATTCTGTAATGTAACGAATGCAAAACTGGCCTTATCTACCAACACACAATATTTAGCCAGCAAAACCAAAAATCATACTTGTACGGTAGAAACTGGCTTATAGAAACAAAAGGGCATAAATCCTCTTATGTAAGAGGAACATATATGGTAATAGAAACAATCTATAACAAACATGTATAGAGATAATTCTCATTCACAAGTAAGCCTCCTTAAGACTGTGACTGATTAAAATTGTCTTTTTGTAACATAATGCCCATTCACTCTAAGTTAAGTTGGTCCTGTATTCTTACAAATCTTATATTTCCTTGGATTTATCTACTACATCCTCACTGTACTGCCATTAATCTATAAGCTGGGCCTGCCCAGCTTGCCAACAAAGCCTCTCTTCAGAAATGTACCAGATGCTTTAAACAGAGGCATCTTTTAGACTTCTGCACTTCAAGATAGCATTATGAAAAACCAGCAATTGGTTCCCCAATGCAAATACCTCTCATTTCACATTATCACAGAAACAGTGCAGTTTACCAACTACTCCTTCCTTACAGGAAACTTAGTAGCTGTAAAAATTTTTGTTCAGTTTTAAAATCTTTCAATACTTATTAATTCCAAAGATCCGAACACCATGTAGTTGTGGCATTTTCGGAATAAGCACACTCAGGAGAGAAACTGTGTTTAGGATGAAGTGAGTTGGATCATACTTCGTATAGAAACTTGCCAGAAAGTATCTGTAGAAATAAAAATTAAGAAAACATGTAACATCCAAAAATGAAATTACTTAGAATTTTAAAAATTAACAGGTACAAAAAAGGTCACTAAACACAAACTGCCTAATAGCAAAACTATTTTTTTCCTGTTTATTTATTTATTTATTTATTTTTTTTTATCGGTACTGGGGATTGAACTCACGACTGCCTGCTTACAAGGCAGGTGCTTATGCTGCTGAGCTAAATCCCCAGCCCCTAGCAAAACTATTTTTGAGCACTAAAATAAAAAATTTCGGTTTGGGCCCAAGTTAATTTACTTCGGCGTTTAGAAATTTGTTTAATGGAAGTGTACCTTTTGTACTTCGGTGACTATGATAAATGGATTTGACAGCATGCTCTGCTACTTAGCCTCCATTAAAGCAGAAGCCTTTCAGACAGTTTTCATATCCCCTCTAAGATTCAGGTACAGTTTTGTACTTAGATATGCATTCCTGAAGATCTGGATCCAAAACATTTATCATGTCCTCAAAGGGCTTTGTGACTCATCAAAAAGTTAAGGACCACTAGTGTAAAGTTTTGAAAAGTAGGGTTTTGGTATAGACAGTTCAGTACCTTAGTAAGAAACAAACATCTGGTTACCTCTTTGTGTTCTCAATTCCACACTGTAGTTCAACAGGTCTACAACAGATCTAACTGGGAACTTGAAAGACAGTTATAAAATTTCAACTGCTTTTTTGTAACTGAACACATGTATGCAGAGATCTATTTAAGAACTGAACAAGTGTAAATCATCTTTAAGATCATAAAATCATCGTGCCCAGAATGTCTAGTTTTTATCCAAGGGTAATGAGAGTACAGATATATCACCTATTAAAAGACTATTTCTAACATAGAAAAGGTATGTCATGCTTTGGTCATGTCTTAGAAGGTAGTTTTCATATATGTGTTTGTTTGATTTTAAAGTACACAAGCAAACTATTATAACTGTTTCTCTAATTACTGTCATTAGCTCATCATAAAAGGGAAGTAAGTATCTTGTGTGGCATGGTTAGAAAAAAACAGCTGCTTGCAGGTATGACTAAAAATATTACAGTCAAAGATCTGTTTATATCACTTTTAGAATTGTCTAGATTGAGAAATTCTACCATCTTCCACCTATTTCAAAAATACCCAGAAAATTCTTTCCACCGAATAAGCCATATTCCTCAACTGCTAAATTCTTCTCCCTGCTTTCATATGCTAAAAGACTGTTTTTATACTTCCTTCATTAGACAAAACAGGATAGTACTCTGCACTGAGTCCACTTGATTTGGTACCATTATTATGGGTTTGATCTATAATCAGACAGATTTAAAATAATAAATCTTGCTATGGCTTCTCCTTCCATCCTGTAGCCCATGACTCCTTTTTATCTTTAATGAAAACTGCACAGATTATATGAAAATTACCTAGTTCCTAATAAAAATCTTAAAATGATTCTCTAGGGGAGCCAAACCCAGATGGGAGTGAGTGTGAAAGCATTTATTTGCCAGGCATATACAGGGAAAAAACCCTATAATGGAAGACAGACATTTAAAGTTTAATTTGTGCTCCTGACTCCAAACAGATTTCAAGGGCTTTAGCAAGTTTATGCATTTGAGATTTGAGAAAAGATTCTATTCTTTTAGCAAAAAATTTGACAAAACACTACATGTCACATTTAACATATCAAAATCAAATATGAAAATGTGAAAGCACTCTGAAAAGAATCAGGGCTGGGGATGTAAGGTAGAGTGCTGTCCTCCCAGGCATTAGGCCCTGGATTTAGCTCAGCTGCCTGGCAAGTGCAAGGTCGTGAGTTTGATCCCTGACACCAAATAAATACATAAATAAATAGAAAATAAGGTCAGTGCTTGCTATTCAATGGCTTTAATGATATTTTCTTAGTTATGTGAGGAATTTAACTGGAATATATGAAATCATATCTATGCGTAAAAATTATATTTTGAGAAATAGGGAGATTAAATATAGGTACACTTGGTTACCACAGCTCTTATTAAAAGTTAGGTACATGTCAAGATTTTACATACCTTAAAAGCAACAGAGCCAAAATCCAACTTTAGAATTGTCTAAATAACCATTATTCCATTTATTTTTGTTAGACCATACAGATGTTTTTCTTTTGTTAATTTTATATGGGACTAAACTCAAAATTTCCATAAAAGAAGAAAAATCTATCATCTGATAATGATAACGATGATTACTTTCACTTAAAAATGCTTTTACTTAACTGTCTATCTAAAACCTATCCTCTCTTTAGTAGCTTCAAGAATTCCAGAAAGTTTTTCTGCACTGATTCTATCAGAATCCAGAAAGAAAGTTTTTCTGCACTGATTCTATCATGGATACAGTATTACATACAAGGGGTACAGCACAGGCTTCATTAAGGTATATGTCAAAGTACCTATGTGTGCATGCCATTAAGGATTCAAAGCAATCTATGTACTTATAAACTCTTAAGAGAAAAAAAGGCACATATTGAATTTTAATTTGTCATTTATACCTAAATTTTTAATTTGTCATTTATACCTTAACTTGAGTGGAGGCAAAGGCACAGAAACAGAATCACCCACAAATCAATCAAGAAATGCTACTTAACACATTCACGATGGAGCTATAGTTCTTACGTTTCACTGCCAGGTGGCTTGAGCCAGGGGTACACATGCAAGACTATCCTCCTGAGCAACTTTTTATGAATTTTCTTAGTAAAAAAAAAAAAAATCAATAAAACTGATTAAATCTGTTTGTACCACCACTGGTACAAGCTGCCTGGTGGGATAGTCATGCATGTGACACTGGTGGTTCAAGCCAGCGGGAATGTGTTCAAAATGACACAGCTGCTTAGAAGAGCCTATCAGGTGCGAGCTGCATTGGAATAAAATTTTCACATAAAAGGAAAATGAAGCAGGAATTATCTTGTGGGGTCTTAAATATCAGGTAATGCAAGTTACATATATATCAGATATAACAATAGATGCTTTACAACTAGGTATCTCATTTGTTTCTCACAACACCAAAACTGTCAGATATTAGTAGATAAAATTTGATATATGAACAAACCAGACTGGCTGAATGATAGATTCAGGATTTAAGTCAGGTCTGTCTTACAGAGCCTTAACTCTCTTTTTTTCCTCCACTATACTTTTTATCCAAGGAGTCTGAGTATCTAAATAGGGTTGCATGGCCAAGAAAATTCTTCTGTCATCTAATTCACCTCTGAGGGAGTATGAATCTGACAGTACAACACAGAATATTATTCATTTTCTTAAGGGAATGTAAGGTCAAGAGCTGGAATACATCTGACCATTATCCTAGAATGTCCATGTACACTGATAAACACATAATGCCTCCCAGTGTAACTGAAGTGAGAACTGGTTTATTTTAACTTGTCAGAAATTTTGCCTGTGTCTTATATTCTGAGGTGGCTACTTAGTGATAGAAATTTTCAATGAAATATTGTTTCTTTTTCTTTCTTTCTTTTTTTTTTTTTTTTTTGGTCTTTTTCCTTTTTATCGGTACCGGGGATCGAACTCACGACTGCCTGCTTGCAAGGCAGGCGCTTATGCCGCTGAGCTAAATCCCCAGCCCTGAAATATTCTGTTTCTAATTCTAATTCAGTCTGAAAAATCTTCCTGTTATTCAATCCTCTTTACACTTAAATATTTCTACCACTTACAGAATTATTGGCGAAATTGTGAAAAATTTCCGTGAAGATGTAAACTGCACACCATAGTCCAGTTGTTCCCAGTGAGTCAGAAGTCTTGCTTTACCCTGGTCAGGAGTTTCAAAAGGTGTTCCTTTCACTGCATGTAAAAATACATACATCCCCTGGAAAACAAACAACAGGGCATACAGTCAACATCAAATGCGAAATTAGTCCCTGCCATAAGCAGTAACATGTGTCCAAGCTATCTGTGATGGATTAGTGAAAGGCTGTGGCCAGTTTCAGTGTGGCAAATGAACCTTCCTGAGCTATACACATATTACCTGGTGAAAAATCAATATAAAGTCAACCAAAAGCAACTGTTTTCAATTTTTCTCACTAAATTGAAAATAAAAGGTATCATCAGAGTAGCATCCCATTCTTACATTTTGGCTAACACGTTTCCTATTAGGAAACAGGATTACATTTTTCTAAATATATAATGCTAATGTTTTCACACTGGCCTACTTGTAAAATGGGAGATATATAAATTGATAAAAAAATGAAATCTTTATACTGGAGAAAATGGTTTTGAAATACTTAATGTAAGAACTGCCTTTGTACCTCAGTAGTTTTCTTCCAAAGCAACAAAGATGGTTTGATATAATAGGTTTAATGTTTGACTCAATTCACTTTTACATGTCTCCATCCCTGAAAAAAATTCAGTTTTCTAAGGGATGGTAAGAAAAAATATGCATACCAACTAAATGGTAGGGCAGAAACTGCTATCAAAAGTATGATGAAAAATACTCAGGAAATAGAGAGGAGAGAAAGGTTTCTTATTGCTGAGGCCAAAGCCTTCATACCACCTTGTCAACTGTCTTATTCTTGAAAGATCAGCTCAAAGGACAACTCCTTAGTGAAATCTTCATTAGTAATAATTAACCTGCTTATATACTTGTGCAGAATTTCACTGCAAATGCCTTTATTACAGCACAATATATATGGGTTTTTCATAATGTTTTCCCATTAGTCTGAATACCTCAGGAATAAGAACTGGCACAGATCAAGTATTAGATATGTTGGAAGACAGCATTAAGCTAAAGAGAGTTTATGTAGTAAGTATAAAAACCTTTTTTACAGGGCTTAGAAGGAAACTATGAAAAGATGTGTGCATTCAAATTCTCAGGAATATATGACTTAAAGTTAAGAATCTCCACACTAGGTCACAAATGTGTTAGAATATGTCTAAAAAAAAAAAGATAAATTCTTTTCTTCCAAACCACACGCACTTACTAATATCTGACTATAACATCCAAACAGTTTGTTGTTCTAAGCAAACAAGATTAAATCTGTGTTTGACCTTGCCTAGCATATGTGAGGGCATTGATTTAATCCCTAGCACCACAAACAATGTTTTCTGAACATTTTTTGAAAACAAAAGTATGTATCTCATGGTTAGCCCCTAGTAAATACTTACGGTATCAAAATAATGAGAATTCAAATTCATTTTTTTTTTCAACAGCTTTGTTATGTGATCAAATTCATTTTTAAAGTACAGCCAATAATCTTGTGAAGCACTAGTAACTGAACTATAGCAATGAATAAAAATAATCCCGGTATGTTTCTACTGTGTGGTTCAGAAAGGCAAATACAGTATTAGTTTTCTGACTACAACAATGAGGTCCACCTTTCTATGTTTAAAAGCATGTATTTTAACATTTTTAATTGGTTTAGTATAAGCTATCTTAAAAGCAGACTTAAATTTGGAGTCATGTAATTGCTACATCTATGCTGAGTTAGGGTTTTAGTGTGGTGAGCTAATAAATACCTCAGAATTTTGTTTTCCTATATGATGGCAATTGCCTGTTGTCTGTCTGTGGTCATATATTATGCTGGTCTCAGTCAACCTGCAAACTAGCAGAGGAAGATGGAAGATGGTTTCTAAAGTACATTCGAGACTTTGTGCCACGAGGGAAGAATAAAGTTACTTAGCAAACACTTAAGTAGGTCATTAGACAGACAGAAAAGATTATAAAACAGATGAACTGTTAATTACAAAATTATTAAGAAATACATACAGAATTCAGAGAACTTAAGATTCCTGTAGGAGGTGATACCTGAGTAGTTTGGCTGGGCAGGTGAGAATCAGCACTCAGGGCAGGAAGTAGGAAAGAATATTAAAACAACGGCAGCAGGATGATTCTCTGCACAGGTACAGTGCCTGTGTCTCAGATGGCTGAGAAAGACTCAGTCCCTGCCTGCCTCTGCACCCTTAGTAATGGATCTTCTGGAGCCCGTGATGTATTGGCATAATTTACTTGAGGAAAAGAATGAGTGTGAGGATCAAGCTGATAGTAAAGTAGGTCACACAGGGCTTTGACCAAATGGAAAAGGACTATCAAGGAAAAGGAGGAGGTATTCCAAAGGCGAGCGTGATTACTGTTTTAGTTGGCATAGGAAGGCTTGGGTTCCGGTTTACACCTTTCTTTTGGAGTAGTTATTATTAACACTCACTCCCTTTACTCTCACAGCATCTCAGCTTGGAGGACACTTTAATCACGTGCCACTGATATTCAGCTGTCGGGTTGCTTACTGGGCAGACAGCGGTGTCTTCAGGTAAGATCAGGAGCAAAGTCAAAGGAGGAGACTGAGGGGTGGGGGATACGCCATGACTACACTGAGTTCTGTTTACATTTGTTTAGTCTGAGGTGGAAGGTGATCTGGCAAGATGAATATGAGTCATAGCTGGGCATGGTGGTGCCCAGCACTCAGGAAGCTGAGGCAGGAGGATCCCTTGAACCTAGTAGTTTGAAGTCATCCTGGGAATTTTAGCAAGACCCTATCTCTTAAAACACACACAACAGTGTTTATCCTATCACAGTCTATCACATAAAATGGACTAACTGGACATTCACTTAGGACTTTCATCAGCACATCATCTTTTGTCTTTCTCCAACCTCAAACATATACAGTAAGAAAAGTATTTATGGGGCTGGGGATTTAGCTCAGCGGCATAAGCACCTGCCTTTCAAGCAGGCAGTCGTGAGTTCAATCGTGGTACCAATAAAAACGAAAAAGACAACAACAAAAAAGTATTTATTTAAAAAATCTATTTCTCCTACATTTGTCTGTCTTGCTGTTCAGTTCTTTGATTTTTTTAATTTTTCATATGGATTCAGTTAAAAATCTGTTGGCTGGTTTTCCCCTTTTATTCTACACTCCCCCTGCCAAGCCGCCCGGCAACACATTACTGGGGATTGACCCAAGGGCCTCACAGTGATTTACACCTCCTTTTTTTTTCTTTTTAGGTCTCACTAAGTTGTTACATGGCCCCAGACTGTGGTTAGACATCTAGCCTCAACCTCTTGAGTGTTGGAAGTATACATCTGACCCACCACACCCAGTTTCATTCTACTTTACTAGGCTGTTAAAAACAAGAAAAGTCACTATTAGGATTGTTGAATGAATGGCTTTTTAAATTTTTCTGGTAACAGGCAATTTCCAGGGATGTAAGACAAGGTCAGCAGAGTTAATGAAGCTTCATACTTTGTAGAACTAATACAACACAGGAGACAGTCAACAAGGAGAAGCTAGGGCACCTTAGGATGCTGAATATGATCACGCTCAAAATTTCTATCCTGAAAGAAAAGTCTCAGTTTGGATAACAAATTAATAGCAAGCTAACTCCCAAACAGCAGCTAAGTGTTTTAAAATTATTTCAATATATGTGTTAACTTCATTTATACTGCTAGTTTATTTTAGTCTGTGGCAAAGAAAGATTTGTTATTATCTGTTTGTTTCTTTTTTGTAGGAATCTTTATGATTTATAACTTTTTTTTTTTGTTTTTTGAGATAGAGTCTACTGCTATAGTTCAGGCTGGCCCCCAAACTCCAAGCAAGCCTCCTGCCTCTGCCTCCTGAGTGCTGGGATTACAGACATGTGTAACCATACTCAGCTGGTTATGTTTTGTACTCTGAGTAGCCATTTTGAAGATAATGGTACACAGTATTCAAAACTGTTGCTATTAAAAAAAAGAGGCAGCTAAGGTATCACATAAGATGCTAAGTATGGTTAAGCTCAAAATTTCTGTATTGAAAGAGGAAAGTATACTTAAATAATTTAGAAATGTTTAATTAAAACTAAATTATTTTCATTAGACTCCAATTGACCAAAAAGTGCTTCTGAAGCATTCTGATTAGTCAATTCCTTATAACTGGCATTACAGTACCTTATAATTTTTACTAAATTGACTATTTTCTAGAGTCTATATAGACAAAGAAAAATGTCTTATATTAAAAGCCCTACATTAAAATCAAGTATGATAGAAAAAATAAAATCCTACGCCAGATCAGAATTCTTCAAAATTAATTCTTATGTACTATGAGCCAGTGAATTGTATGTTTTTTTCATTCATGAAGCATATATTTCAAATAAGTAGATCTGATAGTACATGAATTATACCGCACTAAGTGATTAAAACACTGTTGCTGGGCCTGTAGGACATGCACCTGGCATGCACAACGCCCTTGATGTAAGTCTTAGGGCTGCAAACAAAACACAACACCCCAAACCTGGCAAAGCCTCATTTTTGCTTATAATGTATTACGTATATTCATAGACTTATGGAAAGATCATAGTACTATTCTTTTCCAGAACCTTTTTCATCTTGCAAAATTGAATCTCTGAACCCATTAAACATGAAGTCCCCATTCCTTCTTTCCTTTAACCCCTGGAAACCAGTGAACCTTAATTTTTTTAAGTGGTTAGAATAAGGTTAAAATTCTTACCAGATTATGTATAATATTTGTTAAGGTCCAAGCAACAGGAACACTGAAGAAAGGAATGCTGAGTAAGACAATATGGAGCAGGCCAACTCCTAATGCATAGGTCAGCCACATCCCCCGGCTGTTCATGACGCGAGTATTCGGATTCACTTCACTGTGGGCGACTCCAACGTTCATGTTTGCTCTGTGGGGAAGAGAAGAGACGAAGCAACACTGATGCAGCAGGAAACTAAAACACTCCTAATTCTGACATGACAAAAAGCCACCACAATTAGTTTTTCCCTGTTATTCTGATACAGAACAGACACACTCCCCAAAATATGATATTTGTAAATGCTGATGTAGGGAGTGAAGAATCCTTAACATTTATTTGAATTTACAGAATGGTAACAAAACTTGCTATCACCATTTATCTTTCAGCCCATTGATTTTGCTAAACTAAATAATGCTCAGGAAAACACAAACTAAAAAGAGAAAAATCTACATTTTTTAAATATCATGAGTACAAAATAAAGTCAGGAGTTAGCCAGACATCATGACACTTGCCTGAAATCCCGGCACTCGGGAAGCAGGTACAGGAGTCTGAAGTCAGTTTGGGCTACACAGTGAGTTTAAGGCTACCCAGAACTACACAGTCAGATCCTGGCTCAAAAACAAAACAAAACAACAACTACAGCAACAAAGCCAAGAGTTAAACTTAGCAACAAAATGTTACAGATATGATCCAGCAAGTTCCATGAGTAGCCAGATTCTCACAGGTAAGATATTGTTTAGTACATACAGTAGTCAGAGTTCAAAGCACTCCTTTTCTGAATACTGAATCTGGGAAGAACATGCCTTGACAAAGTGCAAAATTTATATAGTCAAGGGATAACATCTGTGCCTCACTTTTGTGACACAACTAGGTTAAAGTGGTGACTTTTTTTTCTGAGTATTTCTCTAGAGAACTCCTCTAAATCTTGTTTACTTTCTCTTAGGTTTTCTGCATGCTGTTTTTATGCTCAAGGTGAACACCAAGGGAAGGGCCTGCAATAGTTCTCAGTCATTTCAGTGATGATGCTTATTTGGACTTATGAATTCCTTAAACTTAAAATCAAACTGTCCTTTAAGAGTACCCATTATCCCAAGAAAGGGGTACATTTGTAACAGCTCCTATCTGAAAACATATAAACCTTTTTTTAATTACAGAATTAGCACAGAGAGAGAGAGAGAGAGAGAGAGAGAGAGAGAGAGAGAGAGAGATTTTTTCATGGCCTATCCAGTAAGCGTTTTCGGAGCATAATGTACTTTTTCCCCACTCTGAAGCTCTTTGGAATAGGCATCAAGGTTTAGAGAGATCAAAGTTACAAAGACAAAGCACAAGTCTCTCCTAAGCATGTCCGTGAGTAAATACTTCCAAGTCAGTATTTATTACATACAATATTTAAGTGTTACAGTATATTCCGAATTATCCCCGACAAAGATATTTTTCCCACTTTCCACAAGATGGAAAACAGAAGGTTGGAAAGAGGTCTAAAACTGACATATCAGGAGAGAGGGGAAGGGGACATAAAAAGAATCAGACGTGTCCCCTCTCCCATGAATGCAACTATGTACCTACAAACATACACTAATAAAAATAAAAATTTTTAGAAAGAAAAAGAAAATAGATCTACACCTCCGAGGCGAGGCGGGGCAGAGCCGGCGCGGTAGTGAGGTCACCCGGACGCAAAAACCCCGTCCCCGCAGGTGCCGCGCCTCCCTTAGATCAGCGAACAAAGACTCGTAGACCGCTTAGGGGGAGTTGGCGCCGCCCCCGGAACCGACCCCCTCGTCCAGGGAGCCCCAGCTGCCGATTCCCGCCCCCCCCCCCCTCGAGGTTGCAGCTCACCGTCCTGTGGGGTCACGGCGAGGACCCAAGGGGGCGGTGTGGGGGCAGCTGCAGCCTCCCCTTCTCTCCTCGGCCCGTACCGACCCTTTGAAGCCCACAAGCCCGGAGGCCACCGTGCCCACTCACCCGCCGTTCGCTCCAGGCTGCTAGCGCCGCGCAGAATACGCCGGCGGCCCAAGCACCGTTTCTTCGGGGCCTGCTCAGGCAGGGCACTGCGGGCGGAAGCTGTCCAGGCCGGTCTCCTTCCCAGGGGATTGGCTACTAGTCACGTCAATCTCGCCTCCCGGAGGGGCGGGACTATGGGGCGCGACGAGTGCCCGCCCCTTCGCACACGCGCACTGTGGCGAGTGCGGCGTCGCGCGAAGCCGGGCCGGGGGTCTGGGTGGGATGCTGGCTGCTCCCTGCTTGCTGGTGGATGGTAATTACCTGCCTCGCACGAGCTGGAAGGTAGTGTCGTGTGGCTCCAAGGCGTCTGTTCTTACAGTGTCCTAGGTTTGAGGGACCCGCTCCTCCTCGACTTGGCGCCTGCTTGGGCCCGGGCTGCGGCCGCGGGCGCCTTCCCTGGCGGGAAGCGGGCGGAGCGGCTCAGGTGGGGCGCGCGGCCAGAGGAGCCCGCAGCTGCAGTGGCCTGGTTCGGCTTTTTGTTGCAGCCCATTTCCCAGCCGCTTCTGGGCGCCCCTCTTAAAAGGAAAGTTGTCTTCCAGGCAAAACATTTATTCACAACAACCGTGACTTGATTTGTGAGGGCGCATGGTATTGTGATGTGCTAGGCAGTTCCAACAAGGGCTACCAATAAAGACCTGTAATCACCGTTTTTGCTGGTGTCATTCTAAAGTATCCCCGCGCTGAGTGCAGGCACCAGTACATCCTGCGAACACGTGGATATCAAGGATTCACATTGTTTGAGAATGGAGAGGAATAGATTTGATTTTTTTGAATCGTCTTTGAAATATTACCTTTACTTTGGCAGTTCATGAAGTTTTTTTTTTTTTTTCTGAAGTAACTTGCCAAAACATTTCAAACGTTGACTTAAGAGAATGTTGACTTAAAAGATATGGTAAATACATTATCTATCTTTTGAGTTAGGTTTAGTTTGCCTTTTAAATTACTTGTGTTGTCCTAAAAAAAAAAGATCTATGAATTCTCTGATCCTTAATTCTTTTTTTAGGTACACCTGGTGTCCTTAATTGAATTGCTGGTCATTAGCGTACTCTACAGTGTACCACTTAACCTCTCAGCAAAAATGGAAGAATCATTGTCCCAGCATTTCAGATACTCTGTGCCGTGAACTTGTAAGCCTGGCATCAGCCCTTTATTTTTCGAGGGTCATTTGGTACATTCTAGTGATGCTGTATGTGGTTAATATAGAATCTCTGTCCTCAAAGAACTCTGAGGTAGGAGGGAAGGAAAAAAGAATGACCTTGGTGAGTTTAGATTAAAAGTAAAGAAGAGGTACTGCAAGACTGAAGTTATCCTAGAAGGGAATGATGTAAGCTAAAAGGTATGGTGGTAGGAAATTGGAAAGATAGGTGGAGATCCAATTGTTAAGGGGTTTGGGCTTGACATAGCAGTTGGAAATTTTATAAAAATTGTAAGTAAGGTAACAATATGAAATTTTTAGCTATCTTATAGGTAGCTAAAATTAGAGTATAAATATTTATTAGCTATAAACGAGAAATTTTAAGAGACTGAGCAGAGACCATTCTGAAAATAGAAGTGGTTTGAGAAGTATTTAGAAGCAGGGTAGAAAGGACTGGGTCCTAGAATATAAAGTGTGACAGTTACTGTGACATTGTCAAGGTTTTCTTTGAACGCTTGCTTGGAAAATGTTTAGGAGTATGACCTTTTGGAGTGAAACATAAAGGTACACTTCTGCCATACAGTACTGTCTGATCTTGGAAAAGGTCATCACACCTTAAATCTCATTTGTAAGAGAGAAATGATGATATACATAAGGATTACATGAAGATACACATGAGGATTAAGAAATAAGGTATACAAAGTCTTTACCTTAGCTGTCATTTTTGTTATCAAGAAATACTGGAGGAAAAGACAGATTCTGATATCAATTTGGAGTATATTAAGTTCAGGTTGCCTCCAACCTACTTGGAGGCAGCAAAGGCCCTTGAGTCCTGAAAAAATTGGTCTAGGGATGAATGGAAACAAGTTTGAAATTACAATATGAAGGGAAGGAGTTAAGGCAATGGTGACATCCTGTAATGTTTACATTGGCACAAAAAAGATACTGATAATACTATTTTTAGTGGCTTACTAGTATTGATGAAGTGCTCAAGGTGAGTGAAGTAATGCAACTGCTCTGTCGTCTAGGGATACATGCTACATAATTTCTTGCACTCTGAAGTTACACAGTGTAAGGATGGTATGTAGTAAGCATCCCATGAATGCTGCAGGCGAAACACGGAGGGATCATTCCAGTTGGGTGGTTGTGTTTCAGGTAATACTGGAACTGCGTCCAAAACATGTAGCATTGCATTAGGAGGAAATAAGGAGTACAGATACATACAGATTGCTAACAAAGGAATGGAAGTGTTTAACTTTGGTGATAAACAACAGTATACTGTGAAGAGAGACAGCAAAGTTAAGTGGAACATGTAAGGAAAGGCCAAGTGATGAGTTCTGTTTCACAAATGTTTATGTAGCACTGGTCATTTATAAATACTTGTCTTTGTTTGGGAAGAGAGACATCACTTTTAGGGATATAGATTTTGATTTGGGTCTTAAGATGCTTAAGGAGAGAAGAAGGGTTGGGAAATGCTCACATTCCTGGGAAAAGTAAAGACTATAGAGTGGTCAAGGGAGTATGGATGGAAATATTGTTGAGAATTAGAGAACAGCATCATATGTTTCAGGTAGGTCGAAGAGCGTGAATCCTGAGGATAGGGTTTAGTGACTCAAAAGATCATCAGTGAACTTGAAGAGAATAGAATTATAACAGTGATTAAAGTTGTAGCAATTTTGCTAGGGTTATAGAAACAAGTTAGTGATAGGGAATTAATGACAATCAATACGGGGCATCTGTGCAACTTTGGCTTCACAAGAAAAGCAAAGCTGGCCATGGTGGCACTTGTCTGTAATACCAACACTTTGGGAGCCTGAGGCAAAAGGAGCCCAAGCTCAAGCCTCAGCATCTTGGTGAGACCATGTCTGAAATCAAAATAAGGACTGAGAATGTAGCTTAGTACAGAGGTCTTGTCCAATCCCTGGTGGTACATAAAACAGCAGAAAAGAGAAGATAATTGCTGGCATAGTAGAGTTGAGGGACAGAGTTTTAAATTTTTGCTTTCAGTGCCAAAATTGTGGTGGAGAAATGCACTGAATGAAATTAAATGAAAGTGTCAGTAATTAGCGTAAAATGTTAGTACCTTAGCCATAGATGGTAAGTGCTACGTAACCTGTAAACAACAGAAACATTTCTCATGGGTCCAGCAGCTAGAAGAATAGCATTAAAGTGGACTTCAAATCTGACAAGGACCTGATTGGTGACTTGTAGATGGCACCATCTCTTTGTGTCCTTATGTGATGTGATAGGGGAGAAGGCAACTCTGGATTTTGTAAGAAATGCGCTGATCCCAGTCGTGAAAGCTTTACTTTCCTAAGACCACTCCTCCTAATTCTATGACCTTGTGGGTTCACCATGATTTTTAGGGGAGCATAAACATTCATGGCATTAAAGAAGAGGCATTGATCTGGTCCCAGAGAAGTAAGAGTGTGGATAGAGATGCAGACGTCTGATGAAACCAGAGTACACAGTGGAATGGGGTAGGCAAAGTGTGAAAGAGTTCGAGCTATGCATTGCCACAATCTTAGTAAACAAAGATTGAGGAAGAGTAGGATGAAATTAGGGATTTAAAAATATAGAAAAATATGATTTTGGAATAAGTGTTGTAGAAATGAGTCAAAGGTGATAAGGGTAGGCAGACTGCCCAGAACAGGTAAATGTTGAGTTGCAGCTAAGTTCTAACCTGTTATTAATCAGTGTTTTTCTTAGATTCTTGGGATTTTCAAACTAACATAGAATACTGAACTTGAACCCAAGCCTAATGGGTTAGCCCCTTCAGGGGTATAGGATGGAGGAAGATGGGTTGTTCATTTAGCAATTTGGTTGAAGTCAGTTTAGTCTGGGGTCTTTTAGCATTTATATGCCAACTACTATACATTTTATATGTGTATTTCCTTATTTCTAACTACCACCATATGATAGCATTATTTCCCCCATTTTATAATCAGGTGATTGTGTTTTAGAGTGCTGTATAGCTAATATGATACCTAGGTTAAAACCCAAAGTAGTTAATTTCAGAGTCTGCCTTCTTAACTATTACTCTGTCTAGTTTTCCAGTCTGACATAAGTCACATCGTCTGAAATTTTCTAATAGTCACATTAATAAAGAAAGAAATGTATTTAATTTTAATATGTGTTATGTATGTCTTAGTTTGTTATTACTGAGACACAACACTTGACACTTGCAAGTTAAAGAAGATAAGGGGTTTTTTTGGCTCACAGTTTATAGAGGTGCAGTCCATAAACAGCTGGCTCCATCACAGGCTGTATCACAGAGAAGAAATGGCCTATGGCCTGGCAGTCAGAAGCAGAGGGGAAAAAGAGGGAGAGACCCATCCAGGCTACTCCTCCGGGTACCTGCCTCCTCTAGCCAGGCTTTACCTCCCAGCTTCACATTTGGCTATAACTGTATCAGTGTCTAAGATGGGTATCAGAGCCCTGTGGTCTCTTCATCTCCCCAAAGTACCACCTTGAGCTCATGGGGATTTGGGGAATAAACCTAGGTTGAAACATGGCATTGTAGTTTAATATGTGTAAAGTAGCCCTGTATCTTATTATAATCATGTAAAACTTGAATTGGATTTTATTTTATGCTGAGTTTGAAATCTAATGTGTATGTGTGCATCTCAGTTTGCATTAGCCACATTTCAAGGGCTCAACAGCTGTATGTGGCTGGTGACTATGAAATTACATAGTGCAGGACCTCTGTACCCTTACCAGAGTTGAGACTCCAGTCTGAAACTTCAGAATAGTGAAGGTGCTTTGTGAGGGTACTAGTATGTTTGGATGTCAGTCAGCATTGCCTTGTGTATAGCAAAATATGGTTATATAATGAATTGTGACTGTTTAAAACCCTTAAAAGCCAGTATGTTGCCTCTCTCCAGTAATGCATCCCTTAAAGTTTGTGTGCTATACTATCTATACTCGATTTCTTGCTCAGTTACTGTTCACATGACTCTGTTTATGTTGCTTGAGAAAAATCCTAAACTGACCTATATGTTTTGTTTTGTTTTTCCACACTGGTTTTCTGTTTTTGCATTGATACTCTGTTTGGAACTATGTCTCACAGGATCAAATTATCATATAAGCATGTAACTAGTCATGTTAAATTATGGAATTGGTATGGTGGGTTGAAGTCAGTTTAGTCTGGGGTCAACCCATTGTTTGGTGCAAGAGACAAAACTTTTCAGGAGTTGCATGTTGTCAAGATAGTGTTTATTTTCCTAAAATTTTTTCTGAAGTTAGGCATTACAGTACATTGACAGCCTCCTTCTTGGATGTTTTAAATGTGGAATTTTCATATGAGATTTTTATTTTTGATTTCTTGATCATAGGGTTTGAAGGTTATAATAATTACTAGCAGAGAGATTCGTATTATCATATTGGATCAGATATTAAGGACCTCAAACACCAGCACACAGATTTGAGCTTTATCTTTTTAACTTTGGGGAGCCACAAGATTAGAATGGTGTTTTAAGAAGAGTAATACAGGGGCTGGAGGTTTAGCTCAGCGGCATAAGCGCCTGCCTTGCAAGCAGGCAGTCGTGAGTTCAATCCCCGGTACCGATAAAAAGGAAAAAGACAAAAAAAAAAAGAAGAGTAATACAGAGGGCAATGATTCTCACATGCCGAGATTTAACTAGTTCAGATTAACAGTAATTCTAGAGGCCTGATTTCAAAAGACCTCAGTGATTTAAAAGATAGTGTGACTCTTCAAAACATGTGAAACTAATGACATGCCAGGGAAACTGTTGTTAAGTCACAAGACTGGCCACATCCCAAGATGGCAGCCTGTGTAGGTCTTTGCCAACCAAGCAGATCATCCATTACATTCAATATATAACACGGTTGCTCTTCCCCTACGTCAGTGTTAACACTGTGTTTTATTAGCTAAATGTTTGTGTGTATGTGTTTCTCATGGTGTTGGGGAACATTCTACCACTGAGGCACCTTCCAACCCAATGTTTTGTTTATAAGAAATCATGTTAGAACACATTCGTCTTCATCATTCCAATATTTATGTGCTTTCAGTGATCTACTTAATAATCTATTATGAGTTTACATCAGGGCATACTTGAATCGACATTTAAGGAAGTGCATTTAAGATAAAATTTCTAATTTAGAAGTACTTTGGTAAGACACCCAAAAACTTTTTGAAATCTCTGTTGACCTAAGAAAAAGAACAAAGCAAGAGTGACTCCCCCCAAAATCTTATTTACTTGGGAATAGCATTGTAATAGGAACTGCAGAGCATTGCAGTGGGGATACACGTGCCAGAGTAAACTGGGTATGTTCAAAGAAGTTAAGGAAAGAGGAAGGTTTTGAAAGCAAAATTGAAAATTACATCAAATACTTTAACACAATAATCCATGGTGACAATGAATAATAACTAGTGTTAGGGCATGGATGAGCAGAGGATTGTTGGGCAGATGTCTTTGTAAGGACTTTTTGTGTGACATTGCAGTGGTATCTATGCAAGCTTGTGGTTTTCATGGAGCATTAAGACTTTCCTGGATAACTTCCTGGTTTTATTGTATTGATAGGTTGATACAAGAAGCTCTGTGTGTATCCTGACAACTTTTATACTTCTTTCATATATCTTAAGTGATCATAATAATAATTACAGCTTTTATGTAGTACTTGTTTTTCATGTTTTAGAGAATTGAATCCCATAAATATATATATGATCCCATATATAAAGTGCATTTAATTTAATAAATGGTAGTTGCTGTTCTTGGTGTAATTGACATCATTTTAACTAATAGGTACGTTGACCAGTGATCCAGAGTCATGGAGGCTAATTAGGAAATTGTGTAGTGTTGGTAACTTGAACTAGTGCCATGGGGTGATTAAGAAGGAAGACCTAGAGCTGAGTATGTAGCTCAGTAACAGAGTGTGTGCCCAGACTCCTGGGTTTAATCCTCAGTACCTCTTCCACCAAGAAAAAGGAAAAAAAAATGTGCAAGACCCCAAAGAAAGAATTGATGGGATTTAAGAGTTGGTCAGATTACATTTTTTAAAATTTTTATTTTGAAATTAGTAAAATACAACAAAACAAGACAGAATAAAGCCAACTAAGATCGTACAGTGAAATTGGTACAGAACTTCACAGCAGGTTACCAGGATAACAGTAATAGGTATCACAAGTATATTTTGTTATCTTTATAATAGTTGTTCTTTCAGTCACGTATATCAAAATGAAATGAAATACAGAACATTATAGAACTTATCAAAACAGAATGTTGAGCAGAATTAATCAGAATAGAGCAAAACAGTAATAAAAATATTTGTCTTCAAAGAGATGGTAGAAGGAAATCCCCCTTATTTGCTGTGGTCAACCTCCTAGGAGATGCTCAGATTTCTGGTTCCCATTTGCTAATGGGGGGAACAGGAGAAGAGGGGTAGGGGAAGTGGGATGTTTGACTCTAGGCCGTGCACCAGTAGCTTCACTGTTGCTTAGCAAGGAGGCAGCCTGGTTGCTTGGTTTCCCAGCTTCGTAAGTTCCAACATGGCCTGGATCTCAGGAGACACTGGTGGTTCTCCCCCTGGAAGGGCCGCAGTCTGCCACACTGCAGCCGCTTACCAGAGAGGGGAGCTGCTTGCTTGGTTTCCCAGCGTCCTAAGTTCCAACAGGGCGCAGATCTCAGGAGACACTGGTGGTTCTCCCCCTGGCAGGGCCGCAGTCCAGATTACATTTTGAATAAATGGATTGTTGTGATTAGGATACCTTGAATTTGAGCTCATGATCTCAGCAGACAGTTGGAAATACCAGGTTGAAGTTTAGTAGAAAGATCAGACTGTAGAGAGTTTTAGTAATACAGAAACGCTGGCAGAAGTTAGAAAAACTGATTTTTTTCTTATGTTATTGTGGAGTTTTTGCACCATTATGTATATAAAGTAGAATAAGTGTTAAATGACTTACCCATGTTTAAATTTTAGTTCTGTCTCTTGATAACTGGATGACCTTGGACTAGTTTTCTTCAATACTCTTATAAAAGACGTGATAGTAACACCTTTTTCAAAGGGTTTTGGTAAGAGATAATTAAAATTGTATATGCTTAAGCTAGACCTGGCATAAGTAAGGCTCCATAGATGTGAGCTATTACTATTGTTATTATTGTTATTGTATCTTGATTATTGTTATCTAAACTATTAAAATATGTAACAAGTCTTTTTTTAAATTGCACTTTTATCATTTAGATCCTCTGCTAAAAGCTAGAATGAAACAGTTGCCTGCAGCAACAGTTCGTCTTCTTTCAAGTTCCCAGATAATCACTTCTGTAGTCAGTGTTGTAAAAGAGCTGGTCGAAAACTCCCTGGATGCTGGTGCCACAAGCATAGATGTGAAACTGGTGAGTGCCTTTGAGATGGCAATACCTCAGAAACAAGGGGCCTGGCAGATGTGTTTTTCTTTCTTCTTCTAGCTTTCTTTTCTTTCTGTGTACTGGTAAATTATTCTTAGGACATTAGACCTTTTGTCTGAATAGGAAAAGCTTAAAATTAAATTTTAATCTGAATTGACAGTTTGGTTACACTAAAGAATGTTGTAAAAAAACATACTTTAGGACTTTATTGCTTAAAACTTCAATTTAATGTATTTTGTAGTATTTGCTCTTAGTTATTTTTGTTTACTTCATTTATATGTTCCTTTTCACATTTTATTTTTCCTACCTAGTCTTGTTTCAGAACTACTCATAGTTTTCAAATTTTTAAGTATTGTGTATTAAGTCATGGAGTTCATCTGATTCATAGCAGCATTCCCTGTGATTTATTGCATTTAATTTGTGTGTTCATTTCCACTGTTACAAATTGTAAGCTCATGGAGTTCAATGAGCTCTGTGTTTTATTTGTATATCTTTTATACCTGGCCAGTACCTCATACATGGAGGGAAAGTGGGTAAAGTTGTTGATTGAATGTAAGAATGCATTTATTAAAACCTAATTATCACTTTGGTCATGGTGGCACTTGTCTATAATCCCAGTATTTTAGGAAGTAGAGGCAAGAGGGTCAGAAGTTCAAGCCCAGCCTGGGCAATTTACTGAGGCTCTGCCTCAAAATAAAAAACAATAATAATAAAAAATTGGGGCTGCAGTTCAGTGTGAGGCCTTGAGTTCAATCACCAGTACCACAGAAACAAAAAGTTGAATTACCAGATGTCTGCACTATTTCTGATATTATGTCATAGGGAATAATGCTGATTGGATTATTTTGGTGGGACAGGGATCTAACGTTCTCCTGTCAGATTAGATTCTGTGATGTAGCTATAAAGTAAGCCTTTTACAAAAACTGTATATTAACTACTAAAACTGCATTTTGTAGATAATTAGTTTTTGGAAAATTCTTCCAGGTCATGTAATTATTAAATAGTAGAGTTGAGACTAGAATTTGTCTTTGGGATTTGAATAACTATTCAAAACGTTTCCTGTATGGCAATGATTTTTACAGTGTTTAGGTGCAGCAGATTAATTTACAGGTTAGACATTTACCAGGCTGTACTCCTAAATGTCAGATTCTAGGTGAGACTTGATAATTTGCATTCCTAACGTGTTTCTAGTTGATGCTGAACCTGCTGTGCTGGGGAACACAGTTTTAGAGCTGCTCTTCTATACCATATCAAACCTGCATTGTGCTTTTAAGTAATATACTATGAGGTTTATAAACATGAGAAAAAGTGTATTAGGTTCAATCCAAAGACAGTCAATTTTTCTTAGATGTTTCATATAATCGGTTCAGTCAGATTAGAGTACAATTGATAATTAAAAATGATTATATTATTGTATTGGAGAGACTTCACTTAAGAATCTTACACAAATATCTTTTTATTTCTTTTGTTTTTACTTTTGTTCTTTTGTTTCATTGAAATGTATGTCTTTTTTTGATACTGGGAATCGAACTCAGAATTTATGCTTGTCAGGGAGGCGCTGTGCTGCTGAGCTGTGTTCCCAGCCCAAAATGTATTCCTTATTAAACATCTCTAGAAGATAAGTAATTTAAAATAATGTTAGCAAGCCAACTTAAGTATGTTATAAAAATATATTAAATATAACCTAAGCTATATATTTTAGTCTCTTGAGGTTTAGCAGTATCTGTGCTGTAGAATTTTAGAATAAACAATTAAAGGTGGGCCTAGTGGCAAAAACCTGTAATTCCATTGCTGTGGGAGGTTGAGAGAGGAAATCGAAAGTTGAAGTCTAGTCTGGGCCACTTAGTGAGACCTTGTCACACAAAATAAAAAATTTTTTAAAGGGCTGGGCATATAGGTGGGTGTGAAATCTTGGGTTTAATCTCCTGCCTACATAAATAAACAATTCCACTGGGCTGCTTTATGTGATAAGACCTATTTTATTATGATTTTGTGCAATTATAGCTATCCACACTAAGTATGTTGTCGTAATTGAATGTATTGATAGTGTTTTGGACATTCAGAAAGATTTCTGTTATTTAGATGTCTGCAGTTTTTATTTAAATATGAGATTTGTATTTCTCTAATTTTTTTCCTATAAAATGAAACAGACTCTTCCCCACATATCAACGTAATTTTAGATTAAGAGCTGAAGGACTAAACCTTGTTTCTCCTCCCAGTGCTTTGTGTATATAATTTATCTGGAAAATATATATATGTATATATTCAGTATTATATAATTCTAGTTTAAAAAGATGTGATGTTTTATAATACAAAGTGAATACAATGCTAGGAGCATTATTTTCCTCCTTTGAAACTGGACCTGTGGCTATACACTGAAAACGTTTTGGAGTCAGCAGTTGGCTACCAAGTTTAGGGTTAGAATATTGTATTCCTAGAAAGTGTGATCATTATAGAAATTTAGATTTTGTTATGTGTATGTATATTTTAGTATTAGGATGTGTAAGATAAAAGTTGAGTCTGTTTTCTTAAGTTTTCAAATTAAAAAACTTCCTAAGATTACCAAACTAGGTGGGTTTTCCCAGCAGTTTTCTGTGTGGTGATATTTGCAGAAAGAAATTTAGAAAGTTATACTAAATATTAAACTTTTTTTTTCTAATTTTGAAGCAAGAGTGTTTCTAATTTGCTAAATTGCCTAGGCTGGGCTTGAAATTGGTGTTCCCCTGCCTCATCTTCCAGAGTTCTGGGATTATAGGCATGTACCACCTTTCCTTGGAATTTTAAAATTTTTTATGAAAACAAGGGAAAAAGTGCTAAAAATTAGAAATGATTGCTTTGCTTTTGGTGGATAGAAGGGGCACTGCTTTGCTAGTGACAAGTTGCTGTTTTATTTTATGTGACGATATATATATATATAGATAGATAGTGTGTTTGTGTGTGTGTATATCAGAAGAATTAATATTAAAAAGAACCCTTTAAATCAGACTGATTTCATTATTTGAACCCAAGGCCAGAGAAAACCAGGAACTTGCTCATTGTATCTTGATTAGGAATTAATGGGGCTAAATGCATTTGAATTCTGGTTTGCATTTTATTATCCTTCTGTGAAAGGTAAATAAGTGACCAGAGTGTTTCATTGTGTTTCTTTTTTATGTGATCTTAGCTCACTGTTTTTGTGTACTAAAAGCACTTCTAACTTTGTACAGGAAAACCATGGATTTGATAAAATTGAGGTCCGAGACAATGGTGAAGGTATCAAGGCTGTGGATGCCCCTGTGATGGCAGTGAAATACTATACCTCCAAAATAAACAGTCACGAAGATCTTGAAAACTTGAAAACCTACGGTTTTCGTGGGGAAGCATTAGGGTCAATTTGTTGCGTAGCTGAGGTAAGAATTTATATTGACTTTTTTAGTGATTTCATCATCAGATATTATTATAAGTAAGCGAAAAGTAATCCAGTATTTGGCACAGTGTATCTTCAAATTTTAAACAATTTATGGTGAACTATCCTTTTAAAATTTTCCACTTCAACCACTTTTAGGTGTATAATTGAGTACATTTTGTGCCTGTATCAATATTGTCATCTTCAGAAATTTTTCATCATTACAAACTAAAACTTGGCACCTGTTAAGCAATAGCTTCCCAATCCCCTCACCCTCATTTTAGCACCTATAATAATTGAGCTAGGTACTCATTACTTTTTTGGGGCTGTGGGGGCCAGAAATCAAACTGAGGACCTCATGCTTGCCAGGCAGGCACTGCACCATGAGCTATATCCCTGGCCCACTTACTAACTCTTTGATCTTAGGGCATTATAAGATACTGTTCCAAGAAGGAAGAAGGCCAGAAACATTGCAAGAGGGAGATTTCCCTGCTGATGTAGAGAACTGGGCCCCTGGCTTATTGACATCCGGAGAGTCAGACCTCATTAAAGGAGGAAGCACACTCTTCAAACCTTTACCCAAACCTTCTAGCACACTGTGTACTCTGTACGTCCCTGTCTTACTTGCTTTACAGGGCACTGAACCTCCAGGTAGGTATTGGAGGCCTGGGGGGTAGGAGCAGGTATTGCCTGTCCTTCTAGAGAATGTGTGTGGAACCTGCAGCCCTGAATTGTACACAAAAAGTCTGTTTTTAAAGTAGCATTGGGTTCATACCAGGGAGCTTCTGAAGCTCCCAGTAGTAGTGACACTGTTGTTTGAACTCTCATTGCTATTTTAGAACATAAATATAATACATGAATTTTTAAACTGTTGTCCAAATTAGCAGATACCCTTTAAGACTTATTTTAGTATTATCAGAAAAGATACAATGTGGCATCTCTGTATTTTCTATAAGATGTGTATATCCTTTCAGAGGTGAAATTGGTTATAATCTAGTTGGCCTGCTAGGTGGCAGCAGCATACTTATTCTTGGTGAGTATGCTTTATAGAAGCCACGTGATTTACCCAAATCTTCACTTTGGTTCTGACTTTGGATGGCAGTTTACATAAGCCCACTTGATATCCACATTTGTCCTTTTGTCTTTTTTTTTTTTTTTTGAGGCATTCAAATGACTTTGAGTACCAATAAAATAAATTTGTCAGAATTTCAAAAAAAATTGTCAAAGCATCACAATAATAGAAAACTATAAACTTCATAAGCAGTTAAAGTTTACAGTTTACACGTTGTGATACCAAGTATTTGTTTGTCCTTTAAAGTATTAACAGGGCATGTTATGGAGCCCCCTATCTTGCAGATCTTTGGGAGACCAGGTAGAGCTGAATGTGTGTTTATGTGTGAGGATGCACACAACCCATGTGCAGCACAGTGGAGAAAGATAAATAGATCGATAAATAGCCGCATGCAGATAAAGATTATTGTTAGGACCCAAAAGCTTCTCTGATGTCTCCTCCCAGGCAGTACTCCTCAGAGATAAACCTCTTCTGGCCTCTATCCACACAGACTAGTTCTGCCTGTAAAACTTGGCACTTGGTATATAAATGGAGTATTAATTACCTGGGACAAAATACCTGATGTGCAGAGCTTAAAGAGGAAAAGGTTCATTTTGCCTTCAAAAGTTTTAGTCTGTGGCTGGCTCCAAGGCAGAAACACAGTGGTGCAGGAAATCTGTTCCCTCAAAGCAGCCAGGAAGCAGAGGTGAAGGAAAAGAGCCAGGAACTAGATTGTTCCCTTTCAGGCCCCCAGTGCCCTACTTCCTCATAACTCTGCCCTTCCCAGCAGCATTTCTGCTCTGGACACCTGTGAATTAGTACATCCATGTGGGTAGTGCTCTCGTGATGTTGCCATCTTCACAGAGCCCCACCTCTGAACACATGAGCCTCTGGGGAGATGTTTCTCATCTGAACCATAGCTTAGCGTGTATTATTTTGTTATAAGAGTTATCGATGATGATTTGTATTTGTACCTAAAAGTTAGTGATGGCACACAACTAATCCTAGCCCTGGGTGGCTGAGGCAGGATGCCTGCAAGTTTTATTGCAGCACAGGCAACTTAGTGACTTAATGAGATCTGTCTCAAAATAAGGGGTGGAAATGTATGTTAATGTGAAGGCCTTGGATTCAATCCCCAGTGCTGTAAAAAGTTAAAGACAAAGCTGGAAGGGGCCCCCAGTAGTAGTAATGGAACTTGGTTGCCTGGTCATATTCCCCACTAGTGGGCTGCAGCTTCCAAGGGTGCTGGTGACTGAATGTTTGTAGCTGACTTCCCCTTACTTCCACTGAAGAGAGCTGTCCAACTTGGTCATGTAAGGCAACAGACATCTAAGGGGCTTGATAAGGGGTTATTAAGGCCCAGTACCAGTTTGGGGTAGTTCTGCTTTGTCCTACACTGCTCATCCCAGAGCACTCCCCAGTGAGCTTCCTGTTCAGTCATCTGTGTCTCAGAGTCCACTTCAGGGCTTGGCCTCTACTGTGTAGATCTGTGGCTTGCTCTCTTGTATTACTGGTGAGGACCCTGGAGCCTTGTGAAGCCAAATACCAAGTCTTCTTTCCCCAGCTTCAAAACAGTCTCCAATAATGGTCCACCTATATGTTACTATCTGCTGTACACAGGGTACCATGTCAGCTAGTTTATTTCAGAGGAATTATACACAGTGAACTAAATGGAATATGAACATTGTGACCTGTTCAGGGACAGTGTGGCCATGGCAAACTAAGAATTCAGTTTCCTTTTCATTTTTCAGCACAGAGTTTTTCATAATATGTCACTTTCTTACTAGCGTGGTTAAATTGTTTAAAAGTTTGAAAATATCTTCATGTTAAAATAATAAATATTTCCAGGCATGCAGTGACAAGCTCAGTACATAAGGTGTCAGAGTTAAATCAAATGTGGGAGGACTCTGAATAGTATTTCAGAAGTTCAGAAACTAGTTTGTTTGCCAGTTAGGTTTAAAAAAATAATTGTGTACTGCATAATAACCACTCAGTCAGTATCAAAACCATTGGTGCACAATGCATGACTCAGTTGCACTGACAGTCATGAAAGTAATAGCACATTGCATTACGTGTGGGCATATTACTTAAGAATGGTAGTAAATGGCTGTTACTGGATTATATATTTACTATCAAGCAGTACTTTCTAATGTATTTCCATTTAATTAAAAAATAACTACTTAAAGCACTGTGCTGTGTTATACCACTGGTGGCCCCATTCATCTCTTGTTTACCTTGTTTCTTGATTGCATCAAGAGGCCAGGTTGAATGTTTGGCCCTATAGGTGGGTGTAAATGTACCTGCTGGTGTTCATATAATGTTGATGTTGCAAGATTCCATATAAAAAAACAAACAAACAAAAACTAGAAGGTAGTGAAAATACCGAGAGGTAGTGAATATTCTGTTTTGGCCTTCTGATAAAATTTTCGTAAAGACTATTTTGTATATGTTGTTCTGTCACATAATAAGATACATATAGAGGACTTCCTTTGTAGGTAATATTATTTATTTATTGTAAATCATTTTTTCTTTTCAAAGAAGCACTTGAACTTACACTTTCAGAATTGGATTCTGATTCCAACATTCGCAGTTAAATAAAGGTCATTTAAATAGGGGTTAAACTGTGCCTCTGCTCAAGGAGGAAGGTGAAATGAGAACAAACTGTGAATGATGGGATCAGGAGCATCGCTCTAAATCGCAAGTGTTTGAATAGGAGAGTTGGCCAGATGCATGAAATAGACTTTATTTAGAGTTATTTTCTTATCTATAATGTGATGATGACTTGAGAAGCAAGTAAAATATAATAAGGAATCTTGAATGTTATGTACATACAGATGAATATTGTTTCTACTTTGGACTTGAGTATGAAAAGCAGTGTACTGCGGTATCGCATAGGTGATGAAATGATCAGTCTTGTTCCCTTGTCAGCAAGCAGCATTCACCGCAGTGTGCAAAGGTTACGCAAATATCCCCACATTTTGGGGAAATAGTTTCTGAAATTTTATAACCATAGATATATTCCTTATAATTTTTATCAAAGGCCTTCATTCTGTAATATGTTCTGCTTTTCCCTAGAATTGAAGAGTTACTATCCATCGACTGTATATGACTCATTCTGTTTGGTTTGTCCATCCTACATTTATAAAGTTGTTGCAGTGTGGATATTATTCTGAGCAGTTACTCATGCAGCATTTTGTGGTAACACAGGATGTGCAGGCTTGTTACTGTTTTATATCGCGGGAAACCTCTATGACTGACAGGGACAGAATGAGAAGGTAACTCACTCTGTTTGAAGACACGCACTGGGACTCCCTTACTTGTGGCCCAACGGGATGCCCCTAGCATCACTCTGATGTTTCTAGATCAAATAAATAACTCTGTCTCCTTTTCCTTAATGTAGAGTACCTTCTGTGTCCTTTAGAGACAGTAGTAGAACTTTAGTCAGAAGAGATATGGAGACTTTTCAAGTTGTTGGAATATTATGCTTTCTAAGTGCAGCTTGCTCAAAGGTAATACAGCTCTGCTGAATGTAGTAGAGCCAAGGCCAGGACTTTGCTTTTGCCAGTGTCCCCATAACAGTGTGGCCAGAAGTAAGCTCTAAAGTCAGAATATTCACAGTAGTGTTTATCTCTGCATAGCAGGCATACTCAGCACACAGAGGAGAGCCATTTCATTTAGGCGAAAGCCCACGTTTCATGCAGTCCTGAAGACCATTAATCTCAGTTTTCAGATTCCTGTTTCTGTGCCATTTATCTAAAATCAGCCCAGGGCTGGGGCGTAGCTAGTGCTGAGCACTCACCAGCATATGCCAGGTCTTGGGCTGGATGCCAGCACCACAGAACATTAAAGAAGTCAGCTTCCCCATCACCCCAAAAGACTTTGCCATAGTTACCCTAAAGAAATTTTTGTGAAGGTTTTTGCATGAATCCTAAGTTTTTTAATTTACTTTTTAATCCAAAATTGAACACAAACTGCTTTTCTAAAGTTTAAATGCCTTCATATTGTTTGTATTAATACTCTAATTCCTTGAAATTAGGTTAGCTTTTATTAACTGACTAGCTAATATAATTCCTAATGAGGTCCTCTAAAGACTTTTGAAATTTCTTCAACACTGGGTTTGTTAAGAAAAAAATTCTTTTGCCATCATTGGGTTTACTCACTCACACAATTCCTCAGTGTCTCATTTAGGAGTCACCAGGAATGATTTGTAATATTTGAGATCCTCCTGATGATGGAGTTCCTGCACCTTCAGTGCAAGCTGAGCACAGTTAATGCACTCTGCACCGATATCTGGTCCTAAAAGAGGCTTCTTCTCCAGGGTATGGGGTGATGCCATATGAATTTGTGTACTATGCCTGTTTTCTTTCACTATCTAGCTGTGAATTCCAAAACATCTCCCATCTAGGTAAATTTTCATAGTGCCCTACAGATTGCAATTTAAAGCAGTTTTATTATTGGAAAATGCATTATGTTCATTTTTAAAATTTTAACTTTTAAACATGAAAGTGATAAAGTCCTCTTGCCAGGATTTAGCTCAATGGCATAAGCACCTGACTGGCAAGTGCAAGGTGGCGAGTTTGATCCCCAGTACCACCCCCCCCCCCAAAAAAAGAAAGAAAGTGATAAAGGTCTCTTTCTCTCAATTTCTTTCTTTCTTTTTTTTTTTTTTTTTTAGTTTGAGGAGGTAGTAGGGATTGCAGTTAGGGCCTTTATGCAGAGGTACATACGTCCCCAGCCCCTGATCCCCCCTGCTTAAACAAGGTCTTGCTGAGTTGCCCAAGCTGTGCTCTTCAGTTGGTACCTTGCTGCTCTCAATGTGCTGGAATTACAGGCGCACTATTTCACTTTTTTAGCCCTTCAGTTTATTCATGTAAGCTAGAATAAGTTTACTACCCTAATGTTTTAAAAGGGTGAATAAGTTACTGTCTTACAGAATGCTTTGAAGTGGTTAAAGAAAGATCTGTGTAACCTTGCAAAGTAAGAGACTGTCTTCATCTTGTCATCTCTCCCCCAAAGATGGTAGGCCACCCAGGTGCCACTGGCAGTTAGTACTAAGTAGCTAAGTTCCCGGGCAGCTATGCTCAATCACATTGACTTCAGATCAGCTGAGCAGCTCTTAGAGAATGGAAATAAAATTCAGTTGACCTTGGGATTTTGGAGAAACAGTTCCTTAAATGTAGAATTGTTTTAAAGGGGCAGTTGTGGAATAATTAAATAAACCTCTGGAAAGTGAATCTCTAGCCATCTTTTGTCCTCTTTGTTTTGGATTATACTTTGCTAGAAGAAATCCTTCATGGATGCATTACAGTTGGGGTATAGTAGGGAAGCTGATGATTGGTTACCAGGAAAGCACTTTGAATTACACAAAGCATGGAGTGTATTTTGGAAGCAATAGAACGGTCACTTGAGAATACACAGAAGTTCACAACTTTTACATACAGCTTTTTTCACAGAAATAGCAGCTTGACCTAGTGCCCTTAATAATGTTTCTGTGGATTTCATTCTCAGAATATAGCAGACTCTTTTTTTCTTGCATGCTGAGCTTGAAAAGTTGTATTTTTGTAGTGGTTCTGGTATTTCCTACTGAGTGCCCACATGTTCTGCAAAGCCATATGACATCCAGTAAATCTGCTTGGTGAGGACAGAGTGACAGAACTGTCAAATGTGGACAAAAGTGAGCCAGGAAGTTCTAGCAGCAGAGGCAGATCTTTGTGGTTTCTAAATTATGTAGATATATTTTAGGGTAGTTAGTGCTGCTGAGTCCAAAGATGACCAAGGAAGATTACACTCAAGTCTGGATCATTCTTGCTTACTGTGTGTTTTACTTACTTACTTTTCTCTCATTGCTGAGACAAAACCTAACACCCAAAGTTAAAGGGGGAAAAGTCTATTTAGCTCACAGTCTATAGAGATGTCAGTGCATAAGCAGCTGACCTCAAGGCAAGGGGGCACATGGCAGAGGTGCAACAGTTTATGGTGACAGAAGACAGCAAAAGTACCAATAGAGAGCGAGAGAAGCCTCTTTCTGTCCCTTATATTTTATCTAGTCTACCAGGATTACCACGGTGCCGATGCAGGCAGTGGACTGATCCAGCACCCACCCACCCTTAATTTCAGCACCCTTAATCCCAGCACTGCACTATGAATCAGTCATGCTCTAGATTCAGCTACCTACGAAAAAAACTTATGACCACATGAGGCTTTGAGAGGGACATCTGGACACAAACCGTAACACCGTGTGTGCCTCCTTTCTTCCCAGTCCCTGTCCCGTCCTTGAGCCAGCATTCCCACTCCCACCATTGGTTTTGTGACACTGGTGTGATTTATTCTTATATGCTCTTAAATTTGTGTGACTTACATCTGAGGAAATAGCCTTTTATTCTCCTCCTCCTCCTCTTCTTTCTTTCTCTCTCTCTCTCTCTCTCTCATTCTCTCTCTCTTTATCTTTGCAGTATTTGGGGATTGAACCCTGGCTCTTGCACTGAGCTACGTCTCTAGCCATTTTTGTTTTTGACACAGGGTCTCAGTAAGTTGCAGCAATGTCTGGGCTGGACTCAAATTTCTGATTCTTTTGCCTCAACCTCCTAGAATGCTGGGATTATAGGCATGTTCTACTATATCCAAATAGGAAATATTTCTTGATGAATGAATTTCTCACTTGTTCAATGCTTAAGGTTTTTTGTTTTTTTTTTAAATTTATAAAAAACTTAATGACATTAAATTTGGGCTTAAGAAAACTTTGTCTGTAAAGATATGTGTGTATATTTTTAACAAGTTCATAAACTTTAAACACAAAAGTACAGCTTTTCACAAGATATCACAGGAGGAGGTCCACAATTTAGGAAACCCTGTTAGAAACCAGGTTCCTTAAATTTGCTTTTACTTATGTAAGTTGTAGAATACATATAATGTGATTGCCATTTCAGGTATACTGGGCTTTCTTTGTGTGTTTTTATTAAAATAGTAAAAAATCATTCATTTGCAACATAAAAGGTACAAGCTGGTCTATTTATTAGTGTAACTCAAGAAATGTTACAAAAAAAGTGATTTTAAGAATTTATCAAGTAAAATTTTTCCAATATTAAGGAAATGTTACCATTACCAGTATTTCAAATCTAATTTGGTAGTGAGCCTATTGCAACGTGTATGTAAAATGATAAATGTACTAGAGAATTTTTTATTTCCAGGTTTTAATTACAACAAGAACAGCTGATGATAATTTTAGCACCCAGTATGTTTTAGATGGCAGTGGCCACATAGTTTCTCAAAAACCTTCACATCTTGGTCAAGGTAAGAGTAGTTTTGTAACATTCCTTACCTTTTCTGTTTCGTTTGTTTAAAAACATGGCGTTAAACTCTCTGAATGGAGATGTATGGTTTTGGCCTAATAAAGTCTAGTTAATTTTGAAGTGAACATTCAGCCTTCAGGTGTTAGCCTCTCAAATATTTAGTTAGAGCCTGGGGACAGCATTGTGTTTAGTTGCTCTATGCAAAAACGATGCGAGCGTTTATTTTCCTATTGCTGGGTTGCCAGTGTCATTTTTAAATAGGAAGCACAGTACTGTATTGAAACACCAGATAGTAATAATAAACTACAGTATTAAGATGATCACATAATAATATAAAATAAATTTCTTTATAAAAACTTCAAATGTATGCACAGGTGAACAGAATAGTTTGTGACTATTTCAGCAATTATCAACTTTTTGCTAAGGTTCTTTCTTCTAACATCCTTACATATCTTCTTTTCTTTGCATTATTTTCAGGGGGATAAGAATATTGTCTTAGATATTTGTATATAATTGTACCATATTTTATTGTAAATTCATGTTTAATTTTGTGGTTCCTCATTATAATTTATTTTTTGTATGGTTTCTCCCTCAAGTTTTAGCTTTAACTTATTCAAGCTATTTTTTTCGTATACTTCTGTCTTCATTGAAATGTTTTCCGATATCTTAATTCTGCTGTCAGATATCTTAATTCTGCTGTCTTACTTTATAAAGACTCAGCATAGTTATGGTTAGTTATGATTTCTATGTTTCCTAAAAAAATGCCAGTTTTTTCTCATTTATTCTGATAATGAAAATGAGTGCAAGCCTCGTTTGATGTATAGTAATAAATGTTATATATATTTTAATTAAAGTCAGTGAGTGTAATTCTTTTACTGTATGTTGAATGAGAAGCTTTCTTTGTAAACATGATTTTTCTCAGGAACTGCTCTGACTCTGGACCTTAGAGCTTCACATTAGAAAACCATTTGGAGTAGGATCTAGCAGAGTACTGAGGTGAAGTAATCGAGTCACCTTATAAAACTTAAAAGTATTTATTTTTATCTTAGTAGTAACCCGTCTCATCTGCACGGCCAGTGACTCTGCCTCACTCATACTTCTCATGCTTTTCTGTGTTCGTCTCCATGGGAACTATGAAATAACAATCCTTTAAATACGGACTCCCTCTGATCTTTGCCCTTTTGCTGGTTGATTTGTCTTCCCCTGCTGACCTCAGTTTTCTGCCGTTAGTAAGTGAGACTGGGTATGCGTAGTAAGGAATTTTTATAGTCAGTAAACGAACCCCGTTTTTTTTTTTTTAGCCTGTTCTTTTTTTCTTGAGAAATAAACATATTTGGAGGATCAGTAGCTACAAAGCCAGAGGTTGCTTTTCATAATTCACTTTTTTCACCTAATTACATATGATTGGTCAGGAAATAGCAGAAAAGTCTTAATTTCAAATTGCTCTAAATGGACGTCTAAACACCCACAGACACTTTCCAAAGCCTTTTACATTTACGTTGCTTGGTGCTGGTGGTTTTTGAGTGATCACATACTCACATTTCACCAGCTGTCATTAGCTTCCATTTAAATATTTTCTGTGTAAGATAAAACTACAGTCCCACCATCCTAATTTATACCTGTGCATTTAGGGTTCTTGTGGATTGATTTCTGCTGTGGTGTGAACACCCTCGCTTAGCACTTACTCTTCATGTCCTCTGAGGATGACGCTTACAATAGCGTAACTGTAGGTACGGAAGCAGCTTGCAACAGAATCTTCTTTAGGCGCTGGGAAGCTTGCTACCCTTTAAAAACATTTTAAGATGTTTTCAAAATAATTTATGATCAACTTCATTTTTGGTCTGTGTAGGTTTCTTTTTATGGATTAGTATACCATTTAAAGTGGGTTATGTATTTAACAGAATGTCTTGTTGCCTTTACCTTCTTTTCATTCCTAGTTTAAAATACTATACCTGGTTTTGAACATAAATAATATAGAACTGTCTCTGGCTTTTAAATTCTTCTGCTAAGAATGCTGACTAAATTTTTTCAGCCATACTTTTTCTGTCATCACTTTGTTTCTTTTACCCTAATCAGCACTAAACTTTTAATTTGATTTACCCTTCTAAACCCTGCCTTCCCAAGTTCTTCTGCCTTAGAAATTTCTGATATCAAAAGTAATATATTTAAAGTGCTGTGATCAAGTTCCTTTTCTAACTATGTTATTAGAGTACAGCATCATGTTCTATGTGAATTCCCATTTTGTGCATGTATTGAAGATTTTTTAAAATCTTAATTGAAGTGTGAGACTTTATTCATCAGTTTTAGGAGTACTTTCTGATATATTCAGGCACCCATACCTTTACATTAGGAGTATAAATAGTTGCCTTTATGAGTGACATCACATGGGGCTGTGTAAAAATATAACAAGAGCTTATTACAGGACTGCAGTTTAATATGGTGTTTGAAGAATGTGCTAAAGTTAGAGAGCTGAGCAGTTCTCTTGTAAAATATGATAGTATATTGGGGCCTTCTCCCTCTTGGCCCATATTATGTGGTATTTTGAGGGATATACATTTCATTTTAATCAGAAAAGTCCTTTCCATCGGTAAGTTCTATTAAGACATGTAATTTGCATCTTACTAGCATTTCTTAATTTACCCTGGCAATATTTTTAGGTGTTTAGGTAGTGTGGTCTTTGAGATATAACGTATTAAAAAATCAAGAATTTTTTTCTACTTTTTAAAGCACATCTCTGTTTTGTCCCATGTCTGCCTTTTTTTCTGTCTGGTCATTGCTACTGTAAGTGACATTTTATTTGTTATCTAGGAAGTCTCAGACTAGTGAGTAGTGAGCCCAGATAAGTAAATAAATAATGATAAAATAGTGAAGCCACTAAATGCTTAAAAGAGGGTTAGCAAAGTTTTTACAAAGTATGATACTTGAATTTGAAGATGATAAGTAAGAAGGCATGGGAGTATAATTTTTCAGTTAGAAGAATGATTGATGTACAAGAAACTGTCAGGTTGTGGGAGCACATATCTGTAATCCCAGCACTTCCAGTACTATGGTAGAAAGATGGCCAGTTCATCCTGGGCTACAACTAGCTCAAGGCCAGCCTAGACTATGTAGAGAGATCCTGTCTCAGAAAAAAAAGGGGGCGGGGGGAGAAAGAGGAATAGAAAGAGAACTGGATGTAGTGGTGGATGCCTGTAATCTTAGCCACTTTGGAAAAAGACAAAGTCAGAAGGATTGCAGGTAGGAGGGCATCCTGGAAACTTAGCAAGACCCTGACTCAAAATGAAAAGAGCTGGGGAGGTAGCTCAGTGGTAGAGCACGCCTGGGTTCAATATCCAGTACCAAAGGAGAAGGGAATACCATTGCTCCATTGCTTTCTGTTATAGCAATGAACTTCATAATTTAAAAAAAAACTTGTATTTTTCTTTAAACTTGTTGTAGAACAGGGTCACAGACAAATTTAAATGCACTAAATTCAAGAGTTCTAGGCAAAAGGTGACTGGCAGTATTTGTATCCATGGGAGTATTAGCTGAGTCAGAAGGCGTGGGTAGACAAAGAAGCAAGTCTGCCATTATAAAGGCATTGTGTGACACTGAGAGAAACTTATTTGAACTTCACATATCCTCATGTGGACTGACATGACAGATGGATATGGAATTCCCAAACGGAGCTGGTTTGTCTGACTCATCAGATCTCATGAAGACTTTTGCTGAGTAAGCAGTGATGAATAAAATTAGGATCTTCCTGAGCTAGCACAGGACGATCTTAAAGGCTTGATGGAGCAGGAGGACTCATTGTGTCTTTAAGACATTTGATGCCAAAAGTGAACTGGAACTGAATGAAGGGACAACTCAGCTGCAACCCAAACTCATAAAACTGAAGAGGGGTATGCTCTTTACTTGCTTGATAGAAGACGAAGAACTTTCTTTGAGGGAAATATTATCTCCTTTAGTATCTATTCTTCTTCTGTATATAAAATCTGACCTAAATAAAACTTTTGAGGCATGTGCAGAAAGGAAAATGAGATGCATAATCAAGAGAAAAAAAGCAAAGAATAAGGAAACTCACAGATCAGCCAGATATTTGAACTAGTAGATGAGAACTTTAAAAAGTACTTTAAGGAATTTTGAAAACATGATCAAAATTTTTAAGATAAGTGGAAACTTGTTTAAAAAAAGAAATTTCTAAAACTATGATACTACCTTGAGTGATTGGATGGATACTATAGTTTAGATCTAGAATGTCTCTTATGTTTGAGCCTTGGTTTACAGTAGGAGATATTCTGTTCTTTGGGCATATGCCATTTAAAGGGGTATTGGAGTGTACTCCCTATCTCTTTGTTTTCCCGCTACTGGTGAGCAGTGTCTTAGGCCAGGTGCTCCCACTGTGATGTAGGAGGCGCATTAGAGTACCAAAAGAAACAGGGCCAACTGACCCTGGACTGAAAAGTCCAAAATTATGAGTAAAATAAGCCATTTAAAATATATTATTTCAGGTTTTTCTTTTTCAGAAATGGAAAGCTAACGTGAAACATTGCTACATAACCTTACTAAGAAGTAGGGTTGTTGTAGTTACTATGCATTATGATGAAGAGGAACCTTTGGAATTAGTTCACAAGAGTTAGAAAGTTTGGGGGGAATCAGACTAGAAAAAACCTGGAGTGTTATGAACAGAGCTTGCTGTGTGCTTCTTATGAGGAATCAGATCAGAATGCTGATAGAAATGCAGATATTAAGGCTGTGCCAAAGGATTTTTATTAGTATAGAAATAAACTGTTGAGAACTGGACTAGAGAATACCAGACAAAGAATTTTGTTATATCATATCTGTGCCCTGAAACTTTGTAGAGGCTGAGCTTAAGGATTTTGGATTAGTTTATCTGGCTGAGGGCATTTCCAGGCAGTGTAAAGTTCAGGCACTAGCATGAATGTGACAGCCACTTTTTCCACCAGATTTATAGTAAGAATCAACAAAGGGGAGTAAAAGAGGGAGAATTCGGAAAAT